TTTTATTTTAAAATCCATCTGTCCATTGCTATTTCTGATGTACTTGTCCTGATGAGGACTTCAGCCACACCAACACACACTGTGTCTCTTACAAAGGGAACTAAGGAAACGCACCTCCAAAATCAATATTCTGCAAGCTGCAGGTAAAAGCCTATCTTTAGGAGAGAGGCAGTGTGCTTTGGACATGCTCATAGCATCCTGCTCACCTCGTGTGTCTGGTGGGCACCCCACCACACAGAAAGCATCCACAGTGTCACAGCTGCCTCACAGCTGTCTTGTCTGAGGCAGGACTGCTCCCCTTGTGAGACCAGGTAGCGATATTTTTAATAGCCTGGTACAGGAGACCATGGGCCCAGAGGGGATGCAGAGTGGCATCCATCTCAGGGGGTGGCTGAGCTGGCTGAGCTGCACCCTTGCGATGCTGAGTATCGGGGTTCACTTCCCAAGTGCCCTAGCCAAAGATGAGTGCAGGATTAAGTAGCGTGAGCCTACACCTGCAGCAGGAAAATCAGCTTTCTCACCCCTCTCTCTCCCGTCCTGCGAGCATCCTCTGTAATGAGGAGTGGGATTCCTCTGCAGGTGTTCACCAAAAACAGCACATAAATATTTTAAACGCTGCTGTATAGGTGTCACTCCAAAGCCATAAACAGAGTGGCAGGCAAAGAGCCTCAGCTCAAGCCCTGAAATATCAGGTATTCCTCTCCCCCATTTATGATTTTACAAGCTGAAAAACGATGCTAGCTGAAATCGCCATTTGACAGCTTTTACTCAACATGTATAAAGCCAGTCTTGGAAGTGTTAGTGATGCTGTCTGGAGAAGACCTCTTGGATTTACAGGCAGTAATTAATAGTTAACCTTTTGCTCCTGCGAGGCAGCTGTGCTGCAGGGTGAGCAGGAGTCACTGTGTTGGTAAAAGATAATTGCACTACACAGGCAGCCCCAAGCTGAGCACCCTACAATTATGGGGGAAGCTTTCCTGTGCCTCTTGCAAAGGCCCTCAGGTTAGGTAGGCTTTGCTGGAAAGACCCTGCTCTCCCTGTAGCACCAACTGTGTGACTGTGCTAGGTGAGGACAACTTGGGCTGCTGAAGCCTTTGAAGATGAGGCACAGACAATGAGGCTCTGGCCTCTCTGGAGGACCGTGAGAGGACTTTCTGCATGAAGGAAATAGCTAAAGATATCAAGATGCAAGTTTGGATCAGGTAGCAAGTCTGGAGGGTGCTCTCAGCTATTTCCTTATTCACTGAAGCATATATTGTTCTTGAGATCATATATAGTTCTTGGAGGAGCTCCTTGTCAGTCCTTCAGACCAGCTCTGGGGGCAGGTAAATGGGACAATGAGCTCAGGTGTGAACGCTGTGTGATGAGAGCACCACTGCTCCCCTGCCCCTACAGCCTGACTTCCCTCAGTTTCCAATTTTGTCCCTTCCCCAGACTGGGAGCACCATCTGTAGGTTTCCTCAACCACCTTAATTGAAGGAGCCCTTCCTGTTGCTGGTGAATATCTTGAGTGTAGCCCAGGATGCTTGCAGGCACCTAAAAGTCTTCTGCAAAGATGGAAGAAGGCCTGCAGAGAGCAGTGAGACTGGTGACTCTTCACAGCAGACCTGTCTTCTTGATACCTGGCCAATTTTGGTTCTTCTGAAAGTAAAATAAACAAGCATTAAAGATGCTTCCCTCCATACAAACCAGGGAAGAGGCACTTCCTACACTGAAACATCAGTAACACAAAGCACACGCCACTATGGATATTACTATGGGGTCAAATCAAAAAGTCTTGAAGTCACTCGTGAATCATGTCTGGAAGGTCCCCATCCGACCTCTTGCATACTGCAGGTTCTTGAGCTGTACCTAGCTGCCTCTGTGTGGAGCCCGGGCACCTGGATTAGACTAAACCACAGTATCATCCACTCCTCTGCCAAAATACAGCAAGGGACAAGACCGCTGCTGCCCTCAGTAGCTTATTCAAGTAGTTAATTGCCTGCATGTGCCTTATCTCACATTTGAATGTGCCTGGCTCCAGCTCCTGGCCCCCAGTTTCAGAGAAAGTTCCTTCTGTGCTGGCATTTTCTCCCTGGGTAGGTATTGTCATGCAGGGCACTTGTTGGATGGGAGCAGTCACCACCTGATGCTGGGCAAACACCCCGGCGCCATTCAAATTGGAAGGGCTGTCCAAGTAGCCTCCAAAAATAAGAGGAGAAAAAAAAAAAAAAAAAAAAAAAAAAAAGCTTGAGTGTTTGTTTTAGCCCCTCTTTGATGTCCCATTGCCATCTAGGGGTAGGACTAGGTGCCCTGTCCCCCAGCCCTTGCCAAGCTCATCCCACCCTGGCCCCCGCGCCCAGCTCATGGCTTCCCCAGAGCCAGAGAGTGAGACCTCTCAGGTCCAGCCTCTAAGCTGATAATTGTAGACCCTTTGCTGGCACAAGGCAGCTCTCATGCCATTTTGACCCAAACTATGTCTTCTTTCTGTATATTTTTAATTAGAGTCAAGAATGCAGAAAAACCAGCGTGAGATCCTTTCATTCCCCTTTGTTTAATATCTGTTATTATGACATTAAGTGTAGGTTTTTGTTGTGGTAGTGAGTTAAAAATCCCCCTCGGTTCTGCCGCTGTAGCCATGGGTTTGCAACGGTTTTGTGTACATTAAAGTGGTCATTTTCGGATTAGCTCTTTCTTTCCCTTTGATGCATATGAAACGCTTCGCCAGTTAGTTGGAGAATGCATTTTACCTCTTTTGTTTCCCTTTTTGCAACCAATGGCAGGCAGAGGACTAAAGCCCCCCGGCTCTCTCTTTAAATCATAAAGGAATTTCCAAATGGTTTAAAGCTTTACTTGCCACTTCTGTCTGGAGTTTCCTGACCAAAAATAGACCGTGTTTGTTTTCAAAGGAGCGGGCAGCAAGGAGCCTCGTGTTTGTTCCTGCTGCTGCTGTTGTCGCCGGTAATGCGCCTGCTTGCTTGGGAATTGGGGAATCCAGAGAGCAGAACTGGGGGGCTGAGCAGCAGCACAGCTCCAAACTTCTCCCTGGGATTCTCCTGCTTCAGTGCTGGGCACTAAAAGTAGTCTTTTTTCTTCTTCTTCTTCTTCTTCTTCTTCTTTTTTTTTTAATCTCTCACTTCCTTCTTTTTTGATTTTTGATCATGTTTTTGATTTGGCGCTTAATAGGAAGCAGAACGAAGGACTGCTTGAGCAAATGCTTGATTTCACATACACTTCACAGCACACCAACAGCCCGATGATTTCCCTCTGTCTGCACAAGACCTATACCCTACAAGGTTGTTTCTGTGGGATGTCTGGTATTTTATTCGGAGGCAAAGAGAGTTCTTCCCAGCCTTGAGACCTTCCCATCTTAACCACTCCTATTATTACAACTAATCCTAAAGGCTCTCAATTAAAGTAAAATCCAGGCCACTGAAAAACAGATGAACACATGCACAACTTTCCTGGTACCCAGAGAGCCCCCCCAGAACTAAACCTCCGTGCAAGAGCCGGGACGAAGCTGTGGAGTGGATGTCAGGGGGTACTGTCAGCCCTATCCAGGGCAGGGGATAACGTGCCCCGACATGAAGTTGCAGCCCCGGGCCATGCAAACCCACAGCCTTCCCAGGTGACAGGTGTTGCAGAAATTCACCCCAGCCAAAGGCACTAACAGAGGGGGAGCAGGGCACAGGTAGAAGGCAGGGCTCCCAAAATATCTTCCATTCACCAAAACTGTTTGTGCCTCAGCAAACCTGCTTCCTTCCTTTTGTTTTTTATTTTATTTTTATTTTAGGCAGCTAATATGTGCCTAATCAGTGAGATATGTTTTCATTTAAAAGCCAATAGACTGCAGCTGAATCCGATGAAATCCGATGTAAGGATAATTTGTAGAATTCAGAAACGCTGAGTCAGCAGCAGAGCCCATCTCCACGGCTTGAATATTGTTTCTAACTCCCGCTGCTGTGTTTCACTTACTATTATACCGATTGTGTCGTGTAATTATTGTTTGTTTTCCAAAAATGTAATTACATTTTTTCCTTTGTTTCCTTTGCAACGTTAAATCTGCCAAATGCCTGACTAAAGCAGCTCTAGGAAAGAAAAAATAAATAAACAAGTGGATGCAAAGAGAAAAAAAAAAATAAGGGAAGGACGTCTCTTTCTGTCTTTAACCAAAGATTTTCTCTCTCAGGCATCTCCTTGTATCGACGATTTAACAAAAATACCGGTACATGTGGAACAAAAATCTGGGAAAGCCCAGCACGGCTTAGGGAAGGTTTCAGTCCCCAGCAGCCCCCCGTGTTTGTGGGACGCCTTTTCCTCCGGCCCGCAGCACTGCAATCCGCGGGAAAATAAAATTATAATAACACTATATAATAATAATAATACTTCCAGCCTGTGCTGGGGGTGCTATCCTCGGCACGGGGGGTTCGGGGCCCCACTCTGCCCCATCTCTGCAGGGACAAGCGACGTCCGTGGCCCCTAGGCGCGATGCGACAGTGACGGGCGGAGTGTCCCCCAGCCCCTCCGGGGGAACGGATTGAATCTGTTGCCGTCGGGAATATGGGGTGGGCTGCGGCTGGAAAAAGGACAAAAAAGAGGAGGAAGGATTCTGCCCACCCCCAGGGAAGCCGCCTCGCTCCTTGCCAGCATCCTTTCGGCGTTTGTCACAGCGGAGCGGCAGCGGCAGCCAGCCAGGGATGGGTAACATATAGGATCCGGGAAGGGTGAAACCGGCCCCACCCAGGCGTGAAAATCAGTCCCTTTCCTCCCCCCCTCCCCAGCTTGCACCTGCTTCAGCCAAAAGGGTGCAGCAGGGGCCCGTCCCACGGCCGCTAGCAAACCTCCTGCTGAGGAGTGCTTCGGGGGGCTTCGCTTTTTAAGAGAGGAGAGAAAGGCAGCCAGCGGCAGCTCCTGGCTGCGGGGGTCTCAGCACAGAGGTAGTGGCAGTCCCCCCCAGACCCCAGATTTTATTTCGAGCAAATAACGCTTCCCCGACCGGCGGTTGCATACGAGACGAGTAATTGTGCTCCGATGCTTAAATAAATCATTGATGGGTGAAATTACACATGCTCACTTAAAACGTAATGTGATTAAGAGATTATGGGATCGCAGTTAATGTGTCGCCTCACGGCTCCTGGACCCGGTTCCTGACACCAGAAATCCCATGCGCCGGGGCTGGGGGGGCGCTGGCCGAGCAGGGGACTCTCCCAGCTCCGCTTTGCGCTCGGGGGCTTGCAAACAACTTCGGGGGCTTGTTTGGGTCTGGGGGAGGGAGAAAAAAAAAAAAAAAGTTAAATGGAAAGGCAGGAGAAGGGGGCGAGGGGTGGGGGGATTGGGGAAAGAGAGGCTGGGTCTGCGCCTGCAAGCTGATTACCTCTCATCTGAAAGCTGCTCCATTTCCTCCCGCATTGGGTAAGTCCTTTATCATGGGGTGGCACGAGCCCTGCCGGGGGCTATTGGTAGCCCCGAGGAAGGAGCCGGGATGGCAAGCGGGATCCTATCATCAGGCTGCATAATAACCCCGGGCTCGCCACAGCTGCGCTGTGACCCTTTGTGATGGAGCCGATAGCACTCACATGAAATAATGTCCTCCTTTTGGGTGTGAAATTACCATGTTTATTAATTGAGCTAGACACGAGGTTTACCTTTTTCTTTCCGAGCCATGAAAATTCGTGATTCGGGACAAATGTCTCCCTTTTTCCCCCTCTCCTCCCCTTTCTCCGCCCTCCCCCCCCCCCCCAAGTTGCGCTGTCAAGGGGCTGAGCGAGCAGGACCAGATGGGGTGATGGATTTTGGAGGATCGCGTGGGACCAGGCCCCCCACAAGTTTTGAGCAGGTTCACGCACCCCAAACACACCCCACCCCACCTTTTTAGGGTCTCGGCAGGGCCTTGAAAAACGCCCCCCTCAAGGAGAGATGTGCCCAGGTGGGCGCAGGGTCCGCGGGTAGGGATGGAGGAGCACAGCTTTTCTCCTCTTCCCACGTACTTTGTTATTATTCTTTTTATTTATTTTTGCCTTGCAATTAGGCTTGTAACGAGCTTAACGCACTACGTGTTTCTGGGCCAATAATACTTGTATTTAACCTAATTAAAGCCGACCTTTGAACAGATCTGAAATATAAACACGCCTCCCTCCTCTACACCCCTCTTTCCGACTTTTTAGCAATTTAACGTTTCAATCTCTGGGCTGGAACACACAACCTTTCACCAGAGCACGGGGCGGGGGGGGGGAGAGAAACGAAGCAGAAAAAAACTGCGGATGAGGCAGAGGGACCAGCTTTGCCCCAGCACCCGCCACAAATGCCCAGGTAGGCGCCCCCCTTCCTCCTTCTCCTTCTCCTCCTCCTCCTCTTCCTCCGCCTGAAGGTGGGCAGGGGGCGGCCTCGAATCTCGCCGCCCCTCGCCCCTGCTGTCGCGGCGGGGGGGAGCTCCGATCCCTGAGCGCTCCGGAGCGCCGCGATTTTCAGCGATTTTCAGCGCGGCTCCTCCAGGCGCAGCCTGCCGGGGGTGGTTTTGGGACCGCCTCTGAGCGCCGGACCTCGGCGGGCGCAGATGAATGCGCCCCAAAATGCGCCTCCCAGCCCCCCTGCTTTCCCTCCCCTTCCCAACCAAGGTGGTGCTGAAGCCCCCTAAATAAATCCGTACCGTCTGGGTGTGTTTTTACGCCCGTCACGTATGATACGAGCAAGTTCATTTCCAATGAAAACCCATTCTCGCAAAATTTTAGCCTTTTTTTTTTCCGATTAATGGGCGATTTAAATGCTTTTTTTTTTTTTTCAGAGCAAAACCGAATATACTTTTTTATACTTTTTTTTCTTTTAAGTAAGTAATCAAAATTGTCCTGGAATTTTTCTTTTTTTTTTTTTTTTTTCCTCTGAATGACATTACAAAGAATTTTGTTAAAGAAAGCCAGACTAATTGCTGCCAGAAGAGTCTTTTCATAGAAAAGTCTGGTTTTCATAAGGCACTTTCTGTGGGTGTTGCGGTTAAACCTAAACCTAGCGGAGAGGGGAAATTTAGCCTTTTTTTTTTTTTTTTTTTTTTTAAGGCGATTTTTCTCAGCAGCGGAAAAGCCCCGTGCTTAACAAAACTATCCAGAGATTCACGATGCGAGGGGAAAAAGCCGGAGCTGCCCGAGCGCCGCGCATCTCCCCTGTACGCTCCCACGGTGCCCGGCCGGATCCAGCCCCGCTTCCCTTTGCTCTTTGTCCCGCCGGGGGGTTAGCAAACCCCTCTCGCTTGGTCAAAGCTCGTCCCAACCCTCGCCCCCCCCGGGGAGCCGGCATTTTGCAGGTGGGGTCGGGGCAGGACCCCCTCCCCCCAAAACCGAGCATCCCCCCCCCCCCCCCTACACCCGGCGGGGGCAGCTGCGCGGAAAGTGGAGGTGAGAAAAAGCTGGGCGGTCCCTCAAAGATGTATAAATCCCAAGGATCTTGGTTTGTTTTTCATTTTTTCTTTTCTTTTTTTTTCTTTTTCTTTTTTTTCTTTTCCTTTTCCTTTTCCTTTTTCTTTTTTCTCTCCCTCAGCTCTTGGGAGGAATTTTCAAGCCCTCCACCCCACCCTCGCAACACCCACGACCCCCTCGCCTGGAGGGAGGAAAATAGGGAAAGAAAGGATGGGTGCTGCAACAGCCCTGCGGAGGCTGCCCCTGCCCCAGGGCACCTCCTGTCCCCGCTGCCTCCCCCCCCGGTCGGATCCAGCCGGAGGAGGCCGCTCCCGTCCCGTCTCATTTGGGCTCACCCCAAACCTGGGGAAAGGAAATGCCGGTCGCCACTTGCAGTGCAGTCGGGCCGGTTTTATTTTTTTTTTTCATTCCCCCCCCCACACACACCCCCCGCCTTTTTTTTTTTCCAGCAGCATCAACAACAAAAATACTCCAACGCCGTACATGCAGGCAGAGTAAACTCAGCCCGGTACTGTTCTTTTTTTACTGTCCTTTTGTTCCCGGCGGGGCGGATGAGGGGGTTGGGCCCCCCTCAACCCCGTCCCCCCCACCTTGCGGGACGGGGTGCAGCCCTCCCTTCCTTTCGGTGAAGCGGGGCAGTGATAAAAGGAGACAGGGCTCTGAAAGGCTTTGATTGAAATGGCGTGTGCCAAGCTGATGGGAGCCAGCGAGGGACAAAGCGGCGAGGAGCCATGGACACTCGAGCAATTATTCCTCCACGCTGAAGGTGGATTAGTGCAATGGAAAGAAGCATATGTTCGGCCTGGGGCGACACTCCCCCCGGCTGGGTTTAGAGAATGAGAGCAGAGAAAGAGGCTGAACCTGGAATATCAACTATCCGGGAGACAGCCCTCCCAACCCCCTCCTCTCCCAGCCTCTCCAAAATCGCAGGGATGGTGAGATAAATACACCCGCCTGCAGAGACGAAGGGATACTCATGGACACCCATGGACATCCATGGACAAGGGCAGAGGCACCCACACTTCTGCATACAGCCACCTGCCTACACGCCTCCAAGCACGGCCACACGGATGGACAGAGGGACACCCTGGATGGAAAGCCTCCACGGGTGTGACGATGCGAACAAACAAGCAGCCAGCCTCTGAGAGGCTCCTAGCAGCAGCCAGTGCTCTCCTGCAGGCTCCAGTTTCCCCAGTGCCTTCCCAAGAAACTTCCTAGAGGCAGCTGCAGTGAGGGATGGGGTTATCTCTGCCCCCTCACAGTCCTGCCTGAGCTACGTGGAAGGCTTGGGGCAAAACGCTTTTCCATCAAATTTTCTCCCTCTCCCCAGCTCCCTGCAAAATCCTGTCCTTCCCAGTTAGGTGGCTGCATGGGGAGTGCACAGAGATGGGGAGAAGCCCCCTTGGCCAGTCCGAGCCTACACAGCAGCCCTCAGGAACATCCTGCCCCCTATCTCGGTGGCAATGGGAAAACCCATCTGCTAAAAGCCCAAACCTGAGCAGGGACAGCAGGAGCACGTTTTTGGCATATTTACACTCTAGCTCTTTGGGTCTACAGGGGAGGGGAGAGCTGAGGCCACAGCAGGGGCTCACCACAGCTAAGGTCCGGGCCACCCTGCTTGCAGAGCAGAAAGACAATCCCCAAGCAGAAGAGGAAGGGCTGCGGGAGACAGGACTAGCAGTGGGAGCAGCACCCAGAAGTCAGGGGGAAGGCGAGGAGGGGGTGCTGGAGCTGCTGGGAGACAGCCAGCAGGCTCAGGAAGGGAACAAGGGAGAAGATCAGAAAGGCAGCTCTCTCCTTCCCCACAGCCCCAAGCACCACTGAAAATGTGTCCCGTGTATTTCACACCTCTGCTTCTTTATCCTCAGCTTTGGGCTTGGGGCAGATTTCACAAAGAGAGGAGGGGGCAGCTGCACCCAGAGAAGCACAGGGCAGGAGTCCTGCAGGACCAACAAGCCAGTAGGAGCACAACCAAAACCATCATAGTGAAGTAACGTGCATCCCTAAGCCTGAGAGCCCAACTGCATGGCCCACGCTCCTGCCAGAAAACAACTCTCCATTCAGAGCCCCCCCATCTGCTTCCAATAGACTATTACAAAGGGAATTAACCACACCACAGGCAACAAGAGCAGCATGGCTCACGAGTACCTCTGGACAGGAAAGGTCTTCACATAGATCCTGTAATGTCACGTGGAAACCAGGACTGGGGTGTGTGCACATCTCACTTGAGCAACGACACTTATTTCACAGCCAGCAGCCCTTCACCTCCCTGCTTTGAAAACAAGACAATTTCTTCTGCACCCAGGACATGCTTTCCTCCACCTGGTCTGAAGGTGTCCGTGCAAATGAGTGACTATGAGCAGACTAATAATTGCAGAGCTCATGGTGATATTTGGATGCCAGTGCCTGCCTTGAAGAAAAAAAAAAAAAAAAAAAGAAAAAAAAAAAAAAAAAAGCTGGAAACCATTGGGTCCCTCCTACCCTACTAAAAAGCTCTCCAGGTAGACACAGAATTAATAGACTGAATTCCACACCATGTTCACTCAGTGAAGGTGCCTCAACCACTTCATCAGAGAGAGGAGAAACGTTGGCCCTCTAATTTGGGCCACTCAAGCCGAACACAACCTCATGCAGATGTGACTGCAGAGACTGTAAGAGGGAATGAAAGCCCACAGATCTGTTACCTGCTTGCTTACAGCACCAGGCACCAGAACAGAGGAGTAACAGCTCAAGGACACAAATATTTCCCTCTGTCATAAGCTATATTTCTATTTGCCCTGCCCAAAACATTAGCCACCCAAGGAAGTCTAGCAATTTCAACTAGAAAAAGAGAAACAAGGCCATTCTGCTATACTGGAACCTGTAAGGCTCCACTAGTAAATAGCCATGGCAGAATTTTACTTTTCCTCTGCTTCCAATTGCTTTAAATTACTTATTTTGGGGGAGTTTGGGGTTGCTCAACTAAATACTGCATTAGAGAGGACAAATGATTTAAGAACCAGGCTTGGCTGATTTCTTTTTTTTCTCCATCCTGGAGATAAAAAGAAGGAACACATTCTAGTAATCCCTGCTCATTTTCATGGCCATTCTTGCACCTGTAACTCAAATAATGAAGCCATTTGTTATTTATATTGCACTTTCCCCTCCATTCTAGATTTCTAACGATCTGACCCTGTTTTATGGCCCTGACAAAGCCTGAAACTGGTGTGGACTTCCAATAATTGAACGATATAGGGAAAAATCTTTAGCTGGAATGAAGCAGATGTTAGCTTCATGCAGTCCTCTAACTTGATTATTCTTTGGACACGTTAGACAAGCATTAGTGATTGATAATGATGCTAATTAACCCCTTTCCTTTCCAAAACAGCAAACCAACACCAGCAGGATTCTGCAAACACCACATCCAAAGGACTGTGTATATCCCTATCTGTTTGGAATGGATCAGTGGCACAACCTCACCGCCCTGCACTCAACAAAATCGTCTCCTGCAGAGGCTAAGCAGGCTCCAAACACTCTCCAAGAGTTAACAGCTCCTGGCACTTGCAGAGCAGGGAGCAGTGACAGAGCTGTTCCATTCAGGGAAGGTGCACAGGATAGAACCAGATGCACGATTTATTTTGTACACTCCTAACCTTTTCTGTTCGGCTGTCAAGCTGCTTAAATCATGCCGCCCTCGCTAGCTGGGATGGGCTTCGCGCCGCTCCTTGTCAGAGCGACATTTATTATTTTAGCTATGCTTTTTGAAGGCGAGGGCTGGCGCTCTGGGAATCCAGTTTGGGCTCAGACACGTACGTACTGACAAGGGAAAGGGAAGTGCACTCTCTGGAATTTCAATGCGAGGCAGGACATGAGTAAACAAACAAGGAGTTGATCTGATTACGCAGTCAAATTTATCATGGACAATAAAGAAATCACCCTCAAATGTAAGGGTTTGGATAAATGAATACTCCTGGCAAGTGAATAAAATGTATTCAATTAACTAAAAACCTCGTGCACTTCTGAACTGAAGTGGAATCGACTGTAATTGATTTATTTGAAACCAGAGGTTAAGGACTGAATTAGCTAAGTACAACTGGGTATTTCAAGCCACTGACTTCTCAAATGTCAAATCCCTTCTATTTTAAATATTATTTCAGCTGTGGGGCATTGCTGTCCTGATGGCTGTTCCACCAGTTAAATCTCAAATTATACTGATATTTGATTTTTGGAGGGTGGGGTAAATTATGGTACAAAGGAAAGGGCTGTCCTTATCTATGGTGCAAGACCGCTGAGCTGTGTTTTGGTTCACATGCAGAAATCAGCATTGTGTCGCAGCAACGGTCTAACATGCAGCCACTCACCCTAATTTCAGCCTATCTGGGAAAGAAAATAACAGTAGATTTTTGTTAGTGTATCAAAGCATAACCTAGAATTGTACTGCTGCAGGTTTATTACAATGTTAAAAAAGCATCCAAAGAACACTAAAGTAATTAGCACGTTTTAGTAACTGCACGTTGGGCACAGCGGAAGAGGCTGAACCTGAAGCTGGTCTGATTTCCATTATCGCCTGAAAAATCCTCCCTTAGAAATAATAATATAATAATAAAGAAATCTACACAAGGTTATTTCATTTCTGTTTTCTGGTGGCTTGCTAATGCAGGAGAAGGACACTTAAAATGCACTCTCCTAGCATAAAGTAGCTAATTATATCTTTAAAACATTATTTATTATGACCTTATAATGTTCTAGCATAAGACCTCTTTATATATACATTGCCCAGTATAAAACGATTATATTGGATACAGGTCTCAAAAAGTAACAAGCATCTGTAAATCCAGATATGAATGAATGGTATTTAATAAGATTGTTTTCGTTTAAAAATGAGTATTTATGTGTTGCTGTAGAAAGAGCAGCAATGTATTGCTGTTTATGAATGCTATTGTGCCTGAGGTTAGGATCCCACACACAATCTGAGATGCAGCCAAGAAAAACAGCCCTGATAGACAATGCTTCACTTCACCTGCTACAATACTGTGCATTTCATTTATGTCAAGAATATGTACAGTTAGGGTTCATTCACCTCATTATTTTGTTACATCTACTTTACAGTTAACCAGTCTCTCTTGGAAATAATAAATAACTGTTTTTAAAACAATTGCAGCTTTGCATTCAAAAGAACCACTTTCAATTTATAAGAAAAAAATATTCACCATTTTTATAAACTGGCTGGCTCTCAGAAATAGAATTTAGACTCCACCAACTCTCTTTCTGCTTGGCAAGATTGATTTTACACTGCCTTCCATAAGTAGATTACCAAAGCAAAATGAAACATCTTGGGCTTTATCTAATGCTTTGCTTCACCAGCCCTACCAAACGTCAAAATATATGAGCAAATGTTAATTCTCTTTGCAGCTTTATTGTAAACATCTCCCTCTTAACCTCCTCAATTTCTGCCTGAGCAAAAAGAAAGAGAGAGAGAGAGAGAGAGAAGCAGAGTCAAGAAAGAGAGAAAAATCAGCCACCACCTCCAAAATATCATCACCACTTAAAGGAGACCATCTCTTTAAAATGCCTTTACAATCTCAACTGCATTAGCCCCTTTTCCTGTGATATAATATAATCCAGTATGATCCAAACTTCACCTACCCCTTGGGCCAAAGAAAATAGATTCAAAGTCCGAATTCTCACATTTTTACAGCCTAGCTACAAGGTGTACACTCCATTTCTTTCTTTTTTTTTTTTTTTTAAGCAAACTTCCCTATTTTACAACTGGTTTCCACAAGAAGAAACTTAAGATAAAAACTGCAGTTCCTTACAACCTAACACAGCCATCTCAAAATGTCAATCCGAGCCTTCCACTAAAACGTAAACCATCAATCAGAAATAATCTGTCTCCTGCAAGATTTCGCTAAAGTTCACAACCGTGAGATGATGTTGTTGGCATCGACTATGGAGCTTTTCTTTTTTTTGAGGAGGAGGGAGCACTCAGGTCTGATTCACCATTTTTTTTGTTTGTTTGTTTTGTTTTTTCCTCAGAGTACCTAATTTTCAGTATTTGCTTAGCAATGATTCTTTTTAAAACGTCCTTCTTGAGATAGATTTTTGTTTATCTCCGCTCTCCTTTAGGACAACTACATGTACAAAATTTTATAGGCTTATAATTCTGTATGCTATATAGAAACATAAATAAAATCCTAGAGGTCAACATAAATAAAATAAAACTTTATTTTTTAAATAAAATTATGTATTGGTTAAAGAAAAGATAGTGTGTCATTTTGTTAGTAGTACAGACAATTTTTTATCCAAAAGAATACATTGTGCTTTATTGTGTCATTTGTCTGAATACAGACTCAGTGGAATATCTAAATGATACCCTGCTCTGAACTCCAAGTTGAAAGTAAGTTTTTATTATACTTGAGGGAAACAATGGGTTCAGCTGCTTATTGCAAGGAGCAATTGTCAAGGGAGAGTTAAACTCAATTACTGTAACCATACTGAATAAAAAATACTGCCAAGAACAAAAATACGCCTGGGTAAAGACAGCCACTGAATAAAAAAATCGACATAAAGCGTATCAAATATTTATTTATCTGGGCAACAAAGGACTATGATACATTGACAGGCATGGAAACTACTGCCGGCACAACTCAATACAATACAACTATAACTGCTTCCAATATGGCCAGTGGAATTACAGGATACCAGGTGGTCCCAAATGTTTGAAGTTTTTTGGGAAAAAAAAAAAGAAGAAAAAGAAAAACAAAAGGGAGGAAGAAAAAAAAAAAGGAAAGAAAAGCTAAATCTTGTTTTAAAAGACAATATTAATTTATTGCTCTGATGGTGCTTTCAGGAAAGGGACAGTGGATAAAAATAACTTCTTTCATTTCCCACAACACATAAAGGTTGTAAAACCACTAACATGTTTAAAAATCTTGCCAGGGTCCAACATCACTTAATTTTTTTCTGCAATGAGAAACTAAATGTCATACTAATTATATATAAAAATTCATGTTTTTTTTATTTGTTCAGCTGCTTCATTGTCGCCTTTAACATGCTACAACAGGGCTAAAAATGATGTATCCCAGAGAATAACCCCCAAAAAACCTCTGATATCTAAATAAGTACCATGAACCACATGATGAACTAAGAGGGGAAGATTTAAAACCCACTAAACAAGAGGTAAACGAGATCACCAGATAAATAAAAAAAGGCTTAAAACAGACTCACCATATTTACAATTCCCATTAAATTACACATAAATAAATATATACATACATGAACACTGATTCCCTTATATAATAACCGTGAACCGTGTTGCAATAGAAAGTTCAAGTTGGTCGCTTTACCTTTGACAGGAAAAAGTTCTATAACTGAAGATATGACATGGAACTGCTTGTGTTTTGTGTTCAAGTTTATTCACAATACTGATAAAATGTCATCAGTCCTTTTTGCCTTTTCTTTGTTTGTTTGCTGTTGCACTTTTTTCACTTTTTTCTTAATATGGCTACAATCTTAACTGAAGTTTATGTAAGGGAAGGTGGTGATTCAGTCCGGTGAAGCTCATAGAATTTTTTTTTAGTATTATTTATTTCTTTTTTTTATTATTATTTTTAATATATTTTTAGAAAAAAGGTCCTTTTTGTTTTGTTTTTGTTTTCCTCCTTTTGTTTTATTTAAAAAAAAAACGTCCACAAACTCAAGACAGAACTTTTTCTCTTTGCTGGCTCCGTCCCCCTGTTCTGTTCTCTTAGGCTCCAAACTGGAGTAGTAAAACGATGGTAGCAGCGGGGGGAGAGGAGGGGCAAGTGAAAAGGGAAAAAATGGAAATGTGGATGCTGGGAAAGGGTGCGGGGAGAGGGCAGAGCAGTCCTGCAGAGTCAGAGAACAGGATTGGCAGAAGGACGCTCATTCTGTTGCTGTAGCCTGGGGTGCTGGGTGCAGGGAAGAGGGAGGAGGGAGACGAATGGACTGATGGGCTGTAAGGGGGGAAGGGAGAGGAGTTGGGGGGGGGATCCTCACTTTCGGTGCTTCTCCTCTTTGTCGCCGCTTTTGGTGCTGTTGTCTGTGTGGCTGTTGGGATTGTTGCTGAGGTACATTTTGTCCATGGCCTTGAGCGCCTCGGTGAGATAGTTCTGCAGGGCGGTAACAGCAGCGCACACCGCCGGGCTGCCGAAGCCGTGTGAGATGAGGTTGAAGTGGGTCAGGCAGCTCTGGATGCCCGGCTCCAAAATGGGGTTGGGCCGCGAGTTCCCCAGGGGAGATCGGTCCTGAGCCAGCAGGTCGGTGAACTCTTTACAGATCTGTCTGTAGCACAAATGGAGCAGAGAGACAGAGAGAGGGAGGGAGGGCAGGAGGGAGAGGAAGAGAGAGGGAGAGAAATGAACCATCGCTGTCAGCAGCAAAGTCAGTGTGTACTCCCTGCTAGATTACACAAGGCCCTGGATCAAGGGGGCTGCTGCCCCCGAGTGCATACATGCATACGCACTCTCCACCCGTCCTTCTGCACAACCTTTCCCCCGATTCTCACTCTTGGCAGGCAAGCACAAACCTCTTCCCCTCACCTCGCATACACGCACAATTGCGCACATGCCTCACGCCCCAGCCAATGCACAGGCAAACAACAAGCAGCACGCACATGCGAGCATCTTTTGCCCACCCCAGCAATCCCTGCATCGCACTCCTTCACCTACTTCCTACAAACACACATCCCTTCCCAGCTGGGTTTTGGAACAGAACTGTAACACAGTTTAAAGTTCTCCAGCGAAGGGGAACGGAAGAGATGGGGAGTAATATCTAAAGAAAGTTTTTCAGGGATTTATTCGTGTTTTGGAACTGGAGAGAGCCTCAGGCCTCCTCCTGCATGAGGCTAAAACATGCCCACGTGTCAGGAAGAAAGAGTGAGGGCAGAGAGGGGAACAGAGGCTTTAAATTAGGGTATGCTGAAGCACTTATATATGTACATCTATATCTCAAAATCCGAAGGGACCTTGCCACAGAGGGGAACGCTGACGCTAACTGGAGTCTGGAAATTTCCTTCCAGGGAGCCAGGAAGGGAGGATACAAGGGCACGGTGCAGAAGTGAGGCTGTATCACCTGCTCGCTGCACAAACGTTTGGGGAAATAACACACCTTATAGCAAGAGCTTAGAGGCGTGTTGAAATAGTTTGTGTTCTAAAACCCACGTTAATGTCTTCCAGCCATAAACTGGCTCCCATCTTCTGCCTGCGCCCTCTGGCACTGTGCCCTTTGGTGACACCTCCATTGGTAATTAAGGGCTACTAAACAGCCCTTTTAATTTCCAGCAAACATATCAAAACAATCATTTTCTTTTCACACACCACCTGGAAGTCTAGTCAGCCCCACCAACGATAAACTCCACTAGCATTTTAACTGCGTACAGATTGGCATTTAAAATATATTTTTAATATCCCTATATTCACTAAGTAACCGAGCTCCTAGGGAAGAAAGAACCATTGCAGATTTTAATGAACTGAAATTGGTTTAATGCGCCAGTTTTATTTTACTGTCAATGGGAAACCTTCCCCTTCCACCTAAAGTGATAAGCTAAGTGAAAAGACCTGGAAAATGTTTTTCTTTGAAGAATTATTGCCTTTTTTTCAACTAAACATCCACCCACGATTTTCACAACTCACTTTCAAGGTAATCCTCACACAAACCAACTTGATGGAGACCAAGCTGGGTTATGCAGCAGTCCTAGAGCGTGAGGGCACACACACCCCCTCACAATTTGCAAAACCATTAGCCACTGACTACGTGGCAAACACTTGCACACAAAGGCCCCAAACCCGGGTCTCTCGCACTCCCCTCACAACTGAGCAACATGCCAGAAAGGTAAAATGTCTTACTTTGTAGCTAGAAGCATGTTTTTTCTTGTGACTTGCTCGTTTGGATCGGAATGTTGTCGGTTGAGAAATTCAGCTACTGCTTTGGCAGGAAATTCTGTCTCACAAACGTACCCAAAATCTCTAGCTAGATGCACTGCTTCTCCTGCAAAGGGAGATGCGGGAGGAAAACACACAGCTCATCAGTACACATGGCACAGAGGCAAAAAATCCATTAGGAAAGAAAGTACTACCTTCTACTCAGGTTCTTCTTCTAAAAGACTTGGACTTGTTTCTTTACAAAAAGGTACGGTAAGAAATGCTAATCACGTCTTACCGTGTAGGAATTGTCTTTGCTTCAGTTAAGGGTAATGCAAATGTGTATTTTCATGCCAGCCATTACAAGTGAAATCTCACACTAGATTTTCCTTTTTAAAGTTTCCATTGACTAACAGATTTTATACAGACCGGCTCCATGCACCTAGAATGTGCGCTTACATTTACACATACACATGTATACAACAGCCATTCATACATATTTCATTCAAAGCTATTTACTCCAGAAATATTTGTTTGCCTCGGCCATGTCTCTATATTCTTTTGCAACGCATCAATGATTAATATTGATCATAATTACTCCTAGAGCTCTTTTAAATAAAATGCATTAAACAGCTAAGTGTTTAAAATTTAACTTGATCGCATATAATTATACGTTCACCCCCAAACGATTAACCATGAGAATTTTAGGGTCATTCCACTGAGTCTGTCTGTTTTGTTGATTTTCAAATCTTTGGTTTTAATTTCCTGAACCAGTTGGTTTTTACTGCAGGGCTTCCTGCCATTAGCTCTAGCTCCGGAAGAACGCATGCGCCAATTAGAGCTTCAAAGCCTCAGTCCAGTGAGCTTGTTTCCATAAAATGGAGCGGATCATAAACAATAACAGTACTCTAGAAACTGCCTCATCGCTACAGGACTCAAAGCCCAAGCAATGTTTATACTATCATCCCCCCAAAATTAGCCACCACCGCTAAGCTAACTGGAGATCAGGCCTCTGTTTTGCTTTTTATTTTTATTATAAAAAAAAAAAAATTCTTTTAAAGCCATTGTATGCCAAAGCCAAGCAGAACAATAGATTACCATAAAACATCTTCCATATTCATTAACATCACAAATAATGTTAAGTGTCTACCAAATCTAGACTTTTTACAAGTTCTCCCCTCGTGATTTTTTTTAGTACGGTGTGTTGATGCAATTGCAAAGCCTTTTCAAAAACATGAAGACACAGTAATTTTCACGCAGTATAAATATAATGCAGCTACTAATCTGATTTTTTTTTTTTTAAAAAAAGAAAGACGTCTGGCATGGCACAGTGCTTCTTTCCCCATCCCTTTGAACATGAAACATCTCTAGCAGAACGCAAAGTGACAACAAAACAAAGCTACAAATTCCCTCCTACACAACCAAACTTAAGCTAACCTACACAGCCCGGGCTGAGGTTAAAAGCACTCTGCAGACTGAAGCAGTCCAAAACGTTGTGAAACCTACAAGTAAGGAGAAAGGAGGAGGATGTATTTTCTGGTCGTGGGTTTAGTTTGTGTCAGCCAGGGTGGCAAAGCAACTGTTTCAAAACTAAATGATTGCAAACTCTTGAGCTTCCCACCTCCAAGTTCTGAAAGCATAGGACATCTGAAGGTGTTAAAAGTAAGCGCACGTTTTCTGGCCAGAGCAAAGTAGAGGAGAATGATATAATGAAGGGAACATATGTTCTGAAAATGAGAACCAAAAGGGAAAGGGGGGAGTGCAACTTTGAGGCTTTCAGGACACCATTAATTCATAGCTTAGGTCAAGGATTCCCAAATTAATTCAGGAAGTAATGGTCACGCATTTCTCAAATGCAGATGTCGGAAAACTCAAATGATTTACTGTTATGTTGCTGGGGGCGGGAGGGAGGCGAATCCTAACGTGGCTGCAGTTTTTGACATTTAAGATCGCCTACTTGTCCACCGGTGGAAGAAGGACGGCAGCGACTCTGCTCCCTGTAACTTCTAATCCAGCACTGGCGAGACCAAGCCCGCAGCCCCCGCTCGCTGCCACCAACAAAACCAGTTTACACTGGGGAGGGATTACTGGCCTGACTACGGGAGCGGGACAGGACCCTGAAAAGATCTAGTCCAAAGCAAATCAACCAACGGTGGGACACGCTGCTGAGTCTGCAGGACTCATGCAAGCCTGTTTCAGATTAAAACAAAAGGCAGAGATGTACGTTTTTATCTGACCAAACACAACGATGCCTCAGCACTGACTCAGGAAAAAAAAAAAAAAAAAAAAAAAAAAAAAAAAAAAAAAAAAAAAAAAAAAAAACAAACTAAGCCTCGTCCTGCTGGGGAAAACCAATGGGCAAGGTTTATCCTACCAACCCTCCCGGCCCGTGGAGTCACTTACCCTCCACCAGCGAAGTGAGCAAGGTGACGTTAGCAGCTTTGCGCCTCCCGGCTGGCAGGTTTAGCCCTATTTTGTCCAGTTTCTCTCTGAGGGATCGCCCTCCATTTTTGGACTTTGCCCTGCACCACGACAGAAAGATGGTTAGAAAAGAGGGACAGGATTCACCCCTGGACACCGTGCTCCTACAGAAGGGGCGTTGAGGGGAGGTTTGGGGGGGATTTGCTATTGAAGGGGTGTCAAGGAGAGTTTATTTGGGGAGATTCAACACCAAAGAGGTGTTGAGGGGAGGTTTTGGGGGAGGATGCCCCACTGAAGGGGTGTTGAGGGGAGGTTTTGGGGGACAAAGGGCTGAAAGCTGAGCTAAATGCGCAGATGGGAGCTGCACAGTGAGGAGACAACCCTCTTTGCACCCTCACCTGCCATGTCCCTGAAGGGGCCGCCTGCTCTCTGGCGAGGGCCAGTACAGTTATTTCACTAGCTGGGAGGGTCAGGAGCCCACACCACCACACATGAACAGGGAGACGAACACACAGGGGCTCATCTCCGCACAGATGAGCTTCCTGACAGCGATGGGGACAGGAGACGGACCACTTTGGCCAATTAACCCTGGAGTTTATTCCCTGCCCAAACACTCTTTAATTGTCTGGACTACGTTACAGCAGGGGGGGTGGTCTCCACAGCCCAGGGGTTTTGGGGTGCCACTGCTGTTGGGGTACATGACGTGACGGAGGGCACCCACTCCAGGCAGCATCGCCGTGGCTGGAGCGCCCCCCGCCCCCTTTCTGCCGGCTCTGCCCCGACCCCTGGCGGCAGGGGGGGTGCGCGCTGAGCCCCCCCCCCCCCCCCCAATTCCCCCCTTCTCAGCTGGCGGGCGCCCGTTAGGGCACAGCCAGACAGACAGACAGCCAGACACACGGAGCGGAGCCCGCCGCCATCCCGCCGCCCCTCACCTCCGCAGCACTCCGCCCAGCAGGGAGGCGTTGAGGCACTCGGGCGGCGAGAGGCGTCGCTGCACTTCCGCCACCGTGACCTTGTACTTGGAGGTGGAGCTGAGCAGCGAGAGGCGGCCCGGCACCGAGCAGAAGACCTCGTTGGGGTTGACCACCCCGCCGAAGAGCGCGTCCTTGTTGATGGGGATGGAGGAGACGGCGTTGTTGTTAGACTTGGAGAGGGACACGGGGCCTGCAGGGAGGGAGGAGCAGGGCGGTGAGGGTGAGGAGCGGGCGGGGGGACGGGGCAGGAGGAGGAGGAGAGGCGGCCGCCGGGCTACGGGAGGGGGGGACCGGGGGGGGTGAGGCGAGGGCAGGCACCCCTTGGTCCGCAGCAGCTGCCCGACACCAGAACAACGCCACCAGAAGAGGGAAAACAAACGGGGCGCCCAGCGCTGGATGCGGAGGGAGGCGATTCCCGGGGGGCCGCGGCCACCCGCGCCCCTTCTCCCTCTCCCCGGGCCCAGCGGGAGCCTTCGGGCTCCGTCCTCGCCCGTGCCCCCCAGCCCCGGCCCGAAGGGGCCCCCGCCGTTTTGGATAGATGGCTTGTGACATTAATAGCTCTGGGAGGGCTAATAGATACGCCAGGAGTTAAACGAACTCTTGAGATTACTAATAAAAGAGCCAATTATCATGTCGGCTCGGAAAGAGCATCTCTTAAGATTTATCCCTTGCACGTCTAATTTGACGTGACAAAGGCTTCGCGGGCAGGGGAAGGGGACAAAACTTTAAGCACAGCGGCTGGGCTCGGGGGGAGAGTGGTGTGAGCCGGCACCTTGCTTGGCACAGCACCCCCGGGTGGCTTTGCACCTTCACACCGAGAGCAGAGCGCCCTGTGCCGCCTTCCCATCCCTCTGCTCGTCCGGAGCACGGTGGGAGCGCACGTCTGAGCGGAGACACGCCGGCAGTGCCCCGCACACAGCGCTCCGGGACCGGCCTCCCAGCAGCTTCAACCCCCCAGCAATCCCAGCAATTTCAATCTCAAGCAAAGCAAAGAGCACAAAGCTAAGCACAACTGATCCCCCAGCACCTAGCCCCTTGCTCTCCAGCAGCCCAGCTAGTCTCCACTGCACTTTAGCCACAAAAACACGAAGGGGAAGGAAGAGATTGTTCTCCTCCAGAGCCCAGTTTGGTAACAACGATTAAATACCGATGCTCTGCGCAGAGCTGGGAAGGGAGCCGCTTGCCGAGGCACCAGAGCACCGGCTCGGCTTTGTTGGACATTTCCAGGGCAGGGCTGAGCCCGATTACCCTGCTCTGCCTCTGAGCCCCTGGCCAGTGGCGCCCAGGCTCTGCCACCACGCGCGAGGAAGCAGCTCACCTTTCTTAATTACAGTTTGATCCGGGATGTTAATACCGGGGTCTTCTACGTGCTGCAACGAAAGGGAGAGAGGCGGGCTGTCAGTGCGCGGCGCCGGCGAAAGGCAGCGGGGCGTGGGAGGGGAGCCCCGGAGGGCACCGGGCAGAGGGAAAGCGACAACGGGGGGGCGGAGAGGAGACGGGGTTCGGGGGCGCTTCCTTCGCACGGAAGAACCCTGCCTCCCTCCCCGCTCTTCTCCACGAAAAACGAGAAAAAATAATAATGATAACAACAACAACAAAAAAAGAACAAAGATCCACCCCACACCCTCGGGACTCGTCCTGCCGAGCCCGACGCCCGGTCGGCCTCCAGCCTCCCTTTCTGCCTCCCCGGCCCGGCCTCTCCCCGCCGCAAGGGAGCACAAAGAAGCGCCCGCACCGCACCGACGGGGCGAGCCGAGCCGAGCCGAGCCGAGCCGGGCCGAGCCCCTGCAGCCCCGGGGTCCCCACTATTGTCCGCTCGCACTTTTGCGCGCTGGAGGCTGCAGATGGGGTTTTGCGCGCCCGCGCCGCAACGTGATTAGAAAGTCAAATGAAATCATGTTTTCTAATTCAAAAAAATGACAAGCGATATAATGTCTGGCTGTGTTTACAAATTAACACCAGTGGTGCTGAGATAGAAGATTTCGCAATCGTTACAAAACACAGGCATTACCATTTAAAAAACTATTACTTCCTTCTCTAGTCTTTGTCCAACAATAATACTGATTCTAACATTTTCCATTCTGTCTTGGATTTATGCTCCTGTTAATTGTGCCTGATCTCAATGATTCCGGGTGGATGGTACTAAGTTGCTTTATTACAGGTTTTATTATACTCAATGCTCTCATTTGTAACTTGCCTAAAGTGCTTCTGGATTTAAGTATAATTAAATTGAGAAATGTTCAGAAATGACTACTGCTGCAGTTCTTGTGTTTTAACTATATGGGGAAATATGATCCCTTTATGCATGCACCCTAAACCCATAAAGTAAATGTAGTGTGGCATAATACTTTTATTTGTGTTATTTCTACACATATTCCATACAGGGAGGACTGTTAAGTTTAAAATCCCACAGAGATATTTATGATTAAATAATTTTCACCGTCTACTTGATTTTCTTAAATATTTAGCGGTCCCTTTTATTAAAGGTTAGCTGTTGCAGCAGCAGAAAATTTTGAAAAATCACACTTTCCACGACCCAAATTTCTGCAAAGGATTTTGTTGTTGTTGTTTCATAACTAGATAAATGCTCTCAAAAGATACATTATCTTATTTTTATGCCTTCCTTCATGCATCCTGCTGATTCAGTTTTACAGAGAGTAAAATAAAATTGGCTGGGCTGGTTTAAGGATTTAAACCAGATGGCATTTGGTTTTCACAAACTATAGCAATGCTATTAATTCATAGATCTTACAAAGGCAAATAAAATGATTTGTACTTAAAATATCTGCACAAGAGGCTTCCCAAGCCAGCCCACTGCAACAAAGCACAATCACAGTGAGGGGGAATTCAAGAGAACATTTTAGGTCACGTTCCTACAGCAGTCAGGGGCTCACAGTCAACAAATTAGTTTATTCTTACTATTGCCTCCGTGTTATTTTATATCAGGTTAAAAGAATCGACCTGTTTTTAACGGATCCAAATTGCTTACTAAATCCTCCACTTTGGGAAACATATGCGTTTATTGCAAAACTGCTAAACATAACCAGCAATTTTCTGTGGCTAATTTAGCCAGATGAGGGCTGTAATAAATTCACTATTTTCCCCGAATATGATTTACAAAAGATTTCAAAATGACCCCCCAAAATAGGTAAGTTCATCTGAACATTATCCTTGCAACACGAAACTGTACTCATTAAACTGTCAGCGAATATATTGTTGTAATATTTGATCCTGTAATTTGGGATGGCATTTCAGCAAAAATCACATCCAGATACCACAATTCCCTCCTCCTCTTTCCTCGTTGCAAAGTAAAGCAGCTTCAGCCCCTTAGCACAAGCTCTGTGGGCTTTAATAAATTTATTGGCATGTTCTAATTCTATTTTCAGGGAGAAACCCAGAAAGATGAACTTTGATCACAAGCAGTCATTCCTATCACATTGCATAAGGCCACTTTCCTAACTGAACAATAGCACGGCTCACTTTGTAAATACCCCTCGTGCTAATGTCATGCTTAATTAGGAATCATTTTTTAATCTGTATTTATTGATAACAAAATTAGATCCCCCAAATAACGCACCACCCAATAGGCTCCAAACATTTAATTTAATATAGGGTGTAGCAGGTCTGGCTAGAATTTGATAACCTATAGCTAATGATTTATGAGGTCATCCCTCTGCACTACTGCTAAAAGAATAAGGCAGCATTTTAATATACCTCTCCTCTGATTTGTCAATTAATTCCTTTGGAGAAGAGGATCTGCCCGTATCCTCTTACAACTTTAGATGTCATTATCCTGTATGCCAATTCTGTAATCATGGGGAACGTTTTTTTTTTCTTTTAAGACCACTTTCACCCACTTTTATTTTTTTTCCCCTTTTCTTTCCCCTCTTTCCCTTTACGTTTGCCTGAGAGGACATTTAATGAGATCTCGCATTTCAGACTAATGCTTTTCCCAAGGCAGCGAGAAATCCCCAAATGCACGGCCCTGTGGTGATATTATACATTCTTCCAATCGTAACAGCTTATTGTCATTGAGAAGGAAAGATATTGTTAACGATGACAGTAATTTGATTTATTTATATTTTAGCGGGCACGCTAACAGGGAGGCATCGTGCAGGGATGAAACGCGAGAACCCATTGTTCTGTGTGGGGGGCTCAGGGTCTCCTTGCCCCCCTCCCTTTTTTGCTTAGTGGGGAGAAGGTCTGGGGGGAGATCCCCTTCCCCTTGCCCTCTGCCCCCCCCAAGGGGGGTAGAGGGATGTGGGGAGTGATGCCAGAGGGATGCAAGGGCCCGAGCAGCGGGGCTTACCGGCACGTCCTCGATGGCGTGAGGGATGGAGTGTAGGGGCAGGTCAGCCAGCCCCGAGCCCAGCCCGTGCGGGGCATGCAGCAGGTCGTCATGCCGCCGGTAGTCCCTGCGGGGGTCCAAGCCCGAAAGCTGGTGGGGGAGCCCCCGGTGCGTGTGCAGGAGCCCCGTTTCCTGGCTCTGCCTCTGTCCCGGCCATCCAGGGTGCTGGGGCTGCGGCTGGGCGTGGAGGGGGTTGAGGCTGTAGGGGTCGTTCACGTGGGAGTAGGGGTCCTGAGACTGGGGGTAGATGGGCTGGTAAGGAGGGGGGAAGTAGGGAGGCTGGAAGTCGGCGTTGGGGGTATGGGAGAGCGGCGGGGCGCTGGTGTAGGGGGACTGACCCACGGTCCCCAGCTGGGGCAGCCGGGCCGTCCCGTTGCTGGTGCTGTCGTGGCGCTCCTAGGGTGTGGGGGTGTCAAAATGGGGAGGGGGGGGAAGGGGGGAAGGACACGGGGAGGAGAAGGAGGGGGGGAGAAAAGAAAAACAAAAGATAAAATCAAACTGTTTCTCGTCAAAAGCGGCTCCCAAATTTCACCCGCCGGGCGATCCGCCTGCTCGGAGGCAGAGCTGAGGATTTCTCTGCCCCCCCCACCGCCCTTTCAACAAAATCCTGAGGTACTCTCGCTTCTCGAATAATAACAATAACGACGACGATAGCAGCGGCGATAGCACTACTCATAGCAGGACTGCTCACAACAATTCATGAAATGTTGCGGCGGCACAGCGTGGATTCACGACAGATCGCGCCCGGGCATTGCAGGAGCAGGTATTTCCCGCAAATAGAAAGAATCATTTCTAAGCGTGCCGTAGGAAAATGATAATAAGAATAACGCTCTTGCCACCCAAAAAACGCTCCTGCCGGCCCTGAGCAAAATTAAGACGGAGTCAGCCGCCGAGATTACCGCTAACGCATCCCAAGAAAAACGTGGGAAATCAAAGACCACTGCCATCTTGTTACCAGAAGACGCCGAAATGGGCTCTGACCACCCACCCGTTCCCCTTGCAACTTTGGCAAATGTGTCGGGGCGAAGGCACGGCCGCGGGGCCCCTCCGCAGCCCACCCGGGGGCAAAGCCGCACCGAGCCCCCGTTTGCCCGAGGGAAATAGGGGTCGGCGGGGGGATGCGGGATCCCCGGCTCTGGAGGCTTCTGAGGCCGGGCAAAAGAGCCCGCAGGTACGTCCGGGGAAAAAGGCATGGCCTCCGCGGAGGAGGAGAAGGAGGAGGAAGAGGAGGAGAAGGAGGAGGAAGGGGGGGTCGGAGGGAAAGGGCCACGGGCCCGCAAAAAGGAAACGGGAAAGCTGGAAATATCCCGTTTGCAGGTGGCAAGGGGGAGAAATCTGAGCGGCGGGGTCCAAGCAAAGCCTTTTGCCGTTCGCAAACCAAAAATAAATAAAATAAACCAAAACAAAATAAAAACAAAATAAAAACAAAATAAAATAAAAACAAAATAAAATAAAGACCGTAGGGGGAGAGAGAAAAAAAAATAAAAAAATAATAAAAAAAAAAACGAAACGAAGAAAACAAAAAAAAAAAAAAACGAGAGTGAACGAGAAGGAAAAAAAAAAAAAAAAAAAAAAGAGAGAGAGAGAAGGGAAGGTAAAGCACCGATTTAATAAAAATGCAGGAAGGAAAAAGAGCCCTCTCCAGCAAGCTGGATGCGAAAGCCCGGCTGCCACCGCCACCAACAATAGCAACACCCAGCACCCGATCCCCCTCCGAGAGAGCCGCGAAGCCACTCACCATAGCCGAAAAACTGTGCACTAACATCTGCGAAGAGTCGGGGGGTTACGAGGCAGGGCAGAAAAAAATAACGATAACAACAACAACAAAAAAGCAGAGCAAAGTGACCGGAGCTGCGCGCACAGCCCCCGGCGGAGCCTGCGCGGGCGCGGAGGGAGCGCGGCCGGAGCCCGGCGCTAGGCGCGGGGGGGACCGGGGCGCCGGGGCTGCTCCGCGGGTGCGCCACGATAATCCATCAGAACTTGCACCGATCCCGGCTGCCCTTCATCGGCTCTTGCAAAGGCGAGCTCTCTCTCTATCCTGGCGTGGTGTGAGGAGTCAAAGTTGGTCGCTTTTTTTTTTTTTTGGTTTTGCGCTTTTTTTTTTTTTTTGCCTTTTTTTTTCCCGCTTTTTAGCGTGTGTGTGTTTGTTTCTTAATCCTTTTTTTTTTCTCCTCTGTCTCTCTTTTTTTTTTTTTTCTCCTTTGACTTAGCTGCTGGTTCACTTGAGCTCCTAATAACAGATCTGCTGCCTTCCTGGAGACTCCTAATAGCAGATATTCATGACTATTAATATTACACGAATACTTAATAAGGGAAGAATGGCTGGAAATCGAGCGTGAAGCGAGAAGGCAACTCAAGGCAGAGCCTGTTCTAAATGACGTCCATTGAATGAAGAATCAGTGTATCTAATCAGAGATGGGGGAGAGGGAGAGAGAGAGAGAGAGAGGGAGAGAGAGAGAGAGAGAGACAAAAAGGGAGAGAGAGGGAGAGCGAGAGGGGGGACATGCTGCTGCGTCTGACGAATCACAGGAAAGGGGCAACATTTTAAAAGGTTGCAGGGCATGCAAAAGTGAAAGAGAAAGAGATCCGGAGAGAGGGAGAGGGTGGGAGACGGGAGGGCGTGCGGCGGGAGCGGGAGGGGGGGGACGAAAAGGGGGGGGAGGACGGGCAGAAAGAGAGAGGGGAGGGGGCGCGGGATCCCCCCTTCCTTCCCTTCGCTTCCTTCCCCTTCCCTTCCCTCCCACCAGTCCATCTTCCCCTGCCCCCGCGGGCCGGCGAGGGCGCACCTCGGGCTGCGGCTGCTGGGCGAAGCCGGCCTCAAAGCCCACGGCGAAGAGCGGCTGCTGGCTCCCCGCTTGGCTCTTGCTACCCTCCGAGGAGCCCCCGCCGCCTCCTTTCCGCGGGGTGGGCTCCGGGGGGCCGCCCCCCCCCGCTGCTGCCGCCGCCGCCCCGTCCATGCCTCGACGGCGCCCCGCCGGGGGGCTCCCAGCGCCGCCGAGCCGGCTCGCCTCCGTGCGTCCCGGAAAGCGGCTGGGAAAGTTTTTTGGCCTTTTTTTTTTTTTTGGGTGTCTCCCCTGCTCCGTCTCAGCCCTCCTCCGCCTCCCCGTCGCCGTCCTCCTCTTCCTCCTCCTCCTCTTCGAGGCCGAGGCGAGCCCGGGGTAGGGGGCTGGGGAGCCCCGGGAGCATTCACCGGGCTCCCCTCGGCCCCCCTCTCGGAGGAGCCGGGAAAAGAAAGAAGGGGGGAAAAGACAGCGGGCGGGGAAGGAAGGGAAGGGAAAGAGGGCGGGGGGGAGAGGGAGACGGGAAAAGAGGCACGGCGAGAGCTTCTCCCGGCCCAGACAAGCCGGGGCTCCGGCGCAACCCGTCGGACTGGCTGCGCAACTCCCCAGCTACTCCCTCGGCCGGGCGCTGCTCCACTTTCCGCCGCCCGGCCACGCAACGGCGACGGGAACGGCCGGGCTGCGCCCCGCCGCTCTCCCCCAGCTCCTTTTCTTTCCCCAGAGCCTGCCCCCCACTGAGCAGGAGCTCCCTCCCCCCCCCATTTTTTCCCCCCTTCCCCCGCAAGCCCCCTTGCAGCCCGCATCCCCTTCCCAGGAGTGGCATCCCGCAGCCGGGAGCAGCGGGGTGCTACATGCCCTCAGCGCGGGGGCGACAAAAAGCAGTGAGGACGAAATCCCACGCCTAAAAATCCCATGTCCTGGGTGGGGGAAGAAGGGGAGAGGTATGGCTTGCTCCCCAAGTCCAGCCAGGGGAAAGCACTTAAGAAAAAAAAAAAATAATAACAGAAAGATATCCCTGACACTTCATTCCTAGAAATCAGGCTTCTGCCAGCAAGTGGATCTAAGCGCTCAGCTCCCACGCCGGGAGAGCAGCTTCATCCCAACGGCTTGATCCAGGACCCGAGCACCAAATAATTTAATCCCCGGCAAGCGCGGCGAGTCCTCCATCCCTTTCCTACGCTACAGCATCGCCAAAAGCCGCGGCGGGGGAGGACGGGAGCGTGCCCCCCCGCTCCCTTGGCATGGATGCCGGCAGAGGCTCCGCCGAGGCTGAGGCTGCCTCCCCGCCCGGCTCAGCACCAAAGAAATACATTCATTTGCACAGTGCAGTCCTTTATTGCGCGGTTCGAGTGCACGGCACAGGCAACTTTTGCAAAACGCATGACAAGGGTATTCGTTGGTTTGGGATGAGGCAAACCATTCCGGGCATGGCTCTTCTTTTTCTTCGTCTTCTCCTCCTTTCTGGAAGGTGAAAAGCCACTCGCCTCTTTCTCAAGAGACAGATGCACACCCATACACACATGCACGCACCCGGGGCTGTGCTGAACGGCTCCCAGCCCTCGTTAGGTGGGCGCTGCACTCCCAGGAGGACCCAAAATCCTTGCCCAGAGCCAGGGGAGCGCGGCCCTGCGGGGCGGAGGCTGGCTGGGGGGCGCCGCTCCGCAGCCCCGGATTGCGGCTCCACAGCTGGCCCCGCAAGGCACGCAGCTCACAACGAGCGAGCCGCGGCTCCAGCGAAATATAGGATTTTAGGCGTCGGTCCCGAGTCGATCTATAGGGGTGCCTCGGGCACCTGGTGTGCGAGAGCGATTCTTTCTCTTCCCTTTGTCTCCTTGCCCTTTCATTCATCCAGCCATCCGTCCATCCATCCATCCATCCATCCATCCATCCACACGGATGAGCGTAGCATCCTACAGAGCCTTATCTAGAGAGGATCTACCTAGAGACAAGACCGCTGCTGCATCCTCCGTCCTGCTCGTCTTCCCTCACACACTGCCGACAAAGCTGGGTTTCCACAAGCCCCGAAGTTCCTGGGGAAGGACCCCAGCCCCTCTCCAGCTGCAGGACCGCGAGGAAGCCTGGCGAAGGAGCAGAAGTTTTCCTAAACGAAATTCAGAGATCGATGGATGCTGCGGGGTCCCGCTCGCAGCTGAGGGGCCCGGGGCTCTCTGCCCCGGCCCGGGAAAGCGCTTACCTCACATTCCTCATACTTGATATTATCCGTCAGTTTCCAAAGCATTTTCATGGATTGGCGTGAGAGAGGATTTGTTTCTCCCTGCCTTTCACTAAAGTGGTGCCTCTGGTATGCGGAGCGCGGCTGGCGGAGGCTGTGCACTGCTCCTCTGCGCGCTCTGAGATCTCCCTCTAATGGTCGAAACTTTTCCCTTTTCCAGCTCTTTACCAACAGCCTAATCGCCTCATTAGCATATCAACAATAGCCCAATTGCTCTCCAGCACAACAACCTGCAGCGGCGGACACAGGTACAACGGACCCACGGGCCACGGGGCTTTGCCGAGCCACGCGTGGGGGCAGAGGCCTCTGACCACCCGTGCGCGGCTCCCTCCGCCTGCCTGGAGTTTGGGACTAGCCGAGAAGCCACCCTTCTCGTTTCTTTTTAGGGTTTTTCCTCCTCGTTCCATCGGGTTGAAAACACCCAAGAGGAGAGCAACGAGACCCGGGCCGCGCTCTGTCCAGGCTGATTGCTCTCTGTGGAGGCTGCTGCCTGGCGGCTTTGATTTTTTTTTTTTTTAAATTATATTTTTGGTGGATACTTAAAAAGCTTCTGTCTTTTACAAACTATTTGCTTCCTCTCGGGTCTGTTGGCTATTGCTCTTCAAACAAACAAACAAAAACCAACAACGTAACCTCCCAGACAGCATTGAGCGAGCGGTAACGCGAACGCATCAGGAGCCAAAAAGTCTTTTGCAAGCACTTCGGCAGAGGGACAGAACAATGGCCATAATAAAACTTGGGCTGTTTCTTAGGTGGAGCGCTTCGTTTGCCTAACAATCCACTGCTAACTGAGCGCTCCTCCTGCCCTCCTCTAGGGCTTCTTTTCCAACCTCCTCTTTTTTTTTTTGTTTGTTTGTTTCCCGCGATGCCCAGACGAAAGGTTTATTTTCTGTTGCTCCGTTTCCCCATTTTTTCCCTCCTTGAGGCCGCTGCCTCGGGCCTGGCACGGCTCGAACGGGTCGGGCCCCCAGACCCGCTGCGGAGCGGGACGCGCAGGGGACCTCCAGACCTGGGAAACCCCCCCAGGGGGCACCGCCCGACACCGAGGCCGCATTCACCGCCTGCGGGAGCGAGCAACCCTTCAGGCCGCGGGGAACCCCTATGGGTGCTCACGGGAGAGCCGAAACACGCTGCCCTGCGCGCCCCCAGCCCCAAAATGCAGCGCTCCCCCACCACCACCGCCCCCCCATTCCCTACCCTTCGATGCTCTTTTTTTTTTCCCCCTCTCCCCTCACCAGCTCTTTTGTCTGCAAATGGCAGGAGAGTAAATTGTTGGTTTTACTCCCATTGAGGTTCAAATGGAGCTGGCAGATTAAGGCCGGCTAATGCGGGCCGGGGGAGGAGGAAACCCAGGGGGTCGCCGCGCCTTAGCGCCGGCCTGGCGGGGCACGGCCGAGGAGTGCGGAGCCCCCCGCCCGGGACCACCCGGAGCAGCCCCCTGAGGCTGCGGGCACGGCTCCGCACGGCCCAGCAAAGCCGCAGGGGTGCCTTGGCGAAAAGGAGAGAAGGGGCGCACGGCGAACTCAGGAGTGAATTTCAAGGCAGATAGCCCGTAGGTGGAATCGTGTGAGGGTTGCTTTTAGGAGAAAATTAATAATAATAATAACGAAATCCTTTTTTGATCACTTCTGCGCGCCGACCTGATAAAATAACGCCGGGACTAACTGGGAAAATAACTTCAGAGATATTTTTGTTTACTGCATGTTTTCCCGCAGAAAACTTACTGCTACATCCCCCCCAACCCCTAAGCCCCCCTCCCACCCCCCCCCCAAAGAAAGAAATAAGAAAAAAGCAGCACAAGGAAAGACTTAGTCGCGAGAATCGAAAAGTTGGGAGCAGAAAAGATGGGCTCCCATCTTGCGCTGCACTGTCCGGGAAAAAGTAAATCGTTTTCGGCAGCAAAAACATGAGTGCTTTAACAGCCCCCTTCACCTCCGCTTTTTATTAACTGCCTAAATCGCGGCCGCACATTCCGGAGGCTGTGGGATTTCCCAAAACTACCCCAGTTTCTCCACGCGTGGCGGCTCCCCCGTGGGGTGGGGGGGGTCCCTACGGCCCCATGGGGTCGGGGCCACGCTGCTACCTCCCAAGCCACCCTCCCCGATTTCAACTCGTCCCCGGGGCCGCTCCTGGCACCTCTCCGGCCAGGTAGGAACAGCGGGGGGCTTTTTTTTTCCCCATGGGATAGGCTCAGGGGAGCCCACGGCGTGGCTGTCCCCCTGCAACAGGTAGCAAGCGGTGGGATTGGGCTGGGGGGGCGCAGGTAGGCGCACCCCACAATTTAGCCCTCTCCTTCCCCCGCAGCCAGCGGCCGCAGGGCCCGACGCCTTTCCCCGTTCCAGCCCTATCTCCCCTCCCAAAATAACAACACCACCCCAAAACAACAACAACAAAATCCAACAGCGAAGGAGGCTCGCGTTACCTGCCAGTCCCCCATTTTGGCAAGGATGGACATCCTGGCTGCGGGCTGCGTATCCCCAGGTCCCCGCTGGTCATGGACTGCGATTTACCCGCGACGCCTGTGGGTAAATCCTCCCCTTACCTGCGCCGGGACTCTCTCACCTGGCCATAAAGAGCTGGGTGCTCCCTGCCTGCGCCTGCGCGCTACTTGCGCGCTGCCTGCGCGCTGCCCCCCGCCGCCGCGCAGCCCCGGGGCTGCCCCGGGCCGGGGTGGGGACGGGCGAGCCCCCTGCCCTTCTATTCCTCCCCTCCCCGGGGGGGGCGGCGGGTCCCTCGGGGGCGAATTCCTAACTGCGACAGTGATGATATAATAATAATAATAATAACAATAACCGGCCTACAATAGCAGCCCTAAATACAAAGCGCCTCGGGGCTGGGGCTTCCGAACTAGCCCGAGGGAGGAACGGGGATGCTGCAAGTTGCCCGGAGAGCTGGGAGGAAATAAGAGAGACGCAGATCTTCCCAGCCCCCCTGCGAGGGGGTAAAGGGGGGTGCCCGCCGCCGTTCCCCATCCCGGCCGGTCCCGGGGACGCTGCGACCCCTCTGGGACATCCTGGGGGCTTCGGGCCTCCCGGTGCCCGAACCTCCCACCCCTGTTTTCTTCCCCCACTTCCTCCTCCCTCCTACCCCCGCCCCCGTCCCTATTTTCGAGTGCCGAAATGCCTCGGGAAGGCGGCCCGGCTTTAGGGCAGTTTTAATTTCCCAGCCCGAGGAGGGGGGTGTCGGGGGGACTGCCATCCATCTGCACTTTGAAGGCGCAGAGAAAAAGCTGTTCGCATCTCGCAGCCGGGACAACGCCGCACCCTGTCCCGTCTGCGGGTCACCCCTAGGCCTGCCAAAAGACAGGGCGACACCGAGGGAGGACAGCAGCGTCTGGCCGGGAAACGGGGTCCTGGGCTTGGCTCAGTCCCCGGGGAGGGGCAGGGGAAGGGGTCTGGGGGCGAGGAGGGGTGGACAGAGCCGGGGATCCCGGGGGCTCCTGCGCTGAGCGCGCTCAATGGGCCGTGAGAGGCGCGCTGCGCACCGCTGCTACCAGCGCCTGCCCGCGGTGTACAGTTAGCGTCAAATTACAGCAATTAGCCGGGCACCGGAATTTAATTACCCGGCCCTGCCCCTTCCCACTCCCTTCCTCCTCCACCCCCCCGGGTCCGGGGAACCTCCCGAGGAAAGGTGGCCCTTTGCCTAGCGCGAAAGTTGCGCGGCTCTGGGGCTTCCCTGCCTGCTCCCCGGCCGTCCTGTCCCTCTGAGCCGCCCCGGGGGGGCAGCGATTTTCTTCTTACAATTACTTAAAACGTTACTTTCTATCATTACATATATATATATGTATACATATGTATATTTCCAGGGAGAGGCGGGGAATTAATCCGGTCTGAAGCTGGCCTTTGGCGAAAAGTTCCCGGTAAACTTGGCTGCCACTCTTTTCGTATCCTGCCGTCGGGATCGCCCCCTGCTCCCATCCCCCGGCCCCCTGTCCCCCCCAGCCCCGCACGGACGGGAGCCGTGCGCTTGGCCGGGAGGCGGCCGCAACACAGTTTTGGGCACCTCGAGGCAGCCCTGGCTGGCATCGGGCTCAATCCTACGCTTTTTTAGCCTGGGGGGGAGGTGTAGCGCAGAGGTTACATTATTTTTATTTTACTTTATTTTATTTTATTTTATTTTATTTTATTTATTTTATTTTATTTTATTTTATTATATTTTATTTATTATTTTATATTTCCCTCCGTCGCGCCGGCCGCTTTGCAGCTGGGCGGTGAATTCGGAATGTAAATCTCCGACAGTCCTCGTGGAGCTCCTTCCTCTGCCACCTATTTCAGAAGGCAGCGGAAGGTCTCTACCCCCTGTGCTCGCTCCTCGCAATGTTGCTTTCTCCTTCCTCCCTTCCCCAGTGCCAGGCACAGGCTACAGGCTGATTTCCACTGGCTCGTGGTCACAGAAGTTGCAGTTGGCTATTTTTTGGCAGCCCGTAGGATCCGTGCCGCCGAGGAAGGGGGGCACCGCTCCTGCCCGCCCCTTACCCTCCATCCCATCCATCCCATCCATCCATCCCATCCCATCCATCCCATCCCCAGACAAACTCCCGGCAGGGGTGTTTCCAGCGAAAAAAGGAGAGGTTCAGGTCGGTGTGGGTCTCCTCGGCTTCCCAGGGGTCATATCCACCAGCATCCCCCATGAAAGAGGATTTCCAGGCTGCGCTGGGGTCTTCCCAGGAGCAGAGAAGAGCAGAAGGAAAGAGGCAAAACCTGGCAGTATATTAAAATATATTATATATTAACATTATATATTATATATTTACATTTTATATACATTTATATATATATATAAAGGAAAAAATAAGAAGAGAAAGAAGCAGCCCCCACAAACCACTCTGCAGACCAAGCTGGTGGATGGAACGGGCTTTGGGGTGCAGGAGCGGAACCTCATTGGGCGTGGGGCTGCTTGCACCTGTGCCTGTCCTGCCCATCACTTTTGGCAGAGTTTTCCTCTGAGATGCAGAGAGATTCAGGCAGCTGGGGTAGCTTCTGCCTTTCCTGGGGACCCACACACGGGGATGCAGCCGAGCATGCTGCACACCTCTCTCTCATTTGCAGTCCAGAAGAAAAAAAAAAAAAACAACTAAGTGTTTTTTCTTTCCTTCTTTCCTTCTCTCTCTCTTTCATTCTTTCTCTCTTTTTTTTTTTTTTCTTCACACGTGGGTCCCCATCTGCCCATTTAATATTTATTGACTAACCCAACTACACCAAAGCAACTAAGTGAGCAAACCCAGGGAAAACTGAGCACGCAGCGCTGTATGGATGCAACAGCTCTGCTGAGGACTTCTTGGTGTCTGCATGAGCAACCGCACGCTGCAAATTCCCATGCTGTAGATGTATGGAAATGTAGCAGGTACATTCCAGTTCAGCTGACACCCCTTTCCCAGCGTAGGGCCTTTGGGGCTCAGTACATTGCCACCTCCAGAAAACAAACTCCTAAAAATCCATCCTAATGATAGAGCACCCGTGAGGTAAAACTCTGCACTTCAGCTTTTTTTGATCATTCAGGGAACAGTTGTAGGGTCTCAAATGCAAATGTTTGCAAGGAATTTGACCCTTTTATAGAGCACAATAAATCCATGCTAAAGCCACCAAGCACTTTTGTCTTCAGGAGAAGAAATCTAGCTACTATAAACATGCTGAGATCCAATTACTTGATTATTCTGCCCTATTCACTTTTTTTTTTTTAATTGTACGTTTAATTTGCTAAACAGGAAAAAAACCTACATAGTTTTAAGAAAACAGTTCCGCTTGCAGCTTGAGCATAAAAAATGTGAGTGTTTTCTGTGTGATTTTGTCTGCTCACACATTCTCCAAAAAGACTTTTGCATTTGAAATACAGGAAACTATTTTGCCAACAATCTCAGCTGCAGCAGATTGCAGTTTTATTGACCATGCCACTGAAAAACAAATACAAAATTGTTATTTGACATTTATTATTTTATAATTTTTCATCACTAAAGTTGTTAGGTGAAATTCATAGAACGGTATCCTCCAATGTGACTTGCCTGAACAAAGCATTATTGCTAAACCAAATTAATTGTTTATGGAGAGGGCTGCACTTCTTTGGGTAAAGCTTCACCATCTTCACTGCCCCCTGCCCTAAAAATCATTGATGCAACTGCAAGTATCCACTGACCTGAGGACGAAGCACCAAGTTACACTCCAGTGCTAAGTCTCTACATGACGAGTTTTGCTTGGATTAAGATTTCAAAACTGAGCCCATAATAAGATATGCCATAAAACCTCACACAACCCTCCTCCCCCAGGGATATTTATATTAAATATTTAATTGCTCAGTAAAATAAATTCTGTATGTGTATGCTTATCTGGGAAGGATTTTGATCCATTAATTTCGGGGTATCTTCTGATCTGCAGCAGCTTAGAAAGAGTCTGTACTAACATCCTTGGAAAGTGTTAAGAAGCAGAATCTGTGCTCTGCAAAAGAACACCTATTCAGGTGCTGAATATTTACACATAGGCAGGAGTGAGCTTTCCTTTTAATGCTATCTCTTAGCTGCAAGAAAAACAAATGAAAGTTATTTAAGTACAGGCCAAATCCCTGTTTCTGCTAAAGCAAATAACAGGGCTCCACAAACTGGCATGGAGCAGAACGGGGCTCCTTCATGTTACATTCATGTCATATTAATGCGGTCATTTTTATAATGACTTCCCTCTCAAACTCTATAATAAGCTTCAACAAACCCTTGAGAGAGGCAGTGTTATTAGTTTATCTGCTTTACAGATAAGTGAATTGATGCAAGGGGAAGATAAGGAATTTCCCCAAGGTCTTGCAGCTGGTTTGGTGAAGATCAAGGAAAGGAAACCAAGAACCATCCGCTAGACCAGTATCTGCTCCTCCTGCTGCTGCTGACATTGCATCCCATTGTCAGGAGCGAGAGATTTGGAGGAGCAGTGTGTGCTTGGGGCCTCTCTGCAACAGGCTGCTTCCATTCAGGTGCCGAATTGTGCTCTTTGGTATCTAAACCTGGGCACCCGCACCTACATTTGGAACTCTTGGTGTCTCTCTAACGACACTTGGGCATTGCATCCACCCTGGCACAATGTGGTACACTGGAAGTGGAATTGCATTCTTCAGTGCATTGAATAAAACACCCTAATAATTCCAAGACGTATTTATGAAACAAAGCCTGGCAGTCTCCATAGTGGGGTTTAAATAAAATCTACTTTGATATATTTAAGCTAACATTAGAACTGCTGTCTGCAAGGCATATATTTTAATGTGTCAAATAATTACAAAAAGACATATTACTGGAAAATAACTGTTGGAGGCTCTGATGTCCATAACAATATTAATATACAAAAAAAAAAAAAAAACCCTCCAAGTGACTTTTTTAACAAGAAACTTCCAAGGCTGTAGTCTTTAATCGAGACCAGCTTGCATGCAGCTGCAATACATTTAGCCTTTAACATTAGCTCTAGCCATTGTCCTAGCACATGCCTACACCCCATGACACTTTATGGCATTAAAAGCAGTGCTGCATGGCTAGAGCAACTTGTCACTAAGATATATCACTCAGCAGAGAGCAAAGCAAAACGAAGCAGTGAACAGCATGGTCTTTCCACAGCAGCCTGTACCATGGGTCTGGCTTGCTTGACTCAGTTGTGTTTCTGGGGTGTTTTATACCAGCATACGTTGCCTGCCTCCCTGACTGCTGTGGAAGAAAACCGCTGAAGTGAGAGAAACCATAGGTTGTGCTCTGGGTGATGCAGTGTGATCTTCCCAAAGAGCAACAGAAGGAACAGCAGTCCTCTACATGCATAATCTCATGGCAGCCCAGGGCTGGTGGAATCACTCTTTCACTGGCCTCGCTTGTGGCAGAAGGACAAAACACTGCCTGGCTCTGCCGAGGAAGTGATATCCCTTACACCCGGTCACACCTTGCCCCTCCTTTGGGAACTTCTGGCCAGAGGAGCAGGGTTAAAAGCAGCAAGCAGCCACCTATCCTGCTTACTACAGGCAAGTTCAGGGGCCTGTGAAGCCCCAGCGTGGCTGCAAATGAAAGCAGGCCAAGGCTGATGAGCTGTTGCTCCTGTGGGGAGCAGGCTGCCCACAAGCAGCTCTGCAGCAAAAAGCCTCACACTGAGGTTTCTTTTCCTGAGACTTTGGCGCCCCTGTGTGTCTCATTTTTGGAGAATTCGGTAGCAGGACAATCCTCTACCTCGTGCTTGAGTATTGGAGATCTTCCCTGTGGGGCAGCCTGGGTAGCGCTTCCCAGGCTGCAGTGCGCAGTGGCTGGCCCCCCACTTGAGCTGTGCAGATTCCCACCCCTTACCCAACCTCCTACAGACTCCAGCATTACCCCCTTGCAACTTCATCCAAAGCTTCATGGCAGAGCAATTCATGTTTTTAAGGCACTGCTTCCTGGAGTTGTGACGTTTAGCATCATCTCCTCATCTGTGTTCCTCCTGGTATCAGTGAAGCACAGTTTTGAAAGAGCCTGAAAGGAAAGAAGTAAAAATACAAGTATCTTAGTCTCCTGAGGGTTCAGATTTGCATATTGGACAATAATACTGTACTTGTGGGAGATGCATATCTATACCTCTGTGTCAACAATTGCAATATAAACCCCCATGTTCTTCAAACAGTAAAGGCAGAAACAGGAAATTCAAAAAAAAGAAAAAAAAGAAAAAAAAAAAGAAAATCCTAATTATAAATACTTTTTGTAGGGTAGATTTATCATTATCTCTCTCGTATCTTGAAGATAACCAGAACACAAAGGAATGAAGGGAATTGCCTATGGATACAGGCAGGACATCTGGACAAAAAGGAAGGAAACCAAGCCAGGCTGCACTCTGGTGAGATTTACCCTGCCGTAGATCCTGCTACAAGTTGGCCCTGCAGCACCAAGTCTCTAAACCCTTTGCCCCCTTCACTGTCTTCTAGCTGACGGTACTTATTTCAAAACATATAAGGGATGTGCACGTCTGATGGGTGCGGTGTTTATTTGGGGCTATTCAGAAAGCACAGGCACTCTGCAAAGTGTCATTGGAAAAATATGGCATGCAAATGCAGGCAGGCTATCACTTGCCCCAGAGTCAGCATCACCTGCTTTGCACTTAACCTCGCTAACCTGAAACGGGCCCTCTCGTGACACCTAGCTTGCCCTTCCCTGCCATTAGGCAGATGGCCCCAGCTGTACAAAATGTAGCCCTGCCTATATTTATTGGTGGGTGGTTGCCCTACCTTTGTTTCCCACCTGCAGCGCTTATTGCTCCTTTCACCAGCTCTTCCACTACAGCTTCCCTTGTCACAGGTAAATTTGGCCCCTAAGGCCACAGCTGCCCACACAAGGAGAAGCCATCTGAAAAAGTGTTTCTCATCTCCCTTGCTTCCTGCTCTGCTTCCACCTTTTGCAGTGTTGTGTTGCCCCTCTGTAAGGTGTGTTGCTGGGATCAGTCAACTTAAAAATAGCCCTGGAGAGAAAATGGAGGGGGCATCCCTGAAATCAGGGGACTTGCCTGGCTTTGGGTTCCCAGAGCAAGGATCCAGGGTGTTTGTCTTACTGCCCACTTCACTGCTGGGTATGGATATGGGCACGTCTTAATCCTGTCTCCTCCCACAATGTACTGTGGGTTGTATTTCAAAATTGTGAGCGAGCCACTGCTTAATCCTATTCTAGACTCATGGAGGAACCTGAACTTCATTAACAGTCCCGTGCTAGCCATAAGCCTGCCTGGTAGGACCACAGCTCCCTTTGTCCTTGGGAGCTTCCTTTCTTGGTCAGTCCTGGTGGCACGGCCGGTGGGAGAAAGGTGTCCATCTCAGCAGGGTGGACATCTTCTGCTTACCTCCAACTAGCACTCCTCCTTCACAGCAGGAAATTGACGTTTGTTTCTTTTCAGAAGGCAAGAGTTGATCGCAAGTGTGAGGTCATACTCAGCCCAGTGAAATTTATTTCCAGTGTTGGAAAAAGGTTTCTACTTTTCTTCTTATGTAGGGGATCTATCCCACTTGTTGGGGAGCACAGCACAAACAGCTCCAAGAGGCTGTAAGCCCCAACTGCCTACATTAATGAGTGATTGGTTTGACCTGGCTTACAGGCTGCTGATTGAGCACAAGAATTTAGAACAGGATTGAAAAATTGTCCCATAAATGGGCTGTCCACATTTTAAACTAAATTAGCCCCATAGTGAATGGCCTCCTCTACTGAATTAGTGTGACAGAGCCCTCACTGGGGACTGAAAGGAATCCATGTGGCTGGATAAGAGCAGTGTTATTAGGCTTCTTATTGGGGGCTGGATCAGGCCCAACATGAACGTGATTATTTAGTATCTTTAAGCTACAATTATGTGTGACAGAAGAAGCGTCTGATGGCAGAGTATTTGTCCTTTATGGCCATGTAACTCGCAGACAGGGCTTTGGGCACTGACAGGCGGGTTGTGGTAAAGCTTTCTGTGTTGGTTGAAGATGTTTCCATCTTGAGCTGCTCACTCCAATAAAGAGTTGGCAGAAGGGAATCGGATCCTGAGCCTCAATCGCTCTGGGGTAAAGCTCCGAACCTCAGGCTGTGGTTTTGCACCAGAGAGTTCAATGACAATAGCAGCCTTAAGGGATTCACACCCTCTTCTCCAGCCTCATGCCAACACTTTTTTTTTTTTCCTCCCAGACCTGCTGGATGGATTCACTTTGTCTGCATGTGTGTGTGTGAGGTGTATATATATATATATATATATATATATATATAAAAAAAAAGTGTGAACTTCCCCAAGCAGATCAATTCCTGAATGTGGTGACAGTCTGGCCCACAAGCTACACAGCCCATGGAGCTAAAGGACATGGGGACAGCCAGCACTGCTGAGGCGAGGTATCCACTTGGAAAACAGGGCCCTACCTTACATTGCTGATCAGGCTGGGTTTCTTGTGCTACCTTCCACTCCTGCACCTCGAAAGCAGCTCTGGTCCTGCAGGAGCGGCTGTCCCAGCTCTCCTGGAAGACAAGGCAGGCTCTTCTGCTGGACTGTGCCCTGCAAGCAAGGAGACAGAAAACACTATGAAATCAGGGTGGAAGCAGCGTGGAAAAGAGAACCTGGAACAGCAGGACTTTACCACATTTTTGTCTCCAGGTTTTGTCATTGCCACTTGACGCAGAGCAGAAAATACCACCTCTTTAGAACCGGTGACTAGCTACAATTTATTGGGACTGGGCTGTTGCTAAACACACGGAGTAGCAATGTGTTAACACATTTTAAAAGGCTGTTTGATCACCATGGGATTCCAGATGAGCTAACAACAGAAAATAAGCCGTGATTCACAAATGACTCATTTCAGCATTTCTCTTTGATGCAGCAGTTCAAGCAAGCCCTGTCTGTGCACATTCAAATGAGCGCACTGAATAGTCATTGAGCCCGGCAATGCCATGCTTACAAAGTCGTTTTCACACAGTTTAAGTATAGTTTTAAGTATAAAATTGGGCAATTTCTAGCAAGCCGTGACAACGTGATTCTTACTCACTCCAGCCGGTAACTTTTGCTCCGTTTAAAGTACAATATAAATACTAATATTTCCGTGATCGAGGGGAGAGGGTGGTCCTGAGAAATCACCGCGCCGCGAGGGGATGCGCCTCCCGCCGGCTCGAGGCCACGGCAGCCCCGGCTCTGCGGCGCTCGGCCCCGCTGCCGGCCTCCTCTTTTCGCTCCCACTTCTCCCAACAGCAGCAAAACCCGGTGCATGTTTTGGCCAACATTGCCATCCAGTGGCACAGGGGATAAATGACAGCGGAGAGACAGCGCCGGCTTGAGGGTGTGGGGGGTGAACTGCAGCAGATCGCCGCTGCACGGTTTAGACTAAATTTGGACGGCTGCACCTCTTTACTGGCAGCTTGCAAGAAGCGGCTGTTAATCGGGGTGCCGTGGGGAAAAAAGATGGTGAGCGTGTCACCTCAGCACGAGGTGCTGTGCTGGTACCCGGCCCATCTAGAGGGTGGCTGCCAGCGGATCCTAAATCCTGCTTTTATGGGGAGGGTGTGCTTTTGGTTGGTTGGTTTTCCTGGGATAACTCCATGGTGCTTTAGTAGGCAGAAGCTTGTTTTATTATTGCTTTACAGATTAGAGTGACTAAGTTGCAATATAGAAGGTCTCTAATTCATTCATCTTTTTTTTTTTTTTTTTTCTGAGATGCTTCTAGTCAGGATGCTCTTAAGAACCTCAAGTGATCCAAAACTATTGGAGAAAAATATACAAAAACATAGATTTTCCTTTCTAGAAAACTTTAAGTTCTAGGCTTTGGAACGTACCTGCTATTCATGCCTTGGCCACAGTGTTCACACATTCTTGTGATCACACATTCAGTGATCACACATTCTTGTCTGATCATCTGAATTATCCGGGTCCCTCTCCTAGCCCAAATAAGCCAATAAGAGTCATTTTTCAAGGCAATTAGCGGGGAAAAAAATCTGCCGGGGTGAAGTGGTTGCATAAAAGGAATGAAAAGGACCTTTCCTTTCTGCTGAAGCTGGGTTTCTGCAGACAGGACAGCATGTGGGTTAGTTTGTGAGCCCCCAAAGAGCCACTGGCCCTGCATGGTGAGGCAGGTCTTGCTGCCACAGCTGAAATTCCCACAGCAAGACAGGAGGTTCTGGCCAGTGAATACCCAAGACAGTGTGGGAACAGCGTGGTGGCCTGTGATGGTTTTGCTACAAAGACCTGATGCATGACCTGTATCTACACAACTGCAACCAGGATGAAACCTGGTGTCCCCGTGGAGGCAGCCAGCTCCCGGTAAAAAGAGAAGCTAGAGTGTCTCCAGCCACAGCTCCTCAACTGGCCACCGAGTCTTCCTCTGAAAGACATTAGTGGGATGACAGCAGGGCTGACGTTAACAAAGGAGGTGTGCTGTTAGGCCCGATGGAAATGGCATGTAAAACGCCACACATTTTGTGCTGTACACACACAGCGGCATCACCAGAGCTCAGTCCCCAAGCAGGCTGGATATTAAATTGATCAAACTGGTAATGAAAGTGGGAATTACTCCATCTCAGCCGACACAAGGCAGGTGACCTTATTAAAAAATATGCCAGTGTACTTAATGGGGTAGGGCAGTTTCTTGGGGAATTCATGATTAATGGGGCTATAACTCTAGAGATCCCACAGCTAAGGCCCCTGGAAAAAGTCTTACTTCCACTGTGAGATGGCCTGGCTGAAATTTTTGAGGTGGGTCTGTCTAAATGCTGGATCCAGCCTCTGTTTTCTGACAGAGAAGCCAAGACACTCCACAAGTGCTGAGCTGGTGAGGGAACAAGGCGGCCTCATGCTGGAAGTGGCGAGCTTGGCACATAAGGAAGCTCAGAGCCGGCTGCTGATGTGCCTCCTTGTCCTGCTCAGGCTAACCACTGGCAGCAACTCCAACACCCTCACTGTTTAGTCATCATGAGAACAGCAGAAGCCACCATCTGAGATGCTGTGTGCAATGTCCCGAGCAAGACCTGACACGCAGAAACCTCAGTATCCGCTGGTACCTGCAGCCTGGGACAGGGCATGTGCAACTCTCCCAAGGCATATGCATGGATGTGGAAAAGGACTGGAGAGTAAGAAAAGCAGCAGTTGGCTGTCCTGGGTCATAACGCCCAGCCCTTTCTGCACTTTCTTTGCAAATAAAAAGGATTAGAGCAAAAAACTAACCCAAGTATGGGCTAGAGGTTCAGGCCAAGGAGCATTCACAATGTGAGCAACAGGCTAGAAACTGGAAGTAGTCAGCAAGAGAAACTGAGCCAAAGTGGACAAAAGAAGCAAAGACACTTGGAGAATTTTGAGACTGCAGAGTGGAATTAAATTTTAAGACAGGATCCAGGCATGCTGAAAAAGGAATATCCAAGAAATTACAGGAAAAAAAAAAAAAAAAAAAAAAAAAAAAAAAAAAAAAAAGCATATCGGGTACCAGCTGCCAGGTATGTTTAAGTGGGAAATCCAGTAAGAAAATCCTGGTCTGGGAGAGGTATTTTAGTAGGAAGGGACCAGACAAGAGGAAGCTGGATGCAGTAGTTAGGAATGTGATGTTGTGCAAGAGTGGAGGTTTCCAGTAGTTTTCTATCCCTTTTATAACCTCCCAGTGACACAATCCAGTCAGCCTAGATTGTCCCGGCTTCAGTAATACCATCAGAGTCTGCCCTGGACCTCATGGGAACTGGTGATTGCAGCCTTGCCCTTCCTATCAGATGGCCATCAAAATGATTGTGTTAGCAGCAGGACAGGGGACCAAACCATGAGCACTAGCCTCCCTAGCTGGGAAAATAAACAGAAGCTACCATTGGCCAACTTCCTCCACAGTTTGACAGCTGCAGATACATTTACTAGTGGCTCATCGCTACTCAATAGGGTAGCTAGAGGGGCTAGAGCAGCCGTGGATGTTTCTTGCACAGAGAAGAAACAAAATGGGAGAATCTGAACTATAGAGAAACCCAAGGAATACCTCCAAAACAACAACAACAATAACAACAACAAAAACACCACATACTTTAGCTACAGCAAATTTGCCACTTCTGAAACAGAGAGATACAGAGAATAAGGGCTCATTCAGGAACTTTTTAAAGACAAGTCCTGGTTTGGTTCTACCTCAACTTAGTAAAAGGTCTGTCCCAGTCAGAAAGGCTCTCTAAGGACAACAGATGCCTACCATGGACCTCTGAAAGAGGCTCCTGATAATTCACTGAAAGAAAGCTATGCAAAGAGGTGGAGCAGACATTAAACTGATTTGTGTTATGACATGAAAAATTGTGAGGTGAAACATGTCAATAAGTGAACAGCTACTGAGAAATGATCTTTCTTTGCATTTAGGGTGAAACACAAAAGTATCATATAAATGCTTTTTCCTTCCAGAGTGCTCCAGGACTATCGCAAGCTTACCAAAACTGCTATTTAATGGTAATTAGCAAGGATGACAAACATATTCCTAAATGATGACAAAGTCCTTTGGCTAATGTTTTCATACAGTTCCTAGGTGTAGTAGGATCGCTAACCCAGCTACAGCCAAGCTAGATGATACTGTAATATAGACAATCAGAGAAACTGAGCAGGAAAAGACCTAGAAAATCACCAGGGCTGGACCAGTATGGTCTGCAAAGTAGCTGACAAAGCTATGCCTAACCGGCTCTTCAACACCATCAAGGGGGAGAATTCCAGTCTTTCCAGACCATCTAGTCCACATTTACCTGTTTATCACTACAAAGCTTCCCTAAAGTCTGATCTTCAACTCTCCTGATGCTATCTAAGCTGATCAGTTCTTTTCCTGTCCACAGAGAACATGAAGAATCAGCTGCTCCCTTACATATTTGCATCAGGCTTCACTTCATTTATTTTTTTAACATATTCATAGACTTTCTAGAAATTTTGAATTTCCCTTCCCTTCCCTTCCCTTCCCTTCCCTTCCCTTCCCTTCCCTTCCCTTCCCTTCCCTTCCCTTCCCTTCCCTTCCCTTCCCTTCCCTTCCCTTCCCTTCCCTTCCCTTCCCTTCCCTTCCCTTCCTTCCCTTCCCTTCCCTTCCCTTCCCTTCCCTTCCCTTCCTTCCCTTCCCTTCCCTTCCCTTCCCTTCCCTTCCCTTCCCTTCCCTTCCCTCTTTACTTTCTCTTTTATTTTCTCTTTTATTTTCTCTTTATTTCTCTTTTATTTTCTCTTTTATTTTCTTTCTTTCTTTCTTTCTTTCTTTCTTTCTTTCTTTCTTTCTTTCTTTCTTTCTTTCTTTCTTTCTTTCTTTCTTTCTCTCTTTCTCTCTTTCTTTCTTTCTCTCTTTCTCTCTTTCTCTCTTTCTCTCTTTCTCTCTTTCTTTCTCTCTTTCTCTCTTTCTTTCTCTCTTCTCTCTTTCTCTCTTTCTCTCTTTCTCTCTCTCTTTCTCTCTCTCTTTCTCTCTCTCTTCTCTCTCTCTTTCTCTCTCTCTTTCTCTCTCTCTTCTCTCTTTCTCTCTTCTTCTTCTTCTTTTTTTTTTTTTTTTAGGTCATTACTCATGGATGTTTTCCAGACACCTACTGCTCATTTCATACTCAGCAACAAATCACGTTTAAACAAATCGCAGAATAAAGAGCAGCCAGACACCTGCGGCAGCCAGCAAGGCTGTGGGTAGCTGCGCTTGGCAGAGCAGGTCGCTCACAACCAGATGGAGTTATGTTACTCCTGTAGCTGCTGAGGCACCTGCAGCAGGGGGCAGTTTCCCAATTTCTGCAGACAGATGAGGTTTGACATCACATATTGGGGAATTACTTTCCCCCCATTAACCTAGACCTGTGACTAAGAGTATCCTTAACTGACAATTATCAGGAGAAGACAAAATCTGAAAGCTCTGCTGATGGTGGTCAGGCTTGACACTCACTGCACTTCCTGAGGCTCATGTTCATAAAGTTAGCAAGTGCCTAAGTGTTTGCAAAATCCATTGAGAGCTACCTTTGGACATTCCTCCAGCGCAGATAATACCTGCATGAATACATGCAGTTCTGCATGCCAATTAATACGTATATTAAGCTGCATTAAGAAAACAGTGCTCTCTCTATGCCTTGATATTACACTATATATGATGTTATATCAGTATCACCTATAAAATCCAGTCATATTTAAAAAAAAAAATAAAAAAATAAAGTTCTCCATCGCAGCTAGCCTGTCCTCTATTAGAATGTTCAATTATGGCTTGCTTTCTCTGCACAGGAGGAGAAATTAGTATTACATAAAGCCTATGGATTTGACGTTTGCTTGACAGAGCCCCTCCAAGGACTTTCACTGAAACAGTTTTACAAAGTCAAAACTGGATGATTTTATTGAGGTGACAGGTATAACAGATCTGGAATTGCCAGTGATAAATACACTTGTTGCATTAGCGCTAAATATCCTAAAGCTAGCCAAAAATTAATTAAGCTATATTAATAATCCTCCCGGGGATCACCTATAAAATAATGCAGGCACACTGCTCAAACAGACGACCCCATTGAGGCAACATTGGCCTCTGTAGTGTGTCTGCTTCTCCTTCAGGAGAGTCACGATTTTATCCCCTCCAGCCCAGCACCTGTTCTGACAGGTGGGGCAAACGTGTCAAAAGGGATGCCAGGCTCCTCGTAGGTGTTGTATAAGCATACCTACAAATGTGGATGCGCACTGTTGGAGTTGGGGCTGCACTGGCCCCACGGGTGTCGCTACTTCAATCCTCCATCATCTTCCTTTTTGTCCTTTGGCCAACCTGTCCAACTGCCAAGGTTGTGGGCATGAGCCAAACTGCAAAGTTTTATCAGTGGTGCAACCGTTCTGCCAACATTGACCCAAGAACTTGGTTGGTTCCCCTTCTGTCTTTCTCTTTACCCTGTGTGATAAATTAGTAGGGGTTTGTTCATTGTCCTTGAGAATTTAAAGAATCTACTGAGGAGATAAGGTTTCACAACTCACGGCATTGTGACATGGGGACAAATGGGGAAGGGGGGTTGGGTAAACATCCTTGTTACATCCTGTTTTGCTGCTTCACTTCCCCTACCTGAACACAAGCACAACGCATGAACACCAGAGGAAGAATAATGACCCCCAACAACAGACTGCACAGCCTCAGAACAAGTCGACAAGTCGCCAAGTCTCAACCAGACGACAAGTCGACAAGTCTCGACAAGTCGGAACTTGAATGCTATAAAACAGTGACACTGGAAAGGGAAGTTGTGTGCCGTGGTTTGCGTGGTCTCACTTGTAACACCCTGCGTACATGCTCGGAAACCTACACCCCAGTGTTGTGTGCTTAAGGACGAGCTATTCCGTGATGGACAAAACACCACAACTACAATCATTAGGTCACCATCCCCTCACACAGCAGCTGGTGAGTTATTTTCACACAGGTAAGTGTCCCTGCTGGAAATTCATTGGAAGAGTGAGCAGTGGAGTGCTCTGCTTTGGAGCAGTAGTATGTTTGAGTTGCAAAATGTGCTCTGCTGGAGACTAGAGAGCTTTACATATTCCTGCCTTCTTTGTATTGAAAAGTCTTCCATGAAATCAGACAAAAAGTGAAGTTACCAAAATGTGAGAAGCTCTATGAGCACAGCAAGACAAAATCAGAGGAGATGGTGTACTGTCCGGCCTTTGCTGTTTGTGCAGGCAGATGTGCTCACTGATGGTGCATGATTAGATTACTTGATGGTTCTACTGAACCATGTGAGCTGAGCGAGCGTTTTCCTTGATGTGTCACTTTATCTCTCCTCCCACTTGCTGCGAGCGCTGCTGCGATGTGACGGTCCGGTGTCAGCCTGTGTGCCTGCCTGGGAGCTCCTTTTTCAGGTAGGTTTGTGTTTTTGTCTCTTTGGACAGCCAGTTTATTTCCAGCTAGCAAGTGCAGCAATGCCAGGGACTGCGAGAAAAATAGAGAGGAATAAACTTTAACTGCTCCTGTGCTCAACTCTGCTTTCTCCTTTCTCATGTTACACTGTGCATACATGCTTTCTAGCTCAGGTGGGACACGTTATGCATGTGATAGAGAAGATCACTGCCAGGTAGGACTGTTCCAAGGAAAGAGTTTTGTGGAGGCCATGCAGCATCCAAGAGCAGCGTGAGACTGAGACAGTTTCATCTTGGTTCAAGGACAGAGGGATGGGGGCTCCTTTATATGGGCACAAAGCAGAAATCTGTGACTACCTGCATTTCTGAAACAGAAAAACCACACTGAGGAGAAATTGCTTGCTTGCTGAGGCCTTGCTGTGATTCTGACAATGCCGATTCAAACTGCCAGCTTTGCGTATGAGGGTCATGAAAAGGAATGCCATGATACTGACAGATCTGTCCCAACAACAGAATATAAAGGTCTAAGTAATTCCTAATAGATGTGAAATACATGATGTCTGTCACTACTGACCAAGGCCAAATCGCAGCTTAAATCCACAACGTGCAAAGCCCATGAATTTTGCTTTTTAATTTGCTAGTAAATTAGTTGAAACCAATTACCTATATTGATGAAGGCCAGGAGCAGTTTAGTGAGTGCTAACTATATGCCTAAGAAAATATCCTTCCTGACTGGGAAGGTCTGTTCCCGTTCATCCCCAGGGAAGACATTTCAATTGCTAATCTTACTGGGGAGCGTGTTTCTACTGTGTGAGCTGTACCAAAACTTCCTCTAAAGCAAAAATGAGAATTGCCACAATGAAGGCCCAGGGAGCAATAAAAAGGAGCTGCACTGCAAGTCTCATTCAGCAACAGATTTAGTTCTACAAGCACAGACCTCTATTACACAGCCCCTGTTGAAGAACATGTTAAATTTGATCTTCTATTTTGCCCAGGAACTGGTTTTGTACCCAAAATGCATGCCAAGGTCCAGTACAACCCACATCAAGAGAAGCCGTAGGTATCATGAGGTCTCCTGGCACCCAGCTGCTCCTTCACTGATTTTTGCCATAATATAATTCAGATTTACATCTAGATTTGGCTGTTCCTTGTGTATGAACTTTGCACCAAGACCTCAGACAGAGACTTTCCATGTGGCTTTACACTCTGTTTGCTTCCTTGCTCTGTGCGTGTGTATGTGTATGTGATTTCTGCCTATAATCCAAGGCATGGGCGTTATTTCATAGAAATCACCACAAGTTAGAACTAGTTAAAAACAAAAACAAAACCAACCCACCAAACGATCAAAAATTTTTTGACAGCTTGGATTTCTACAGTAATTATTTGCATGCATGTTTTCAGAATTTTAAATAATAACTGTGCTGAAGCATCAATGCACCAGGATTAAGAAGTACCACCAAGCATGCAGCCTTCCTTTTCCCAGAGGCTAGTAGTACCAAAGGATTGTGGCTAGTCTGGTTTGCTGAAAGGGTGTTGCAGCAGTGTCTGTGCAAGGAAAAAAAAAAAGAAAAAAAAAAAAGTTAAGGCTTGCATTCGCATTCCAGTCCTATGATGAGCAGGTCTCTCTCTCTCATTTTCTGAATGTAGCTTATGTTTGCTATGGATCATACAAGTAATGCAAACTTCGACAGCTAAGAGTAAACAGTCTCCTTGGACATATATTCATTTATATGTATATAAAGTTTTTAAGTCTTCCTAGCTGTCTAGCAAGTTACACAGTGCCTAAAATAGAGTTTTAGAAGCACCTGAGCAGTTTCAAAGTTATTCAAATGCTTTGGAGGATCTCAGCATTTAATACTTTGGAAATATTACCTGTGTTCTCTGCCCCAAACTGAGACTTCCCCAAGGAAATCATGCTCCTGCAGGAAAACTGGCACCTGCTCCCAGTTTTCCTCCTTCCACATTTTCCTCATTCCAGATGGGTGGAGCTCTCCTCTAAGACCATGGTGCAGGGAAAGAAATGGTCTTGCAGTTGGCTGAGGGCAGCTAGTCCCAATGGGAACACACTGAACTCAATGGTCTGTGGAGCACAGAGGGGAGCACAAAGGCTGCTGGCTTTATAATAACCTGAGATCACAGCACTTTGTGTTACTGAGGTGTCTGGCAGGGTTCACTCCTGAATGAGATTCACTCTAACGATCCAATTAGGAAGTAGCAGTGGTTTGAGGTGTTGTGGGCAGGTCTGTGCACCCGTGGGACAGCATTCACCAGTCACTGAGCTGGGACCAGTGAACTGGTGTTTGCTCCATATTCCTTTGTTGACTTCGACAGTGGTCTCAGCTCAGTGTTTGCTCATCTCTCTGAATCCTCTTTTAACAAGCTGTACTGTTGGGCTGTGGTGCCATTTTCCAGATGACTTCTTAGTGGTGTCTGGCAAGTCTCCTTTACTCCCTGTGACTTTGAACAACCCTGTTCCAGTCCTTCGGCTCCACCAGAGCAGTCTTCCTGCCTCCAGCCAAAGGCAGTGGCGTTGGTGAAGATGACTGCACTGGAAGCCCGGCATGACCATGGCTACCCCTACCCATCCTTGCTAGCTCCCCAATGAGGTGTTGTTTTTGAAGAGTGTGCTGCTTACCATCACTGTGTAAGCTTGACTCCTGCGTCCTGCATCAGTGCCTGCCTAGGGTTCATTCTGGCCACGAATCCTTACAAAGCAGCTTCAGCGCTCCTTTCAGTACAGCTTATGACTGTACCTGGTAGGGCTGAAGCTACCACCTGCAGTCTTCAGTCTTTTATTAACTGAGTATTTGGGGCCAGGATGGGAGGAAAGAGACCCAAAGGGCATCAGGAGGAACCTGTCTGTGCCTGAGGTAGCCTGTCTGCATGTGTTGGAAGGCAGGTGATGGTATTTCCACCTTTGCCTTGTAGCATGCTGGATTGTCTGATCAAAGCATTTATTGGTGCAATCTCAGATCATCTGACATTGCCTCAACATTATTTCATGTTGGATCAAAGTAGTATGAGTATGGAAAATGCTTACATCCTCCAAATATGCTGTCTCATGGCAGCATATCCACAGTAACAGACTCGCAGTTGGAAAAGAGAGAATTACCAAGTGTTCCACTTTAGACAGAGCCATGCCAAAATCTCTCACTGCATAAGCATGATGTTGTACCTAATGCATGCATGGCTCTTAGAAACAAGAGTGCCTTGTTAGAAAGCATAAGATTAACTTAAATAGTTTAACTAGTAGATTTTGTGAACTTGGTTCCTTGTGATGACTGTAAGCCAGGAGCTCATCACAACTCATCCACAACACTTAGAAGAAACAATTTTACAGCTTCCAAATTTACAACAAGAAAATATTGTTGCAATATTGTTCTGATATAACTCTAAACAGAGGCCAAAAACCCTCTTCTACTTTTTATAAATGACTGTTGGTGGCCTTACATGGTAATACAGTGTACAAACCTTTTGTAATTCTCAAGTAGCAGTGACTGATAAACTTGGATGGGTCAGAGAAAAAAAAAAAAGTCCCTATAAATAATAATAAAAAAAAAGGAATTATACAAGAGGTACATATGAGTTTTTTTTCTGTCACAGTATACACCTACAAAGTTTCGTGGCACTGGAATTCCTGCAGGAAGAGTGGGAGGGAGCAATTAAGAGGAAACCCACAAACTGTATTCAAAGACACTGAAGTATGTGGTGGTGGATGTTCTTGTTAAATTAGCAATTACACAATGTGTCTGTTCAATCTTTAGGATGCTGTGAAGCAGCTTCCCTCTACAGTTTGTTCACTACTCATGTTCCTTCCACGTAAAGAACGACTACAAAAATATAAGAAAAGTAAGGACATCAGCTGCGTATTATGCATCAGCCTGACACAGGCATTCTCCAGAAGAAAGCAAGCACAGCCAGTGAAATGAGGTGTTTCGGATGTTTGATCTGACCTCCTTGTAATATTTCAAGTAAGACTCTTTTTCCAAGCAACAATGAATACACTCAGATATTGCTTCTTTACCATCTTGATTCTCAGTGTTTCCCTTCTATTTGTTTTCTATGCCATTAATTTCCATGTGCAAAAATCTCTAAGGAGGCTCAACTTCCCAGTGAGCTCAACTTTAGCAGAAGCCTGTAAAGCACTTATTGAGGATAAGGCGCCCTTTCTGAAGGAAACTGCTTTAAAAACATCCTTCAGAAAATCCAACTGCACGGAGTACATCACACGGAACCACTACATCACCCGTGCCCTGTCCTCCGAGGAGGCTGCCTTCCCCCTTGCCTACATCATCACCCTGCATAAGGAGTTTGAGACCTTCGAGCGGCTCTTCAGGGCAGTCTACATGCCCCAAAATGTCTACTGCGTCCACGTGGACGGTAAGGCGCCAGTGGCCTTGCGGCAGGCAGTGTGGCAGCTGGTGGGCTGCTTCCCCAACGCCTTCCTTGCCTCCCACACCGAGCGGGTGGTCTATGGCGGCGCATCCCGCCTGCGGGCCGACCTGCACTGCATGCGGGACCTGCTGGCCTCCACCGTGCCCTGGCAGGTACGTGCTGAACGTCTGCGGGCAGGACTTCCCCTTGAAGACCAACCGGGAGATTGTCCGGCAGCTGAAGGGCTTCAGGGGAAAGAATGTCACCCCTGGGGTGCTGCCGCCACCCCACGTCATCGCTCGCACCAAGTATGTGCACCGGGAGCAACTATACCCTTTCTTTTCTTTCATGCTGCGGACGTTTGTGCACAAGGCTCCCCCACCACACAACCTGACCATCTACTTCGGCTCTGCATACATTGCAGTCACTCGGCCCTTTGTGAAGTTCGTGCTGCAGGACCGGCGTGCCATCGACTTGCTGGCATGGTCCCAGGACACCTACAGCCCTGACGAACACTTCTGGGTGACTCTCAACAGGATCCCAGGTAAGGACACCTTCTTTCTTTCTTTCTTTATTTTTTTTTCCTGAAGATGCATGCGTAGGTGTGCACACACCATACACATTCACATACCTCAGGCTGACTTCGGCAAAACCGAGACGAAAAATGTAATCAGATTATAATTTGTACAAAAGGATGAGCTACGAAATAAGCTTATTTGCTGTTCTTGGCCACTTAGATCACTGTTCTGTGTGGTGTGCATTACTTTCTTTGTATCTGACCAAAAGCCCAGAGGATCTAAGTTCCAATTCAAACCTTTGGAAATCTCTGCTGATTCAATCCTTTTACTGGTAGAAATCAAGATGAAGAAAAGGCACAGAATAAAGAGTAAGCTATGGAAGTGAAGGTTTTCTACAAGATATCCACATTTTGGGGGAGGATTTTATTTTTCCACAAATAGAAGCCAATTTCTTTTTCTGTATCTATTACTCCAGAGCAAAAATCCGAATTCAGCCTATAATTTGTTTCTAGTCTTCACATGCCCTTCTGTGGGTACAAAGATATCAGCTCTCCTGTAACAGCTGCAAAAAGCAGGTACTCATAGGTACTGCCTAAATTCCAACATACAGGCTCAAGGATTGGTTAAGAGGAACAGAATTAGAACCAGTACTTTCACTTTTACCTTATGTATTTATAATTAGTTTTACCTTGCCTAAGGAAGGGTTGGAAAGTGCACAGGACTTCTCCCCCATGCATGCACACTGCTTTTAGAAACACCAGGTAGGATTTTACTGCTCCTAACTTCCTAGAGTTTCATAGCAGCCCAAAGCAGGAACACAAGCAATGGAAGCAAGGATAGGTTTATTCTCCTGTCTTTTTCCTTTTCATCCTCTAACTTGCAGAGGATGAAAACAAGGAGCAGTTTCCACATAAGAAATGCTCCTTCCTCTTCCATGTTTTCCCTGACATTACTAGAGTGACAAAAGTAGCCATATAGCTTTGACAGATGTACTCAAGGGCTGCTGTCATCCAGGATTTTGAAGCCTATCTCCTAAGTGTAGCAGGAGGTGTCAGACTGTCCCAAGCATATGTGAGTTGGATCCAATGCTTGATGTGACTCTTGAAGATAATAGCATCAGGCAGTGGTCCAGCTATTAGAACAAATAGTTGGAGGCCTTCATGCAGGAAGAGAGATCATCTGCAGATCAGTTTCAACACACACGGTATCATGAAAGAACTAAACAAAACAGGTATTTGTAGTTTCAGACAGCCATGACAATCTCATTCAGATAATACAAAAGACTGTTTGGTCCCCATATCTTAAAATAGCACGCTTATTACCCACAGCCATGCAACAAAGACCAATACTTTCTTTTCCTCCTGCATCCTGCTCATCCTTTCCTCCCTTCTGTGCCAGGAGTGTTGCCAGTTCAATTAATTAGCCCTGAAGTAAAACAATGTACTGTTTCTGAGTGGGTGAGTTGAACTGACTCAGTGAAGAATCCAGCCAGCACTGAAGTCAGCACAAAGAAAAGCAGGGGGAAACAGGCAGATGTGGGTAAGAAAGAGAGGGAAGTCAGGAGGAAGAGAAGTCAAACCTTCCTTTCTCAGGAACCGTGAATCATTAGCCTGGTTCAAGCTATCTTCTACAATGCCACCTATGCATGTGGTATGGGATTCAGTGTGCCCCCTCACACACAGCACAACTCTGTTCTTTCACTTCTCTTCAGCTTTATGTGGGAGTACACATAAGGTGTGGGGAGCTGGGGGTCAGCCTCTTCTCACAGATAACTAGTGATAGGACTAGAGAGAATGGCCTCAGGTTGCACCAGGGAAGGTTTAGATTGGAAATCAGGAGACATTTCTTCTCAGAAAGAGCAGTCAGGCATTGGAATGGGTTGCCCAGAGAGGTAGTGGATCCACTGTCCCTGGGGGTGTTCGAGAAAAGGCTGGACGTAGTGCTTAGGGACATGGTTTTGTGGGTGACAGTGGTGGTAGGGGGATGTTTGGACCAGATGATTTGAAAGTCTTTTCCAACCTTAATGATTCTATGACGCTATAATTCTATGACTCTGACCTGGAGGTTCCGCTACTGGGACCTCCCTTGGTCACGCACATGACTCCACAGAGGTGATGGTCACTTGGTATGAGGGAAGCTGGGGGTTTGCAGGGAAAGCGCCAGGGCAGAATTGCTTTTATTCCTGGTTCTGCAAGAAGCCTGCAGCTGTGGATTGTGTGTCCCAGAGGAGAAGAAATAAAGATTGGAGTACCATGTCACTTCTGCTGATGCGCCAGCCTGGGAAGAACACTGGTTACACAGCATACCATCACTGCCTGCTGTGACAAACTTTTGGGTTAGTGTGAACACAAGGTAGTTGATTAACAGAAGGGGTGGTTCACAGTGTCCTGTCTTGCACACCCAGACCACCCTTGATTTGAATGGTCAGATCACTGAACCTTTAGGCAGCTTCCCTTCGAGAACAAGCACCTGGGGATATCAGCAACCTCTACCCACTATCTTTGGGTGAGGTCCTTTCTCCTGTTACTGTTAATTCAACATAGAAATAGGAAAGCCATGGAAGATGACTTTGCATTCTACTCTGTGCTTGCTTTTCCAAGTATTCATCCAGCTGTGTGCCTATCACAAAGTTTGTTGTTGTTTTTTTTTTTTTTGGATACAATTGCATATCGTGTCTACCTAAGTGGAAAGAACCAGTCTCACCTCAACTTTCTCTGAACAGGATAAAGGTTGCTAACTGACTCATTCGTTTCAACAATGGCTGAGAAAGAATGAAAAGGGTGGATAGTTTTGTTAGCAAGTGGTGTCTTAAATCACACCCAAACTTCAAAAGTATATCTGCACCATCCTGATGGCAAGCCCTCAGCTGGGATTTCAATAGTAGACAGCAAAATAAGAAGGGCAGTTGTCATACAGTATGCCTCAGGGAATGGCAGGCATGTGGGAGGCAGTGCTCTGAGTCAAGCTAAGTGCACTCTCAAGGCAGACAGGAGTTCTTTTTGTACAAGCAAACAGACACATAAAAATTTAAAAATTAGGAATTGCCTAACGTGATCGATTAATCTGCTATCAGTGATACCCTGAATTTTCTGGTATTCTTTTCTCACAACCACAACCAAAGGAAGTGGATGAGATTTTCCTTGAGAGCTATCAGCTCTCATTTGTCTCTGAAACTATTGCCTCAACTAAACTGCAGTGAAATTTTAACAAACAGACCTGCTCCCCCCAGCAATTTAGGCTGCATGAAGGTTCCTTCTACAGCAACTAAATAATTTAAAACTACTTTGGTACCTCTCCATAGTTTCTATACAGACTCTTAGAATGACCTTCTCAGCAATGCATGCACCATACTAACATTCACCATTTGGGTTGGCTTTTGTCTGCCACAATTGTTCATTTTCCTTAAGTTAGTGCCCACACTTCAAATGACAGGTAGACAGAGAGGCAGATGCTTTTTAGTATGATTCCAGACAGCGATGCTAGTTGAACAAGCAATATTCTAGAAGGAAGTATTTTGTACCTATATCTGCAGCATTACTTATATAACTAATACTTGTTCTCTTTTTCCTATTCCACATTATTTTAATGAGACTTCCTGATCGAGCAAGAATTTCTTGTAGTAATAAGGTATAAAAAGGCCAGGGAATCTTTTGCGATCGTTATTGAGTCTTATGTCCACAAAGCTGTTGCAATCTCATAATTAAAACCTTTCTCTTTTGCCAAACCTACTTAGGGCGAGGTGTTGCAACACAATGGCAGCAATCACAAATACATCTGCTTTATGGTAGAATTTCCAGAAAAAATACTCTTGTCCTCTATTCACCATTCAGATACCAAAGTTCATCTGAAAAAATGTGAATTAAAATATGGTTTAGTCTTTATGCAATCTGCAGTCATTGGAACTTAAGTACTGCTTTCAGTTTGATCAATTTGATTTTGCTGCTATTGAAGTCAAATGTTGCTTCACAACCAGTTGTTTGTTTTGCACTAAAGCTGCCTAGTGATGACAGGATAAGGAAGGATATGCCTTAAGGAAGGCTTTCTGAAAAGGCACAACTAATAAATGGACTTGCACTCCTTTGCTCGACTCTCCAGTATCTTTGTATCTATCACACATTGGCATAATGGGCTTCAAACAGCACAACTCCTTGAAGAGCAGAATCAGATGACAACATCTTAAGAAAGCATTTATTTTTTTCTTTGAATTTTACCATCAGGTAATATCTATCAAAATTATTGCATGTAACTAAACAAACTTCAGTCCAGCTGCAGTAACAGAGCCTCTTTTTGAATATAGTGTTCCCGTGAGATGCTGAGCTGCTTACAACCCCTTGTTTTCATTAGGAAGGCACAGTCAGGCCTCCTGAACCTGTCCTCTGCTTTCATCTACACACAAACTCATCTGACCGCACTGAAAGCTGTGTTACACGTGTTGAGAGACAAGCCCTGTCGCCAGAAGCCTGTCTGGGCAGCTGATGTAGAAGTCAGCAGAGCCATTCCTGACAGGGTGCTGGCAAAGCAGGCAAGTCCTAAGCAGCCCTGTAGAGATCAGCCAGCTCCTCTGAGTCAAAACCATGACCCTGCTGAAGATGCTCACATTGGTTTATGGGCGAATAAAAAGCTTAGAAAAGCCTCCTTCAAAACATATTGTCAAATGAAGCTGGTTACTAGAACTGAGACCATTTCCTTATTATCCATCAGATTAATCAAAACAAGAGGTGCAGGTTAGCTCTCCTACCATTGTCAACAGCCTAACTGCTCAAGCAGAGAGCATGCATTGCCTTAATTCAAACCACTGTCTTGAAAGAAGCAGTTTCAAACAAGCTCCCCCCCTCAAGTTCTATTTCCTGCTCTACAGGTTCAGAGGTCTGCCTTAAAGCTTGTCAATCTTCTGTTAATTTAACTCCCACCCCTGCCACACACACTGCTTTTACATCCGTAACCCCCACTGAAATGGACATTTATGACAACAAGATACAAAACTGAGCATTTGTACATTTTTAAGGGGAAGTGTTGTTTTTTTTTTTTATTTTATTTTATTTTTGTTTTTCCCTGTTATTTCAATCTAATCTTGCAAGAAGAGCTTTTCTTGCAATATTTTTTTTTCCTTTTCTTCTTTTAAAAGAAGAGTTTTTCTTTTAAAGACCTCCTGGTACCTTTACCAGTCACCTCCCTGAAGGACAGCTGGGAGAGTTTGTCTTGAAGGACAAGCTGGACAACAACTAAACCAGGATTTCAGCGCAAATCCTTCCTGCGTGTCACCTCAAGAGCCCAGCCACCATTTCCATTTGGAGGTGACCACTTCTATCCTACCTGTGGCTGCTTGGTCTCCCTCGCTCCTCCTGGCACTGGCAGATTGTGGTTTGGACTTCTCCCTAGGCACTTCTGTAAAATGACAGAGGCTGGAAAAAAGCAACCAAAGAAAACCAAACACAAACCCAAAGAGAGAACACCCTCCCTCCCCCATCCTCCCCCTCCAAACCAATCTAATCCACAGTTCCAGAAGCTGGAGAGCACTAAGATGGACGGATCCCCAAGCCCGTGAAAGGCAGCCGGTAACAGCACTACCAGCGCTGCCCCTCCGGCCCAGCATGGCCATGCGGCAGCGACGTGCAGTGGCAGTGCTGGTGACCATGGTGCTGCTGGGTGCCACCGTGCTGCTGGGCCGTGGCAGGTGGCGGACGGCAGGGCCTGGCAGTGGCTCGGCTGAGGGCATGGTGCTGGAGCGGGTGTGTGGGGCGCTGCTGGCTGGGCAGGCCCCTGGCATGCAGGGCGGTGGGCTGCGGCCCGCGACCAGGGGCTCATCCTGCAGCACATACGTGTTCCACAGCCGGTATATCACCCGTGCCCTGTCCTCCGAGGAGGCCGCCTTCCCCCTTGCCTACATCATCACCCTGCATAAGGAGTTTGAGACCTTCGAGCGGCTCTTCAGGGCAGTCTACATGCCCCAAAATGTCTACTGCGTCCACGTGGACGGTAAGGCGCCGGCTGCCTTGCGGCAGGCAGTGTGGCGGCTGGTGGGCTGCTTCCCCAACGCCTTCCTTGCCTCCCACACTGAGCGGGTGGTCTATGGCGGTGTATCCCGCCTGCGGGCCGACCTGCACTGCATGCGGGACCTGCTGGCCTCCGCCGTGCCCTGGCAGTACGTGCTGAACGTCTGCGGGCAGGACTTCCCCTTGAAGACCAACCGGGAGATTGTCCGGCAGCTGAAGGGCTTCAGGGGAAAGAATGTCACCCCTGGGGTGCTCCCGCCACCCCACATCACTGCACGAACACGATTCATGCACCAAGAGTGGGAGGGAAGCAACATTTCGGGGCTGGTCACCCCCCAGGTGCACAAAGCTCCCCCACCACACAACCTGACCATCTACTTCGGCTCCGCATACATTGCAGTCACCCGGCCCTTTGTGAAGTTCGTGCTGAGGGACCGGCGTGCCATTGACTTGCTGGCATGGTCCCAGGACACCTACAGCCCCGACGAGCACTTCTGGGTGACTCTCAACAGGATCCCAGGTAAGCTTTGAGGTCCGTGTCCTGGCATCCAGCATCTTGGGACAGGTGAGGAGAAGGTTTTAGTACTAATTATTGCTAAAATAGTACAGTAGGAATAACTGGCCATGGCATGGTGTCAGCTGATTGTGGTGGTCACCACGAGTCTCACCTCTGTGGCATTAACCCTAATGGAGCTCGCCCACCTATGCATATCCCACTCCAATACCAACGTTTTTCAGGAACGTAAATATCTGATCCTAAAGTCCAGCCAAAGTTATCACTGATTTCAAAAGGTCTCTCAGAATAATAGTCCCTCTCTACCCCAAGCATGCACTGTTTGGAGCAGATTTAGGAAGCGTGCCCTAGCCCTCATGTTCCAGGTGAGGGCATGGATTTTTTTTCTGTGTACCAGCTTACAAAGTGCAGGAGAAAATCTTGGATGAGCTGGTGGTATAGATGTGTAAGCTCATCCCCTCCCCTATACAGCTGCAAATGAGGAAGCACACACTGCTGCTTCAGAAGACCAGAGAGGACTAGCTGCTTGTCATCTTGGCTTTAACTGATGTGTTGGTTTGGTTCTGGAATTACAGGTACAGGGCTTGGAAGTTCAGAGCAAATTGGGAAGCCATTTATGCTGTAGCATTTCCATCTGAATGTCGGTTTATGCATGCGTTGCAGAAATGCAAGTACGGTGGCTCATTTTATGTAACATATGGATGTCTTTCTTGATAATACCTGGTAGAGATGCAAGAAGGAAATGGAGTTGCCTCTGTCTTAGTGCCAACACATGCAAATCAACTCTCATTGTATTTCAATGGTAAAAAGAAGAAAAAAAAAAAAAGGAAAAAAAAAAAAAAGGAAAAAGGAAGAGCTTAGCTGAGAAACGTGTTGTATCCTGTGGATGAGGTCCATGTTCTGAACCAAAGTGTATTTTTCCTGCCTCCAAACCTCTGTCTGAAAAGGAAGGGTGCTCAGCACGGTGTTGTGCCCACAGGAGGTGCTGCTCACGGAAAGAGTGTGCTTTGCTTGCCAAGTAGTGGTTTGTAGCCAACAAAACTGCACAGGTCAGGTATGAAGACGACCATGACTGACTGGACAGACAGTCCAGCCCTCTGATGACTTTAATTTCATTTCTTCCCTTAGTGTGTACTTGAAAAACACTTCCTTTGCTGGGGGCACCTTCAAGTTCCTGAAAAATAAACTGTCACAATACATGGGGGATTTGAGCTGCATGATTCTCATGTTGGATAGAGCAGAAACATCACACTTCCCCCTTCCCCCTTACTTTTCCTCCAGCAACCAAGTACAATTAAAAGGTGGACAGGAAAATGTGGAGATATTGATCATGCTTCCCCACTTGTGCTAAATGAGAAGGAGCAGGGAATATGTTCATCCCTGTTGTAGTTTACAGGGCAGCCTTCATTTCTGCTGCCTGTGTTTTAGGGACAAAACTCCTTTTAGCCCCATGGAGGGGGAGATAAGAGCTGAACAAAAGTAGAGGTTAGCAACTCACACCTGAGTTTATATTCATATTTAACATCAGCATAACTTTTCAGACAAAGTATTTATCAAAAGAGGTCCCAAGAACAGTTTCTGAATAGGAAAACAATTGATAAGGACCAAACAAATATATAATGGAGAATGTGATAAATCCATTTTTTTTTGGTGCTGAACTACATTATTCCTTACTCTTCAATTAACTTACAAAAATGCCTAGTTTACTTAATTTGAGAGCTAGTGAATAATGTGAAGTCAGTAATTTTGTATTCCTAGAAGGCAGTCCTCCCATTGTTTTTGTGGATATCCTGAGGTCTTTCCTGTTTTGTCAGTCATCTTTTTTGCTTTCCCACAGTGTCAGCATTTTCCAAGATTTTCCTCACACCACATTTACTGCCAGCTCTTGTGAACAGGTTTTTAATTTGGAGCAATAACAGTATATCCCAGGCCATTTGAGGTGCATATAGCCTGTCATCACTGCCTCTTTTTTTTTTTTTTTTTTTCTCTTTTATGAAGTGTTATCTTTAGTTGGATGCTTTCTGCAAAGGAATAACATTTTCAGAATTTTCCCCAGGACAAAATCATGCTTTTTGGCATGTTCTTTTGTTTGACAAAAGCCTAATATACAAAGGGGGGGCAGAATAAGATTGTGAAGTTCCAGTTATTGCTGCCAGGTATCTATAGCAAACTGCTGCAGTGGTTCTGTTGGCAGATCAAGCAGTCTTTTTGCATCTGACATAAAAGTCACAACTCAATATTTGCAAACAACCTTTTTTAGTTGCAAGGAACATGCTGTATTTAAATACACCAAACCAAGCAAGCAATCTGAAATCAAAAACAAAGCCAAAAAACTGCTTAACCTTCCTCCCATCAAATATCCTCAAAACAAACCAAAATACCCACTCCCGTGCCTTTGATATTACTCAGTGCCTTTAGGATCTCTTTTGACCTTTGCTGTACTTCTCTTCAAGCTCACAAGCAAAGTAGTTGTTAGGCTAGAGTAACTGTGAAGATACTGTGATTACTGCCATCCAGAAGGGAACAGAAGGCAAGCAAACAGACAAACAAACAAACAAAACAGAATAGTAGCAAAATCTTCCTTTGCTTTCAGCTTTAAATTTCAGAAAACACCAAAGTTGAGGTGATGACACTATTTCAGTTACCATTTGAACACTGCTGATGGCTTCTTTGTGTTCTGCAAGCACTAGCTTTCTGTTCTGCTTTACAGAACTGCTATCAAATAACCCCTTTTAGGAGTGTAGTTAAATAGCAAAATAAATAGTTTATATTAATACACATTTTAAATGACTTTATGAAAATCAGAAAGTGGGCTAATTGCTCTTAAAGAAAGAGGTCAGAAGTGGGGATTAAAATGTCTGTTTTACTTAAAATCATACTGAACACAGGTCCTGCAACGGCAAACCAACACTATTCTGCATTTTGTTCAAGCTCTAAAAATCTTACTGTAAATCGAGGAAAATTGCTGTGTTTTCAGTACTGAGAGTCTGTACAAATGATGGATAATAATGCAAAAATTATGAGGATGTTTCAATAAAAAGCTGCATGGTTCCCTCCCTGCCGCTCAGATAGTTTCTTTTGAAAAGCAAACAAGAGGACATAGGAATAAAAGATTTTAAATAGCCCTATTAAAAATCTGGAAGAAAAACACTTGAATATGTTTATCTGTTAAAGTAGTTTAACTTTTGCTTTAATTACAGTTCAACTATGACCAGGGATTATTAATTAATGACATTATTAATATCATTGTCATTTGTGATGGGGGGACTCTCAGAAGAGGGAGCTGCAGCTTGCTGCTGCCTGCCACTGCCACCGCAGTCACACCCTGTTGCTTCTGCTGCAGCTGTTAAAAAGATTGAATTGCAGGTACTCCACAGTGGTAAATTAATGCTTGCATTTGAGCAAGTTAGTCTTTTCCTCTGTTTGTAACTTCATGAGGAGAAAGCAGAAATAATGTCTGCATTTTTGTACCTGCATGTGTTTGGCTCCCCAAATGTTTCCTGTTCTGCCATACAATAACTCAGGCACAACACTACATTGCTGGGCAGGAAAGAACAAAATATGTTTTTTTTTGTTAGTTTGTTCGTTTTTTTTTGTTCCAAGCAGGCAAATAAATTATTGACAAGTGTTTGTGCTACAGTGAGAAGTTGGTGCTTTTCCAGTTTTCTTAGTGTGTATGGGGTGGCGGTTACACAGTCTGTATCATTGCTTAGCTCTCAAGCAACAAATTAGCCAGTAAGAAAGATAAAATTTACAGAAAGGGATGAGTTCATAGAAAGCTTTTATGCTTTTACATAACATGCCTTTACTTTTTTCTACTGTATTTTGAAGACTGTGTTAAGAAGGGCTTCAATAAACATCTTTCACTATACTGAGTACGCTATAGAATCATAGAATATCCCGAATTGGAAGGGACCCACAAGGATCATCAAGCCCAACTCCTGGCACCACACAGGTCAACCCAAAAATTCAGACCATGTGACTAAGTGCACAGTCCAAACGCTTGAACTCCAACAGGCTTGGTGCAGTGACTACTTCCCTGGGGAGACTGTTCCAGTGCACGACAACCCTCTCAGTGAAGAACCTCTTCCTGATGTCCAGCCTGAACCTCTCCTGCCGCAGCTTGACACCATTCCCACGGGTCCTATCACTGGTCACTTATAGCCATACAGATCAGGCATAGAGGGTTTCCTAGCTGTACCTACCTGGTCAACTCCTACCTTCAAAACCAAAGGTCTCATCCCATGACAATGGGTCTTTGTTGCTGCCGAGAGTTGAAAATACTGAATGACTAAAAATACTGAATGACTTAAGCAGCTGCCAACACATTGCATATATGTTGCTTGTTTACTCTTCATGAAATACCAAACACTGAGTGCTCAGCATTATCCCCTTAAGTACTTAAAATGGATGTTATAGCAGGTGTTCATCATTTACCAGTTTATGTCTAGATAGGTCCTGTGATATGTCTAGACTTTAACATACTATTGTGTACTTTCATAAGCTATATAGTTCAGTTTCAATAACTCCATCCACTGATATCACACTTGAACTTGTTCTGGTGGTCTCTTTTCCTTTTTGTTTTCTCAAATATATATATATATATTTTAAGAGAGAGAGAGAGAGAAAGAAACTGTAAGAAAAAATAAAGTATTTAACACTACTGAAGATGTGATGTGTCAGTGGCCTGGTGTGTGAATAGCACTGGGGGGGCCATGCTGGTTATGAAGGTGATGTGAATGCAGTATCATGCATGCAGTATCACACTGAGACTGTTTTTCAGGTAAAATTATTTAGGTCTCTTGGGCTGTCAACTTGTTCACAGCATGAAAGCTGCTTTCAGTGAAAAAGCTTTACAACAAAGTTAGCATCCAGGCATTGGTTGACACATACTACAGAGTATTTTATCCTAGTTTTGTGAGAAGGGTCCTAGCAAACAGACAGAAAACTGAGCATATACCTGTTAAAAGGACTAATTATTTTATTTTTTGTTACCCAATTGCAGGTGTCCCAGGCTCCATGCCCAACGCGTCATGGGAAGGAGACCTGAAAGCAGTGAAGTGGATTGATATGGAAGAGAGCCATGGAGGTTGTCATGGTAATGTATACATTTTTTGTCCTTTATTCTTTCTGTTCATCTAGTGAAAAACACTTGCCTATTTTTCCTGTAGTCCTATGGCCTCTAACTGTAATGTGAGTCAGTCTTCAGGTGGCAGATAAGGCATTTAAAAGGAGTCAGCTCTTCCGTAGTCATTAGGTAGTGAATGATAATAGCTACATATGACAAGCAGTGAGAAAGCTGGAACAGTTTTCATGATATGACCTTAACAAGATATAACCTCTATGGCACACTTCATTTTTTGCTTACTGTTTTGTACTTCTGACATAAAAAAGTGGGAGAAAAAGAGAATACAAATTTTATTTCGAGAATTTTTGGTCCATCTCATATAGTTTTTTGTGCTGAGGAGAAAAATTTTGAGAATTTCAGTCAGCTTAAATTGCATCAGTTTCACATCAGCATGAATACACTGAAATAAGTGACACTGAACCAGTGCCAACAGGAATTATTTAGTTGAATATCTTGTATAAGTAAAAGCGTAAGTTCCTCTTCACTGACAGAAGAAAATTCTCCCCTTTGCTATATGTCAGTCTCATCATAGAAAGTCTTAACTAATAACACTTCTTTTCTGATCTATCTCCTTATTCAGGAATTTTACTTGTTGTTTACTTTCAAGTAACTTTCTTCATTTCATTCATTTTATTCACATTTATAAGGTATTTTAGCATTTTTGTTGTGTAGGAGATTATTGATAGTGGCTTTGCAGATAAAAGTTACCAAAATAAAGTTTTGGCTCCTTGAGCATGCCTGTGGAAATAAACCTGGGTTCTGACATTTCTTTCTTCTTTTTTTTTTCTTCTTTTTTTTTTTTTGGCAGGCCATTATGTCAGAGGCATTTGTGTGTATGGAACGGGTGACCTCAAATGGCTTTTTAACTCCACCTGTATGTTTGCAAATAAGTTTGAGCTCAGAACATACCCACTGACTGTGGAGTGCTTGGAGCTGAGACATCGAAAGAGAACCTTGTCCCAGAGTGAGGTTCAGGTGGAACCAAATTGGTATTTCTAGCTAGCAAAAAAAAAAAAATCAGGCTACATCAATGAAAGTGATCAGGAGAATAGCAGCAAATGTCTAATTTCTGCCGTGCTGGTAACACAAATTCATCCACCAGGTTTCTTTAGGATGTGTGGTAGCTACAGCTCAGTTCAGCTTGTCTCATCCAGTCTGCAAATCTAACCTTTGACTTAACACCCTGAGGCCAAAGTGTGAGAGATCCAAAAGGAAGCACTAAGGCACAACCCCTCTTGCAGCTGCCCTGTCTGCATTTTTGCCATTTTTAATGGGCTTTTTTTCCAGCCATAACTTTTGTCTAGCTTTAGTGACATTGCTACCTGTTTCTATAAAATGTGTAGAGAACCATGCATCACTGGCATTTCTCGTACCTCAGTAAAAAACAGGAATACAGTTGGTGGTCATACATATAGATGCTGTTTTGTCAAAGACAAAATCTAGTGCATAGAACCATCAAGAAAGTACTGGAAATAGAATAAAGATGCTGCACTGTCCAGATCTTACCTGTTCTTTAAATATCTATTGGGACAAGGTTTGTGAAAGAAAACAGCATCTTTTGCTAGGTTAATGAATATGGCTAGAAAAATTTGATAGGCATGTGCAGAAGCCCTTCTTCATGTCTGAAAAACAAGGGCTTACATATTTGTTTTAGAAGGCCAACCAATAGAGCTGGAAAAACTAAACTAAACTAAACTAAACTAAACTAAACTAAATTAAACTAAACTAAACTAGTCTCTATACACAGATTTTGGCCCACCTGTGTCCTTAGATCATCCCATGTAGGACACAAAGTGAGGAAGACAGTGGCAAGACACATATTTTCAGGACTGGAAGAGGGTAACTGTGCTTTGGCAATAACTCAGTAATTCTGTGTCATGTTTTGATATAGCCTGAGTATTCTTCCCAAGTTACTTCCTTTGATCTTAAACTAGTGGCTAATACACATACTTAACATTAGGGTTCACTTCATCCCAGCCCTATTTTTATTCCCCTTTATTCAGCCACTAGAGGGAGGCAATCAAATATGTGAGCTGATGTTCCTTTCCAAGTCTACCTAATGCTCTTCCATGCACAGTTTAAACAGACTAGGCATGCTGTAGAGAAAAATCTGCATTCAGGAATATTTTAGTATGGCCAACAGAAGGCAAAAGTTACAGGTATCAGTCACTGTGTCCTAAAAAAAACAAAGCAGGGAAGCAAAACTGTGAATGCTTCTTCCTGTAGTGATGACTGGTGGAGTTTATGTGGTATTTTAGCTGCACTGTTGAATGGCCCAAGTCAGCAGCACTGGGGTGGTACAAATTGGGAGTGAATGTGCTGCTCTCCTGAACAAGCAAAGGTGGCTCAAAGAGGAGGTCTTGAATAGCAGCAGTTTAACATCCAACTTTATTAAACCATTGCTAATTTCGGTTTTAACAAACTGGATTGCAAACGGCAGCAGTTCAGAAATGACAACACATCATATTCAGATGTCCTGAAGCATGGTTGGTAACCCCCAGGCATGGGTCTGAAAGGGCTGGATCTGCTTCAGTCAGCTTGTTCTGTGTTTATAGCTGTCAACACTTAATAATGCAGATTTCTGCAGAAAGGCATCAAGAGTTTATCTCCACAGCAGGTTTTTGGTGGAAATCCTACTCACTTTCTTGTGGAGGGAACTTGCTACCATGGTGGCAGCTGAAGAGACAAGTCTTTTAAAGAAAGAGTTTTAAAGTGCCCAACTAAGAGTTCTGGAGCCAAAATCTGCCCCCCCCTCCCCCCCCCCCCCCCCCAGGTTGTTCTGTCTAGCTGAATATCCCCAAATTGAAATGTTCCAAATAAAAGACGATTTCACAGTTTAATGTGACTATTTAAAGTAGCACAGAGTACAAACAAGGTTACATTTCAGTTACATTTCATTGTTCAGACTCAAGAAAATACAGGCAAATGGCAAAATATCTCCCAGTAGCAGAAGCAATAAGTTTGGCAGTTTGAAGCCACAGATATCAAAGGCTCCAAGCCTGAGCAAATACAGATGTTTTACGACTGTGTTGTAGTACTGGTTATAGAAAGAACCCGGAAAAAAATCAAAGGTGGTTAGTCTACTGGGAGACCTTGATTTCGAGTTTGTTATTGTTGTTTTTAAATGAATGCTACTCTTTGTCATGTTTTTCTTGAAATAAATCGTTTTGTTTTCATTGTGTGACTGATTTTTGGGTGCAAATCATCAGCTTCTTTTCTTTTTAAATGAAGACAGGCTGAGGGAGTTGGGGTTGTTCCGTCTGGAGAAGAGAAGGCTCCAGCGAGACCTTACAGTGGCCTTCCAATACCTAAAGGGGGCCTACAGGAAAGTTGGGGAGAGACTCTTTGTTACGGAGGGTAGGGATAGGACAAGTGGGAAGGGTTTAAACTAAGAGAGGGTAAGTTTAGATTAGACATTAGGAAGAAATTCTTCATTCAGAGGGCAGTGAAGCACTGGAACAGGTTACCCAGAGAAGCTGTGGATGCCCCATCCCTGGAAGTGTTCAAGGCCAGGCTGGATGGAGCCTTGGGCAACCTGGTCTGGTGGGAAGTGTCCCTGTCTATGGCGGGGGAGTGGAACTGGATGGGCTTTGAGGTCCCTTCCAATCCAAGCCATTCTGTGATTCTATGATTCTAAAATAAAAGGTTCTGACAGCTGACCTCAATAAATACATCTAAATCAGCGTGACCTGACAGTATTAGCAGTGCTATGGAATATCAATAACAGACATTGCCCCCATTTTTTTCTACAGATACAGTGATAAAAAACAAACAAACAAAAAATTCTTTCCAATACTACTTTTGACTGTCTTTCTGAATCAGTATGAACAGCAGAGCAAAGTTTTCCATGCTGTTTCACCCCCTCAAAGCTGACTGGGCCTGTATTGATGCTGTATGAGCTGCTTCATTCCCATGCAAAATTCTGTGCTTTTTCTAGATGCTGCATCATCCTTTCTTCATTCCCTAGCATCTCAGATGTCCGGTCTATTAAAAAAAAAAAAAAAAAAAGAAAAAAAAAAAGAGAGAGAAGCAGCATGCATTCCTTTTTTTTTTATTTTTTTTTATTTTTTTTTTGTCACTCAATACATGAACTAGGAAGGAGAGGATGCTTGGAAGCGAGGAAGTTTGGAGGAGCTGATGGCATGCTCTATCAGAGAGGTAGGGAAGAGATACCACCACTGCATCACGCCGTGCTTGCTGTCATCTTAGTCTAGGACAAATCTTGGACTCATCACCAGGGTTTGTTGAACTAGTCCGTTAATGCAGGTAGGTGGTGGTGCAAGACATGGAGCGCTCTGGTGCACAGTTGTACAGCACCGTAGTCAGTCCTGCAATGGGATGTATGAGCTGACAGGGCTGCTTCTTGTGGAATTTTCTCCTACAGGGTTCTGAAGTACCTCTTTGATGTGAGAGCTAAGAGTTCCTTCCCAGGCTTTCACCTTGCTAACATACAGCCTTTCTCCAGTCCCAGCAGGCACTGCCGGGGTCTCACTTCCCACCCCGCAACGCAGCACCGTGGCCTTAACAGCGGAGCCGTGGCGTTATTAGCTCGCACGGCCTGGCACAAGGCAGCAGAAGGGGCAAGCAGCACTGGGCGTGCGATGGCGAGCAGTTACCCCAGGCTGAGACCTGACGGCAGCACACCCGCGGGGCCAGCCCGTGCTGTGCTGGCCGGAGCTGCACCTTCAGCCCTGCGCCATGTGCGTGGCTGCAGGCACCGTGCTGCCAGTTGTGCCTAACGCGTGGCTTCCACGCTGTTTCGGGGCACCCTCACACACCGCTTTATTGAACACCGGGCATCCTCACAAGCCCCTTCACCGAAGCTCGGGAGCCCTCAGAAACGCCTCTCTCAGAGTCACCCGTCCCCTCCCCCCCCCCTACACACAGGGGCGGGACGCCGGGCAGGCGCCGCCCGGCCCAGCGGCAAGGTCGGCGGGGCGCTGCCCAGCGGCCGTTGCGTTCCCTGCGCTCCGCTGCGCTCCGCCCGGCCGGCCGGGGGTAGCCGCGGGCCCGCCGATGGCCTACGACTGGGTCGGCCTCGGCTACGCCGCGCTGGTGGCCTCGGGGGGCATCATCGGCTACGCCCGGGCAGGTGGGGGCGGGCCGGGGGAGCTGCATTTGTGCATTTGGTTGTTTATTTATGCGTGTGTTCGGGGCGCGGGCCTGCTAACGGCTTTCTCCTTCCCTCACCCAAGGCAGCGTCCCGTCTCTGGCCGCCGGGCTCCTCTTCGGTGGTTTGGCGGGGTTGGGGGCCTACCAGCAGGCCCAAGACCCAAAGAATATCTGGCTTTCTCTCGGTAGGTGCGCTTTGTGTTTCTGCACCAGGCGTGCCTGGTAGCGGTGCGAGTAGCAGCGCTTTTTCTAGCGCGTTTTTTTTAATTTGTGCAGGTGTTGTAAATGGCGGCAGGGCCTCCTGCACGTAGCTGGAGGTGTCTGTGTAAGGTTTGTAGGCTCTGAAACCTCGCTGCCCCTCGAAGCTGGAAATTCAGTGAGAAACACCTCCCTCTGCTGCCAGGCTTGATGCCACCTTAGACTGATGCAGGTGCATGGTGCAGCTACGAGAGCTGTGGCTGCAGAGGGGTGCACAGGCATCTCCGTACAGCATGTGCTTCAGTGTGTCCCACGCTAGGGGAGAAAGCCTGAAGCCTCCAAAGCAAAGGAGGGAATGGTGATGTACTCTCCTTGTTTACAACAGATGATAGGAGAAGTTGTGGGTTTAGCTGGTAGTAAACCCCTCAGGTGAAACAAAAGGCTGCAGGTGTGGCTCCAGCTGAGCTTAGATTGGTCACACTACCTCATAAGGAAATCTCTGAGAGAAGAACCTCCTTTTTAGAGCAGAAATGTACCTTGAGGATATATTTTACCCTGTCTGATAGAAACTAATGTGAAGTTTTTATAACACCTGCCTTTATTCTTCAAAGAAATGGCAGCCCTGTAACTTTTTATGTGAGTATTGATTGGATTTGTTCCAGAGTTAACAATCAAATAATTAGGAATCGTGTTTAAAACATTAGTTGCTCTTTCAGGTTGATCCTTTGGCTTGTTTTTATTTGCTAATTCGTATTTCAAGTGGAGTTTTATGTCTGAAGTTATTGTTGTTAAGCCATTAAAAAATGTACTGTAGCTCATACTTACTGTTGACTCTTAATCTTGTTCAAAGCTAACTTCTTTTGCATGAATGTATGTAGGAACGTAGCATTCAAATCTAATGTCAAAATGCAACTATTAATTTAGTTCCACCTTTCAGTTCCAAAGGTCACCAAGAAAGGGGCAGTGTAATAATATTTGGCTCCCCCATGGTGATCTTTGTCACTGTCCCACCTTTTTGGCCATTTTGAGGATATCTGTATTCAAGGAAGTAATCATTCGCCTTGCACAAATAAGGAGAAATTGAAGGGGAGCTAGTAATTTGCACAGGGGATCAGAGTTTTTCGGTGTTTAGGCAGTGGTCTTAACTCATTAGAACTACTCATCTCTAGTGAGCAGCAGAGTATGCTTACCAAACTGCTGTAAAGCTTTCAGCTGCTCTGCTACTTAACAGAAACAAGGAAAATGTTTACTTCTGTGGGGAGGAGGGAGGCATTCCTGCCTGTGTATTTGTGCCTGCTTGGCACTGCCAGTTGCCCTGACAGTGCTGTGCTGGTGCTTCAGACCTGCTTCCCTCACGTAGTCCTGACTGCACTTCTCTTTTATCAGTGGCATCTGGAACCTTGTCTGCTGTTATGGGAATGAGATTTTACAACTCCAGAAAAGCAATGCCTGGGCTGATTGCTGGGGCCAGGTAGTCACCTGTTTTCTGTTCTCGTCCACATTTTGAATAAGCATTTTATTTAACATATACATGCCTTATAGTGTTTAAAAATATTACACGGTGAGTCCTGTGAAAAATGAAATCTTATGTTGGAGTTCAGCTAAATTAAATCATATCAAGTTTTCATGTTGTTTTTTAAGATTTTTTGCTACCCCTTGCTTTTTTTTTTTTTTTTTTTTTAACAAATATTCTGTTCAACAGTATACTGATGGTTGGACGGCTTGGATTGCAGATGATGGAAAAACCTCTTAAGCCATAAGCCTATCTTCGAGTGACTTGATGCAGATCATTAAGAAGCCTGGAAATGCAACTGCCTGAATGTACCACACAAAATAGAAAAGGCACTACTGACTGTGCACTGTATTTTTCATATCCTAACGCACATGGGTCTGTCTTTAAAGGACATAGACCGAGAACCTGTGTTGTCTTCCAAACTGGCACTTATCTCAGTATCTAAATTATGAAGGAAGAAAATATGAGTGTGGGGTTAGTTCAGATGCTTGTTCCGCAGATGACTGTAGAAAGAGGCCTGTTGGCGCTTTTGCGTGCTGATAGGAATGAAGCTTAAATATACGTGTGGACTTAAAATCTGAAATCCTTTGTACTTCTGAAACAATGGGAGACAAGTTGCCAACTTGTTGCTAATACTGTCAATAACAAATGTGTTTGTTCTGTCACCTTTCCCCTCCCACTTCCCTGACAGCTTATCTGCTCATCACGTTTGTCAGTCAGGGCCTTTTTTCTGCTAGGGCCGTTAGAGCCCACAAAACAATCATGGAGCAGGCTGTCAAGTTGCTATTGTGATACAGTGAAAGTAAACCCCTTAATTAGTTTTTCATGAGGAAAAGTGCCCTGCTTAATGTCATTCATTTCACTTTTACATACTATCACTGGTAAGAGAAATAAAAAATGTGCTTCATTAGATAATGCTGAATTGTAGTCATAGCACTTGGATTTCATGAGAATTAAAATGTTATTCTAAATAAATGAAGAAATTATGATTACAAACTTACATTCTCTGTAACTGTTTTCTTTAATCATTCATCTGGATTGATGCAATTTGGTACCTCTTCTGTAGAGTATCTACATGTATTTGTGAATGTGAATTGTAGAAATTATCCTTGTTCCATTCCCTGAATATAGGGACTTTTAAGTTTCCTGAACTGGTTGGGGAGGAGGAGTATAGCCAGAGGAAAAAAGCATCTGCTTTATATATTCATACAAGTATTTAATTGTTGTTGGGTTTTTTTTGTTGTTTTTTTTTCTGAGAGAAAATAATCTATTTAAGATTGGAAAATACTCTCAGTGAAAGTTTATTTAAAGACTAAAGGGCTCAGATGATTCCCTCACAAGTACTCTGTTGCCTGAAATCATTCTAAATATAAACTTGCAGCGCAGCTGGGAGCTATGCGTGGATGGTAATATATCCCTTCCTGGTACGATCTGTCTTATGTCCCTTTCTGCACAGGGCCTGAACTTGATGTTCACAACCTCTGGTGTCTGGTACTGCGAGCAATGGAAGTGGTGGGATTGATCTGTTAGGTTAGATAGCTTGTAGGGCCTCATTTGTTCAGAGTTCCCTAAATACTGAGCCAGTACCTCAGCAGGAGGATGACCACGTACGTATTTTTTTCTTCCCTTTTTCCTTCCTTTCTTGTTGGATAGTTTTATGCTCTGGACATGGATGGGAGCAGCGGAAGTGGGAAGTCTATTCCCATAGGAAGAGGTGAGAGTTTCAGCAAAACAGGCAGGGCAGTGACCTCCCTGAGGATGGCATGGCCCCTGCTACCTGAGCAGGTCATGAGATCGCATCCAGTGGCAGTGTCTGAGGTCTGCCACAAGTACGGGGATTTGTCTAGCAGGTTGCAGCAATGAGGCAAGGTTGGGGAGGCCAGGAAATCAGGCAGGCCGGGAAATCAGTGGATGGGGTTGCAGTCAGTAGGGACATGGCTGGGCATGGGCATAGCTGCAACACAGCTTCCCCAAGGACCAAGGGTTGTGATCACTGCTGCTACAGAGCGCAGCTGCCAGCAGCCTAGTCTTGGGCCACACAGCTTGGGTTACAGCTGGCCTTGAGCACAGGCAGAGATCCAGCAGTTTTCTAATTGCGTAATGCTGGTCTCAAATCAGATAACTTGCAAGTCTAGGCAGCAGTTGTCCTTTAATGGACAACAAGGCAATGAAAAGCAGGGAATTGGACCAAAGAGTTTATGCCTTGCTGTTGTTTAATGTGCTGTGGAAAGCAGTAGCCTGAATTGAGAACTGCTGCTGGAACTCTTTGTTTCTACTTCTCACAGTCAGGAGGAACAGTAAGCCAAACCAAGGGAGGATCAGAGTTTGACAATTGTGTACTTTTTATCCCCTTTGAGTGTATACTAAAGTTCTTAAGCAGCTGGCATTTCTGCACTGAAAGCATGTGTCAGTGGATCAGGGTTAACGTGACTGTAGAGAGCCTTATTAGTCTCCTACTGGTTGCAAGAAAAACTTAACACTTGTCATACTTTGATTATGGACAAGTCAAGACCGTTGTGGTTATGTCAAAATAGTTTCAATGTCCATTAGTATATGGTAAGGATAGTGTGCTTCTTCTAGCCATATTTAATGCAACAAGTACTACGTTTTTCTGCTCTAGGTAAATATTAGTGAGCTATGGCCACATAATTAGTTAGTTGCTTGCCTAGACTGTGACTGTAACTAACTCATTGGCATCTTGTACTAGAGACGAGTGATGGATTTCTCTTGTTTTTTGTTTTTTTTTTTATAAATGCACTGGTTTTACAATTAACAGAATTTCTACAGATAAATTAAGGTACATTTAAATAGCATATGAAGGCCTGCTAGCAGTAAGGGAATAACAAATACTTGAGAGTAGACCCATGGCAAATGAATTAAAGTTTCTAGTGTGTTAGTAACTAGATACTCCTATCCCTGTACATTTCTTCCAGTATTAGTGTTTTGTTTAGGTGCTGCTTTTATAACAAACCATATAATTTTTTGGTAAAACAGCTTAAGATGAAATTGACATACATTAAGTTCTGTAGCCCATATATTATGGCACATTAGGTCAACAGTAGAAATTAAAATCTTGTATGTAGTTATAAAAATCATACAAATACTTCTCTTTTTACAATGCCTAAAGTAATCATTAACAGCTGTACATCTTTAAAGAACATACTAATTTTGCACTTGAAATTGGCAGGGTTTATGTAATTACTAATTATGTAATTACAGTCCAAAGTATCTATTCTGAATGCAACCGTTAACAGAATTAGCCTAGGTCAACATGTGAAAAAAGATTTATTGTACACTGCAAGGTCTTTTGCAGGATGTTACTGTAATTCTTAAAATAGAAGCCAGGGAAGGTATGGCATGAGCATATACATTGAGGTATTGCATTAGTAAAGTTTGTGTGTGTTTTCAGGGACTTAAGTTAGCCTTTGAGAGCTAAAGCAGAAAGTAACCTCTTCGAAGAACAGCCTGATTCAACTTCTTTAAAATAAGGGGAAGTCTGTAAGACGTAAAAACAGGAGTTTATGGATCACTTAAGCCTTTTTGGCAAATTCAACATTAAAAGAGCTGATGAGACTGCAGTGATTCAGGCTCCTTTAAACATCGCTGTGACACACCTTTGACAGGGGAGATGTAAATCTCCACAGATCTTCAACTGAAAACAATCAATTTAATTTTAACAGTAGAGTCTAATTTTAAGCTTCACTACAGCTCAACAAGTGTAGCATTTGATAGTAGTTTAGCTATTTTCCAGTCTTGCTGTATAATCCTGGGCCAGGTTTTCAGACCTTGTATAGTATTTGTCAGTGGATAACTTATATCCAACTATACAGAGTTGTCATTGCTACTATAAACATTTAGATGTCACAGATCGTAAGTACCTCTTAGGTGAGTTCTGAAATCCTTGTATGACACTGTGTTCTTCCAAGCCCACTCTGTACTTTCACGCTTACCTGCCTAGTAAGGAACAAGCATTTCACCTGGAAGCCTGGTGCTGCTCAGATTTAGCCCTGTTTCTAGCTGCTTGTGTATGTGAAAACAGTGTATGTCAGTGGTAGACATCGGACCAAGAGTATGCTCCTCTAAGAGTATTCTGACAGGAAGTGGATCTATAGAGAAATGTCAGGTGAAATCTACTTCTCATTAGCTTAAAATACTCAGATTTGGCAAGATGTTACACAATGCTTCATGATGTCCTACTACATAGACAATATTTTACATAATATTTTGTAAATTATTTTTCTTCCACAGGTAACAGAACCCAAGGTCTTTTTTTCCTTCTTTACTATTGAACAGTCTTAAGAAAAGTTGGAGCAAGTAGGCAATTCAGGTTTCCATTGCAGGAGAACTGAACACAGCTCACATGATACCTGCAGAGGATGGCATTTTCTATCTGTGTCCTCCATATTTGGCCACCCAGTCTGTTCTTCCATGTACTGGCTGAATTGTTGGTGCACGAGTTAAAATATTCATGTTTTTTGCTGCTGAATTGTAAGTAGGACCTGGTAACGCACGAGCAGCTTTGTTTTTCCAGGAATAGTCTGAAAGAAACCAGAAGTCAGAATCAAAAAAGTGTTTCACTACTTTCACTACAGATTTGAATGAGAGCTGAAAGCTAACATGCCATCTCCTTCCTTCCCTCCCTCTCTCCTCAGAAGTTGTTTGCCAGTTCCTAGGTGGGAACAAGTAGCTCAAAAGAGCAAGTCAGCAAAACAGACAGCATGCTTAGGTAGGACCATATCAGATTGGTCTGTCATAGGCCCTTCAATTAAACAATTCACTGTCAGTTTAGGGCCTTATTATTTCATCTGAAGTAACTAGAGAAGTATTCTGTTGGGTTTGGACAATGGTGCTAAGTTTTCTACTCACAAACCACAGAAGGATGGTTTAGTCTCTGACATGCTATCTATGCTTGTTTTCTGATAAGGCTAAAGTTTCCTAGCATTTTTGTATCTTACTAGTAATTCTCTTCTACTGGATGTCTCTTTTACAACAATCCCTGTAGAAAACACCAAGACCGAAATTCAGTGAAACCTCATGATTACGCCTACAATTCTATCTCCTATCATAAAGCTACTACAGAAAGGAAATGTTTTTTTTTTTTCCCTCTTTATCTCAAATATTTGAAAAAGCATATAATAACAACTTCAATAAACTCATTACATCTCAAACAGCCTGTACTAAAGCACAGATTCTGAAGACCCTCTTGTTTCTTCTGAGATTTTATGCATTTTATTTCCTTCCTGTTTAGCTAAGGACTGCTGGTGTATCTGCTGGTAATTTCCATTTCTCTTTTGATTTAATAGGTTCTATTCTAAATGCTCTTCCCTCCCTCTCCCTGCACCCCCCCGCCCCTTATATTGGCATCCATCGGGTCTCCCGCACTGGTAGTAGCACACTACCACATTCCTGGCCTTCCTCCTCAGACTCTCCTTTTCTGCATTTCAAATAGTCACTGCTGCCTCAAGCTTACTAAAGTGATTGCCCTGTTGCAGGGACTGATAACCCATGTTTTTATTCATGTTCATCACCGATTCTGCTATTTTCCCAAGCTTCTAAACTAGTTATTCAGAATCTCTCTTATCCAAACTTTTGCTGTACCCTACCATTGTTTCCTTAGCCTTCCTATCGTATGTCCTGCCATTCTTTTCCTACTTTCATAGTTCAGTCTTGTTAGTTATTACTGATAGGTTTTGTTTTGTTTTAATTAAAATGTTATGAATAAAAATACATGATTTTTTTTGTGCCTGCATATTCTGTTTCTTGTGGAAAAGCATGTATGGTATTTTTCACCACTGGGTTGAACTTGTTAAGGTACAGGTGAGAATCAAGGCATTTAAGAAAGGGGGAATCTCAAGAATCTGAAACTGAGGGTCAGGTCATTCCTATCTCTTTGAAAACAAACACCTTTTCTAATGTTCTTTTTTATTATAAGCTGGCATTCCCTATCTTTCATCAGTATGATTCTGGCATATCCTCTCTGTTGGCAAGGAAGGTCACTTTTCTTGGGTCTTGAATAAGTTTTCTGAACAAAATGCTATATTTTCTATTTAATATATTTAACTTATGGCATTATAAATCTCTGAACAAACAAAGGGAGCAAAAGCAACTGAGAGCCCAATTTATTTCAGTTTGGATAATAGAAAGCAAAGGGTCAACAAAAATGTTAATGTTCAACTATAGGAGAGAGAAACTGCTGTTTGCTTCACCTTTACCTCTCTTCCCATGCAGGCCTGTGGATTTTAGGCTAAATATGATTAGTTTAAGCAACAGGATTATTGCTCTTTCTCCAGGACATGGAAGACTTTTTTAACTGACCTCTGTCTGCCAGCCTTTCTGACTTTTACTACATTTCCCTTTGTAATTACAGATTAACACTGAATTTATTTCCCTTTGGATCACTTAAGTAATTTCTTTTCATTCTCACTGTTCTCAGCAATCTAGAAGTAGTTGTGGATTTTGTCTTCCTGTGAACTTCCTGGTCCACACAGTGACAAATCAAAACTTGCACTGGTAAATTTCAGATAATTAAGTGCAGCTTTAGTCTTCCCTGGTGGATTCCTGATCAACCCAGGCTCAGAACATTAATTTAGTTAAGTGTATTTTATATATGCATGCCATCTCCTTCCTTCCCTCCGTCTCTCCTCAGAAGTTGTTTGCCAGTTCCTAGGTGGGAACAGGTAGCTCAAAAGAGCAAGTCAGCAAAACAGACAACATGCTTAGGTAGGACCATATCAGATTGGTCTGTCATAGGCCCTTCAATTAAACAATTCACTGTCAGTTTAGGGCCTTATTATTTCATCTGAAGTAACTAGAGAAGTATTCTGTTGGGTTTGGACAATGGTGCTAAGTTTTCTACTCACAAACCAGTTTTTCCTGAGCACTTTTGTTTGTCTTCTCTGAATCAGAAACATATCAACAAAGAAACATCATCCATACCATAGAATATACAAGGTAACTGTTATATTCAGGATAGATTTCATATTGTTTTTAACTGAATGGAGGAAACTATCTTTTAATGTGTTTAAGGTAATGTACAGCTAGATCACTAGTATATCATAACTATTCAGAACTGGTCACTTGCATTCTCGTTTGGCTTTTACCTTGTATAACGTACCAGTATTGAGATTTTCACTCCAGAAAGCACTCCTGTGATATTTCAAGGGTATAAGAACAGTGTCACCTACTGAGATGACACTCAGACTTGCATAGCTAACATAGTGAAGATGAAGACACAGTGAAAACCTGTCTTAAATCACCACCACAGAAGCTGCTAACCAACCAGAAAGGGCTAGTAAATAAAAGAGCAATTCATTTTAATTTAGTGCTTGCACCGTATCTGTGACATTATTTGTGAATTTATTATTTATTAAGTCACCTGAGGAAGGTCTTTGCTTTTTTTTTTTCCAAATAGTTGAGGCCATTATAAGCATGGATCAGGATCATCAATTACATTATACTGATGAAATACCCATGCAAGACAGTCACGTGCTACATTAAAGTCACTGTCAAGAAAAAATCCTGCAAACCGTTAAATAGGAGTGTTGTTCTTGTTTTTTTGTTTGTTTGTTTTTAACTTGCATTTATCTATTTTTCATGCTTACTAGTTGGTGACTAATGTTTCCTAATAGCTACATAAATCATGCAGTTATATTTATATCCAGTCTACATGACCACTTACATTGAGTTGTGGAGTTACTATTTTTTTTTTTTTTAGCAATTTTATTTAGCCTGAATTTCTAATAAAAAGTAGTTTAGCAACTTTTCCACAACTGGAATAACAAAAGGGTTGCGCATTTGTTTACTTTTACCTAACATCTAATAGCAGTTGTTTCTCCAGGTATTATACCATGATTCCCTCTAGATACCTGCATTCAAATCATTTAAGAAAAATATGCCTAATAATTTTACTTACAAAACTTGAAGGAAGACTTATTAAGGGATAATAAACATTTTAGGAAGCACACAAAATTAACATTTACCGTTTCCTTAGATATATATGTTAAAAGGATGTTTCTTACCTGATACAGACGGACCAAGAGGAGCTAGCTGTATCCGTTGTCCAGCTGATCCAACTTCTTTTTTATGAAAGGAAGGGATGTATCCTCCTAATGGGTTGTAAGCAGCACCTCCTACAAAGTCAGGATTTCCTGTTGACATTAGAGTTTTAATATTTTCAGTTACATGCAGAAAACCTTGCCTGCTTTTTATAGACACTTCAAAACACCTTTGCATTAACACAAATAATGAGTGTGAGAGTTCTTTAAGAACTCCCTAGTGCTCGCCTATTGGCAAAAGTACTTATTCTTTTCTTTGTATTGTAGTTGGACCCCTTAAGGTGCCTAACAAACTACATTTGTGTATACTCTAGTACATCTGATCCTGTGACGCAGTAGGACTAAAGCCAGAAAAACAGTACAAACATTTCATTAGTACTTTCATTAAACTTAGATTGCATAGCAAAGCTTAGAGAAGACAAGATCTTACCTTTTACTTACAGTTAATTAATTTACTGGAAGCTAGTTTAAGTATTTCCATATTTGAAAATCAGCGCTCAACAGGAGTCTTGCACTCAACATATTGGGCTTAAGTCTATCCAAAACAGAAACAAAATCCTCTTGTGGTAAGTGGTACCCCGTATGAAGGTGACTTAGCCAGGTTCAAAAATCTGGACCCAGTTCCCCTCGCCTTTGAACTCTGGCTATAATTTTATTGGGCCTGGTTTTGGTCCAGATCTTTTTTAAAGCAGTGCTACCTTGAAAAGATTGACATAATCATCTTCTTTTGGAAGCTGAGAAATGTCATGCATCTGCACACAAAATTAGTACTGTGTTATTGTACAATAGCTTTGGATTCTGTTACAATTTAACGCTGTGCTCCAAGCAAATTTCTCACCTCCAAGTGTGTCATCATAGGGACAGACTTAAAGACTGTGCTGGCACAACATCTGAAGAAACGTGCTTTCTCTGGTGTTGAGGTTCCATATTGAGTAGTATTACATTTTATGAACTACTAGACCATAGTAGTTTTATTTTGACCTTTATCAAGTGTGAACACTTTTATTAATGTTTAGGTTGGTTTCAACCATAGTTTTACACAGTGTGTGAATTGACAAAGTTTTCCTGTCTCTGGCCCATGTGCTTGCAAAATGCTCCTCTTCACAAAAACACCCCCAGCTCTCTGTGCTAATACCAGAGCTCAGTGCAGTAGACCTGTAAACTGCAAAATTGGTCATCTACCAACCCCTAAAGTATCCTCAGCTAATTACAGCTGTGTTGTGTCATTGTGTACGTTCCTGTTTTTTCTTAAACACCAACAAAAAGCATTCAGCTGACTTGATTTTGCCAAGCTGTATGTTCTGTAAGTCCTGTGAATAGTTGGGTCTTTATGGGACTTCCCTGTGTATAGTGCATGCCAGTCTCCAGTGCAATAAAGAATGACACAAGAGTCCTGGTGAAAAATAAAACTTTAATAAAGTACTCCATTAAAATATGACTTTCTTGCCGTTTTAAGTTGTTCTTCCTTTTCAGGAATTTGCCTGAAAAACAAAGCAATGCAGTTTTAGGATTACATTCACCTGTCTAAGCACTTCTTAAAATTCTGAAATCTAAAAGTAAGATCATGGCAGGGCTCAGACTAATATAACCTCAAAAAGACTATTCCTGCCTGTTTCTTATCTACAGCTCAGCAAAGTTGCGTATCTGTAAACTAAAAAACAAACAAACTGCTGAACCATTTTTTCCCTTCCCCTTACCTCTTAATGCCTGATGTACTTTATGAGCCCTTCTTCAGCAAATAGTAGAGGGCAGCCCAGAAGAAGCGTCTCGGTGAAACTGAGAGGTCTGGAGGTATGATCTTTTTGGATAAGAACAAAGGAGGAAAAGTAGAAGTTCAATACAGAGGAGTAACTACAAATATTTAAAAAAAAATCTTAAAAGCACATACTAAATTGTTCCTTACCTCTGACCACTGCTGTACAAAAGGAGTTCTTGCTATTCATCCTTCAGACATGCAGGAGGCCATGATGACAAGTGCAAGTGTGGCCTGGGCAGTATACCCTACCTCAACACATACCTGCTTCTTCACAGAGAATAAAGCCACTGAATCATCTGAGCTGGGTAGTGAGTTGAAAGAAAAAGAAGAGCTATGAATAATTGCAATGAGTTGTACCACAAAGGTACACACCTGAGGGAGAGGTGAAACATTCCAGCTTCACACTGCTTGCAGTGGAGAGTGTGTTTAGGCACAAACTAGGCTGCTTGGAAACCTGTTTCTACTCTCTTACACTGAGGTTAACTCCAACAAAGTCTATGCAATCACAGTACTGTAAAATCAGTGTAATAGATAGAAAATTGGAATGCAGTTAGTGGGATCGGTTCTTTGCCATTATCCAGCAACAGTGCAATTGCATGCTATGCATTACAATTATGATAATAAAATTTACTTTATCATTTAAAGTGCTGAGAATCCAGAAGAAAAGTTAGGAAGTCACTTATTGGAACATTCAGATGTTATATAAAAGACTTCAGTAAGTATATACAGTCAGTTTATTCTTTAACATTTCAAAGAATGTGCTGATGCAGTTCAGGTTGGGCTGCACGTAGGGGGAAATCACTTATCCTACTCAGGTATAACAGCACACACTTAACTTGGTTTCAAAGCAAATACAAAAGGTGAAACAATTCTGTCAGTATTAAAAACAAAACCAAAACAAAAACACCCAACAACAGAGGGATCTTAAATACATGGATGTGTTTTACTTGAGTTCATCTGACTACTCCAAAGAGTAAAATTCACAGTAGCAGCGATTTTCCACACTATGTTACACTATGGTAAATGAGATCGACCTCTGCTGTTTACCTGCTTCTGTGTGTCACAGCAAGAGTTGTTAAAACATAGCTCATTGGTAAGTATAGCCTCTGCCTTAACTCCCTCAGCCTAGAGAGGCTTGGTCTAAAGCAGACATAATGAACAGGGCAAAGTTTGACAAAATAGATTACAACTGAAAATGAAGTATGTGATTATTTGGAATCTGCACTGCAAGTGCAATTTTTAGAAGAAAGCATAAAACAAATATGAAATGTGCAAAGAACCAGGCTATAGTTGCTATAAATTACCTTTTGGATCCTCTAACTTTTCATTCAACCTTTCTTTGCATGATAGTTTTTCAATTGGTATAATTAAGTTCTCTTCTGTAGAGAAGAAAATGAAAAGGAAGAAAAAGATGGAAAGACAGAACTTTAGAAAAAGTACAGAAAGAATCTGGCTAGATGATATCAAAGAAATGAGGAAAAGCAAAGCAAGAAAATAAACATCTGACATTTTTCTTGTTTCAATTCTATGTTTTTACAAGCAGAAAATGTTACTCTGTCTAGTTATTTTATAAGGGCCATTCTAATAATGGAATGAAAATGTAGTTTACCAACAATGCAGTCATATTCCAATCACATAAATATATAAATTCCAAGTTTAAGCATTCAGGCATATTTGCAAAGCTGACTGATCATAACTTTACCATTCTTCACAAAGCATTTGTAACCATTTGCTTTCATCTTATTTCACCCTAGGGAAATGTCATGGGTAAGAAAAATAAAACACTTAAATAAACTAAATTTAGTTACTTTCATACTACACAGCAGTGTCAGTTTTCAATCCTGTCATTATAAAACAAACAAACAAACAAACATGATTGAAGTGCTATATTACCCTGATATGTGCTCCAACTATTCTTGTTTTCTGTGTGTCTATCTTTAACATTGTTGCTTCCTGGGTATATGAAATATACTATTATTTAAGATGTTGATGGAAATAATACTAAGAATTTTCAAACACATGAAATTATCAGTTTTAGATTTTTTTTTTAATTATTATTATTATTATTATTATTATTATTTTTGGTAGATACTCAAAGTAACCCAGTAAGACAACGGGGATTTTTACCATTAAATTAACTTAGATGAATGCTACGTTCTAATTCAGTAGGTAGCTGTCTAGCTTTCTGATACATAGTTTCAGAAACAGCTCTTGACCTTTTTGTGCCTCTTTCAAATGCAAGAGCATTTTATGAATAAACTAATTAATTCTAAGGCACCCTGACACAATGTTTCTGAAAATAAAAAGGTACATATCATAATTGCTTGGGAAAAAAAAAAAGTCTCTTCTAATCCAGGGGATGCTGTTATTTTTCCATTTCCTGTCTTTCATATAATTTCAGATGAACGATTTATACCTCACCTGACTTCCAGAGGGAGGATCAGTTCTGATGACACTGCAAGATGGCTACTAAAGTTCTGTTAAAAAGAGCTGGGGTGTAGCATCTGCATGTAAACAAGCTTTCTGAAGTTCTTGTATAAGCACGTTAGGTTAGGTGGTTTATTAGCATCAGTGAAGTTGGGAGTTACAGTGGCTTCAAAGCTGTTAAAGTTACCTCCTATCACAGGGTGGTGGGAGTACACAGATGGTGTGTATGGCTTGGAGGTCAGAAGATAGATTTTAGTCTCAAGTCAATGAAATCTTAGGTAAGTCATTTAACTTGTGTTAGTCTTCACACTTTAAAACACTGATAGCAGTGATTTTTAAAAAATGTAGCACAAAAAGCAACTTTCTACAAGTGCCTTCCTGAAAGAAGAGACTTTTCATGCAGCTACAAAGCTGGTAGATTACTGAATAACTTGGTTTGAATATTATGCATCATTTTTATTATATGAGCTTACCATTCATTACCTAGTTTCTTTTCATATATGAGACTGCTGTTTTATAGTGTTCCACATGACATTGACCAGGCAGTAATGAGGTCAAACTACTTGCTTGAATTAGCACAGTACAATAATTGGTCTAAGAGGATTACAGAAAAAAAAATTTGTCTTGACAGAACTTTATTCTAGGAGCTAGTCTATACTCCCTTTGTGCTATGAAATCAAAATAAATCACTTATGTATGAAAAAGTTTTTAAGAGTCTGTGTTTAAATAAGAAAAAAGAAAAAAGCCTAGAACCTAAGCCTGACAACAGAAGTTAAACTAGAAGGTCTTAAGTAAATTAATTAAATGAAGTATGATGAAATACAACACGACCATTTTTATTACACATTACCTGTATTATTTCTGTTGAAAGACATTCCTTCTCCAAAATGTGCCAGTGGTTTAGAAAATAACTGGTTGTTCCAGGTTCCATGAGATCCTTCTTTATTGACTGTTACTAAAGAGATACTCTTAGGGTTTACACCTTAGAAAACAAATCATGGCAAATTTTATTAATTTGAAACATAATTCAACCAATGAAAAACAGTCATTTCTAGAACCATGAAACAACACCAAATTATTTGTAGCATAATGTAAACACCATAAATGTAAGTCAAAGCACAATGTCCATTGATTAGTTTATATTCCTCTACTATAAAAATTGGAGATGCCGATTAAATAATACTTTTCATGCTTTCAGAGATGTTTTACTACAGTTATTTGGTTCCTATAAAATCATAAGCTCATTATTGATATTTTTGACTCTCAAACAATTAACAGAAATTAAGTAAATTATTGAAAATTTGAGTTCTCAAGGCTGAAAAACTATATCTTTAAAGAACAAGTTTAAAAGTAGGACAAAGAGGTTCTTGCTACTTCACCATGTTATGAGCTTTATGGCAGTTAATGGGATTACGCAGTAGGAAAGCAGCTCCCAGAGCTAGTGGTGATAGAACTAAAGTAATACGGATAAATACCAAATATGCTCCTTGGAGTTACTATTCTCTTAAGTGCTGGAATTACTACATACATATTTTTTTAAAAACAATGCCTTTCTCATTGAAAACTAATAAAAACAGATGTATTGGAAGCATACTTAAAAATATAAGGAATATAGATTCATTTTCCATTTGTTACCTCTAGACAAGGAAGCTTTTTTTTTTCCCCTCCATTTGAACAAACTCTTGAGTCTTAGGGAATCCTATTTAGCATTAAAGAAGTGATTTCATATTTAGAAGGACTGGACATACATTAGCTGGACTAATGAATTCCTGAGAAACTGGGGATACACTGTAATAAAACAACTTGCCTGGCAATCAGGAGCCAACTAAATGCTCACTGTGGATTACTGTAGATGTCGTGATACACTTACTGGAATTGTCTGTTAATTATCAATGTTATCTTATGGTGAATAAGTGCCTTAGGAAGGGAAGTGACCAGGTGTGAATTCCTACCCATGCAAGGGTATATTCCTACCCATGCAAGGGCTGGTATTTTTTAGTACCTCCTATCAAGAAGGGTAACTGCACTTATCAGAATTGGAAGTTCAAAAGAAACAAAACCTCCTTGTATTGCAAAACTGAGGAAGATGCATATGCACTACAGATGAATAGTTTCTTCACTCCTTGGGTATGCTTGCTTATGGTCAATCAGGATGTATTCCTAGGCATCCAAGAGATCTTGGATTCATATTACCGAGGGTTTCCTATGCTACTGACTATAAGAGGGCCTGCGAATGTTTATGATGTACAAGCAGAGTTGGTTGAGCTCCCTTCCACTTTTACATAGCCAGGACCTTCTGCATCAGTTGTGGTGAGATATGTTCTTGGAAAGGCATTCAGCCCCAAATTTGAAAGTTTAGCCTGGGTATGAAAAGCAAAATTATCCAGTGCAAAATCTAAAGTTTAAATGTACTGTAAAAATATTGTTCACTGCTTATGTTTTCCATATTGTGTTGGCTTTTCCCCTTACCAGGTAGATATCTTGATTGTCTCAGATAGTACTGTTTTGCTGATGTATTTGATCTTCCAGAATCATTTCTCATCAAAACCTTATTTTCCCCTCCTGGCTGGATGCAGCATGAAGCATTTGGTTCTGGAATGCTGAAAAATCAAAACATTCAAACTATGTGGCCAGCGACTCCACCTCAGAACAGCACAAGCTGATGCTAGCTTGAAGAATACACTGCTCTTCTCTTAGCCTGATTTCATCATTAGACTTTGGTCCTACAGAAAGTAACAGTCAAGTCTCAAACCTCATGAGAGTTTTAGATGAGAATATGGAGGAAAAAAAAAAGTGTATCCAATACTACAGAATAAAAAGCAACTGTGGGTAACTTGCAGAACTTTCCCTAGCTCAACTGATATAGGAAATGAAGTGAATCTAGTTTATATGATTACAGTAAAATGCAGTTTCATAGAAACAGGATGAACATATGAAATGTACAGTGCTTAAACATAAATATGGATATTACTGGTGTCACATAGATACCACACCCAAAGCTGGCCTGTTCATACAGCTCTTTGCATTCTTGCAGAGCTTGAGTGACTTAAATTTTAGCAGATCTGTTTTAACCAACCTATAAATCTACTGGTCATTGTGTACATAAAAAAAAGTGATTATATAATTAAAGGACTTACCTAAAAAGGCATTCCTTGTTTTTATTTTCTTTTAACAGTGCAATGCTAGGTTTCTTTGAACACGACATTCCAAATTCAGCATTGTCCAAGTCATCCCAACTATCCATAGCCTTTACCAAAGTCTGACCCCATCGCCTCCTGCAGCTTTTAGGACCTACTGTGCCATTCTGAGGGCCACTAGCTGCTTGTTTCTGTTTTGAATAGGGGAAAAAAAAAAAAAAAGCTTTAAATAAATTCTAAAACTTAATATTTTTACATCTAGTTTACTTCAGACTAGTACTTAAGAACATTGAAGAATTTTTCCCTATTGTGTTGTGCCTGTTTTGGTCACAATGTTAAGAAAGATTTTAAGCACAAAACATGTTACAAAGATGGCAGGTATTTTGTGCGTAGCTCTTTTAGACCGTCACCCTTCAATGGCTTAAGTCTAGTTGAAGTAGTTAGGTTAATGTTCTGTATGCAGGCCCAGTAGAGCACTTAGCCTCTGTTGTTGGCATCTTGCTGAAGTCTCTCGCTGGCAGTAGAACAACTGTCAGAAGCAGGGCACAGGGGTGCAAATCATTCACAGCAATCACGCTCAGGGTTCGGAGTACCGATTCCCATAGCCCCAGAGCAAATGCAACTTTCAGAAATTAGTCAGGTTTTCCCTTAACATTATCTACCAAAGAATAACTACTTTTTAAAGCTATCTTTTCATGCGACTGTAGTTTGCCTTCCACTATTTTCTGGAATACTTGTTATTTTTAGCATACTCGCTCAGGTACTTTCCTGCTTGAGACAACCAAAGTTCTCACTTCTATTTCTTTTTCGTATAACAACAATATTTTTGTGAGTTGTTTCTCAAAGGTCAATAATGATAGCTGTTGTAACTACATTACTGCAGAAGCACGTCAGGAAAGGCTATTGTAAGAGAACTTACATTGTTGTTGTAATTAATGTATTTTCCCAATTTGCTGTAAAATTTTAATAAGTAATTAGCTATATCCCTAGTTAGTCCTGAATTATCAACTTGTATTTTCTATAATAAAAAGTACAGCTGTTTTCAGAGAATGACCAGGTTGAATACAGTAAAATCCTGCAATAAAATCACCTGTCTAAGTTAGGTATTTACTGAAGGCAACTTACTGGTGATGAGTTTTTACTGATAGTCGGAAAAAATGGTTGTGCCTGTGGCTGCTGCTGTTTTGGTACTTGCTGGTTAGCTGTATTCTGAGGTAACTGAATTTGCTGGAGTGGCTGGTGGTTAACCTTTGAGAGGGGCTGTGGCTGCATTTGGTCAGGTACATCAGGTGAAGACAGAGGTTCTGGCTTGGATACTGCTTCCAGTTTGGGTAAAGTTGGCTTTGGTTCTGTCGGCTGCACTGGCTTAATAGGAGTCTGCTTCTCCAGGTATTGTGGAGGAGGTCCTAACATTTGGCCAACTTGAAAGTAAGGATACTTCAGAGCCTGGAGAAGAAGATATAACTTACTAATTATACTTAATAAAATTGACTTTGGTAATTTCATCTAGAATCTAATTATGTTTCTGAAGCATTCAAGCAATCTCTTCAGCACCAATGCAAGATGGATGTATAATTAGATCTTATGTATAGCTAGCTCTCAGTTCAGCATTTTAAGCGCTTCCTACCGTTTAACTTAACAAGATGGATCCACTTGGACATGTTATAGCAGTCATGTCCTTTTCTAAATTCTTTTATTTCTAGATTTTTTGGAGTCTGTGTTTTGAGGTGCATTTTACACTCAACTCCATTCTACATTCACGCAGTAACAAATTTCAATTTTAAAAACAGGTAGTTTCCACTACAGTACAAAACCCTTACTGCTTTATTGCATGCTTCCCTGCTAACTATCTTTCATACCTTATTAACACACCAGCTCTCAATATGCTCTCACTGCCCGTTTTGGATTGAATCATCCAAAGGACTCTTTTGTTAGTTCTCAGCAATGTTTTGCCTCAGCTACACTTGAGAATTGCTATGTTTGTACACATTTCTGCAAATGTGCATTAAACTCTCCCTTTTGCCTGTGGATTGCACAACTACTGCAGCTGCTTCCTTGACAACTCACTTGGGTAAAACCTGGTTATTTGCTTTCATAAAGTGCCATGCAAGAATTCTGAGTACAGATGTATAGCATCAGACTACAGTTAGATCTCAGTGACTGTAACAATAGAAATGCTACATAAAGTGGACAGATATGGTTGCTCTGCTTTGCACCATCTGCTTAACCACTTCTAAATCACTTACATTACATCCACCTATACCTTGCATTATGTTTGTTTCCCAACAAAATTCTCCACATTGCCCTTTTGTAACTTCTAAATAGTATTGCATTAGGTATAAATACTCAAAAATCAGTAGAATGTACGCATCTTTGAAAATTGTATACTTTTTTTTTTTTTAGTTAACTTAAAGAAAGCCTGTAACCTCTGTGACCTACTGGTATGTTCTTTTCAAAGTTCTTTCTTTATCACTTCATACAGTTTATGTCCCATCTCCTAGTGAAAAGCAATCCTTAGCTCTTCCATATTGCATTCCATCTGCAGCCTTACAAAATCAAAGCTTTACTTTCACTATCCCCCTCCATACAGGCAAGTGATGAAAATCAAGTGGGGGAAGTGACTTATAATTACAATTCAGGAAGCTCAGACCTGACTTGCTGTAGGTCTCTTCTTTGGATTCCAGTTCAGCATATCAGTCATAAGCTGTATGGCTTCATTGCTTGCATTTGGGATAAGAGTTTTTAGGCTTATGGGGACACACTGTGGGAAACGGAAATTCATAGTAGAAGCAAGGTGGTATCCTTCTGGCCAGTCACTCTGTTTAAAAGGAAAGAAAAACAGTATAAACAAATAAATAAATAAATAAAAGGATGAAGACTATGCATACTTGGTGTTCGATCAAATCAACTTTTCTGCAGCTTGAGTCACGCATGGTCTCTGTAGCTCCTTCCTATACAGTGAAAAGCATGCATTTTTCACTATAATTGCTATGACACTAGTGACTGCAGCGTCAGTCCCCAGTGGCAGTCCTCAAGCTCTCCTGTAGGTAAGGGTGGATCTGTCATTGTGCATACAACACTTGGACATACTCTCTTGGAAGGAGAAGAGAATGCAGCACTAACAGGAGCAGTAATGCACATCCCAACTATTACAGAAATAAGCTCTAACAGCTGATTTCTATGCATTTCTCTTCATACTAGAGGTGAAGCCCTTGCACCAGCAGACCATGGCTGTGCAGCCACAATGCAGCCTATGCAATGTACCTGCTTCCATCATTAAAACGGTTGATTAAATTACAGCTAGACAGTATTGCAACAGGAAAAATCATGACCACTAGATTTAAAAAAAAGTTTTCTTTTTAAGTGTTGTGCTTTCAAAAATTAAAACCTGAAGTCCTTAGTTGCATGAAAATTGCATTATTTGAATACAGATCTCAAGAGATCATCAAAGATCTCAAAAGAGATCATCGAATCATCATGCCCTTGTCCCTTTCTGACAGTTTAGTCTCAAAAAAGCTTCCAGTTCCTGGTAAAAAACAGCTGTTCTAGACAGTGTCACTTGTAGTTGGATCTCCTCATGATTAGAGGAATGTACGTTTCTCTGGAAGCAATACAAGACCATAACTGAACATGCTCTTGGTATCCAGAGATACTAAGAAAGAATCCTGTTTGTCTATCTAGAACAGCCTTTTTATATATCAGGAGCTGTATTTCTTGTCCTTTTTTTCCAGTCTTCCTTTGTGTAGGCTGAAGAAGCCCAAACAATTGAACTTCTGGTCTTGACTTCTAAAGTTTTTCCTCTTATCCAGACTCTGATTTTCTTCCTTGAAAGGCAAAACTTACAACTGCGCATCACACTGCAAGTGAAATGAAAAGAATAGTTCATATATCCATGGACTGTACTCCTTTCTTTGTACATGATATGGTATTTGTCTTTGCTGCAACAAAAAGCTGTTGATGTACAATGCAGTATACATCTCCTACATCCTCTTCTGCAGAATTGTTAGCTGGATAGTTATACTTGACCAAGTATACCACTCTAAACATAGTTAACGAATATTTTTTAAGCTGCATCTCTAATTTTATAAGGAATTCTGAATTCTAATCTAACAGACTTTCTAGCCTGCTACCTGCCAGCTTAATAAGGAAAACCTATTCTATCAGAAGGCACTTAATAGATTTTTTTTTTTAATTATACGCAGAACCACTCAGAGTCCTATGTAATCTACCTATCATTTTGAGCGTGAACCATTAAAAGTTACTCTCTGAGTAAGGTCTTCCAAATAGGTATTCGGGTATATAGGTACATATATATCTACAGTATATACCTACCTATATACCTACAGTATATAGGTATATATGTAGTATATAGTATATACAGAATATAGGTATATACTATACAGTATATAGGTATAGCTGTTTGTCTAAATATGCTGCTAATAATGTTATAAGGAACAGCATCAAAAGCCTTACTGATGACAATGTATGATATTATTGCTTCTCTTCTATCCACAAAGCTTGTTACACTGCTAAAACCGTAAATTGGATTGATTTGACAGTTTGGTCTCAAGATACCTTGTTAGCTATTGCTAATCTTGTAGCACAGACTAACAACAACTTTTTAGTTCTTTTATCAGTCTACAGTAATCAAAGAACTCATATGTAATTATAAGCCAAATCTGGTTAAAATAAGTCTCAAGACTTCAAGTGACATTCTATTCCATCACAAAATTATCTGCTGATTTAAATGAATAAAGGTAAACTCTTTCCTCCTCCTCTGCAGCTCTGCTTTATTGTAGCTTGTGACATCCCACTGAAAAAGGAACAATTTACAACTGAGTAGCAAGGGCTAAATGTTGAACTGGTGAAGTACCAAGAGTGAAAATGGTACAATGGAAAAATGAAGAAAACATTTCAATTTCTCAAAAAAAATGAATTTGGAATTAAAGTGCCATTGCCACCTTCAACTTATGAAAATGCATTTCATTCATCTTCTTTTCAGGTTGTCATTACATTTGCATTAGAAGAGGATATTCTTAGACCACCATCACAACCAATACTTGAATTAGGTAACAGAACTGTATCTGTAGTAATGTTATCCAAGGGTTATAGAACAGAGCAAAGTAGTTACCTGTCAATATTAAAACAAGCAAACCAACCAACCAACAGAAGTCATAAGCATTGTATTATGGATTTAAACCAATAAAAGGAAGGCAATTTGAAATTAGACCATCTGTGGGCATAATTCCTGTAATTCCTTATTGCAGGTTAATGGAAGAAATGAAAACATATACCTGGAAAAAAAACAACTGTTTATGAAACTTTATCTATAAAAACATACTATAAAAGTAACTCCTTGTGTTTTTCAGAATGTGGAAAAACACTTCACCAGCAACAAAACATTGTTTCTTGTGATAATTCATAATATTTAAATGCTCGTCTTACACAGCGATGTCCCTGAAGAATATCTTAACATTGTCATAAGGAGATAAAATTCCCAAGTCTGCCCATCAGATGAGAGGGGCACAAAGCTTTAAATTACAGCCTCCTGATTCTAAAGAGCTGATTTATAGCATCTCTAACCCCTAGGGTCTTTAAAAGAGGCTACAGTTTCCTCTGAAATACTCTGCTGGTAATGCTCCCTGCTTCCCCAAGCAACCAGCCATGATATGCTTCTGTTCAGCTACTGGTAAAGTTACAGAACCACACCAGTGACCCCAACGCTGCTCTGCTGCACATCGTGGAAACCTCCTGTGCATGCCAAGAACTTGTTTATGCTGAAAACACTGAAAACGTTCCAGAAGCTAGTGTGTTGTTCTCTTGCGCAGCTACACTGACTACACATCAAAACTTTATTCTTACTATCCTAGACTTGTGAGATGCTTAAGAAAATTAAGTTAGCACCTTGGATTGAAAACTCAAGTCTTAAAATACTCCTACCTATCACACATTATTTCTGATGCACAATTGTCATAGTGAGCACTGTTTTACACCTAACAATTTGCACTTAATCCTCTAGACTCAATTTTAACTTCCACAAAATGTCGTATATAACTCACCACCTTTGGCCTTTCACACTCTGCTCTGTCATGAACTCGCACCTGTCTCTCCGTATGTTCTCTTTGATGTTTTCCCACCACTTCAAGCTCTGTATGTCCCTAGCTACACCTACTCTATTTTTTTGTTGTTGTTGTTCCTCACTTCTCCACTGATAGGTCTTGTAGAGGAGAGGAAACGTTATGCTTTATATTTTATTGGTAAATCACCAATGATTCTCCAGTTCTAGAGACTGTGTTCAGTCAGTTATTTCACAAAGATCTGCTTACTGCCATGGGCAAAGTGCTGATATACTTCTGTCATCTCTTACATTAGCTATCACAATTTGCTTCCCCAAAATATATCTCTATTATTTTGTCTTTTTTTTTTTTTCCAGCTTACTCAATATTCTAACGGTAAACTTCGTTCCCCTCTTTTATTCCAATCGATTCTGACATCTCTTCACAGCTTCATCAGACACCTTAGTTTCAAGGCTTCCTTTCTAATCCTTGCTTGACTTTTTTTCCATGCTGTGGTGCTGTTTTTCTCATGTTCTAGTTTTGCACTTGTTTTGAGCCACTTCCTAGGAATTCATTTTCTTTTAAACATCCTTTACCTTCTCTTTCAAACTCGCCTTTTCATGAAGCATTTTAATCTGTGTTTCTGTATGTCTCTAACATCTTAATTCAATTAAATTAAGAACTCATAACGCTTGTAATTCAAAGGATCAAGCATATTAGTCAGTATAGAGAACAACAACACACCTTGATGCTTACTTGTCGGAAGTATTGGTTATGTAAGACATGTTCTTTTACATTCACATATCCACTTCCTAAAAACTTTGTAACTGAAGTAAGTATAATTGCATAAATTGTACATGCATTACCTAATTGTAGATTTTAAACTATTTAGCCCTGTCAGAAAATAATTGAAAAACGCTTCCCTCCATTACTTCTTATTGCTAAGAATATTATATGACAGGTTTGTGTTTGAGATCGTGTTTCTTTTATGCTTCAAAAACACAAAAAGCATAATTCATCTTATTCAGGATAAATTCCACAAGCTCCAAAATCTGGGCACCAGCCTATAACAATTAAGGTTTCAGGAAAGGAAAACAAATCAGCTGAAGCAAAACCAAATGAAGCCTTAAGAGACTGATTTAATATATATTTTTTTAAATTCTCTTGACATGCATGGCTTTAAATAACCAAACAAAACAATTTTATCTGGCTTTCATCATAGAGTAGAGCAGGATTACACATAATAGTAGGATATAAAACAGATGCTAATATGCAACAAAAGTCCAGCATTCTATGTCTTAATGGATGTCTAGAAAGACATACAGTTGAGAAAGTCTTAACTCCATGGGAAATATACTAAAACAGCCATTGATATGTATGTTCTGGACGTGAGGTAACATTCAACGTTTTATAATAATTTTATTTAACTTTTGTTTTTTTAATACTATTGCATAAGTTCTTCTAAAAGTCTTACCTTCTTTGGAGTCCCTAATACTTGGCAAATTTTGAAGATTTCATCTACTTCACTTGTGCCTGGGAAAAGAGGTCTTAGTGTGTATAGTTCAGCCATGATGCTGCCTACTGCCCACATATCAATAGGTGAGCTATAAACAGATGATCTCAGCAAAACTTCAGGAGCACGGTACCTATGAGGATGGAAAGAAGCAATAGATAAATTAAAATGGTAAGCAGAGAAAGGTAATTCATTAAGATAATGATTAACTTCATGATATACTTACCACCTGGTAGAAACATAATCTGTATATGGTGGCTGAGATCTTAGCTCTCTAGCCAAACCAAAATCAGCTATTTTTACAAGTTCTGGACCAATACAAAGGAGGTTTTCAGGCTTCATGTCTCTATGAAAAAATCCTATACAAAAACAGACAGAAAAAAATGGTAAAGAATTGTGTCATCATTTCTTAAACAGCAAGAGCCATTTCTTAAACAGACATCCAAATTTTACTTTAAGATTATTTTGGAAAAAAAAATCCCTTTTAAAATTAAAAATAAATTAACGGCAACCCCACCCCCAACACACATATTTTCCCTCCAGTGATTATTACATGAAGAATTCTTAAATTAACAAGTGTAAACATTCATTAACATGCTGTAGAATATGAATTGGCTATTGCAGCAGTATCAAATAACAACCAATCTAGAATTAAATCTTTTGAAAAACAAGAACAGAACTGTTTTGTCAAATTGACCATCTGATACTTGCTTCATTTATGGAATTCATTGAACAATTTTTCATTATTTTATTTATCAGTGTGACAACAATTTGCAGGCACAGACATTTAAAATGTATCCAAATTCTGCTCAGAAATATTAATAAAGCAGGCACATAAAGTTTCTTTAATGGTTAGTGGTGGCTTAAGCAGCTATATACCTGCAGAGGAGCTAAGCAGCTGAGCAAATCAGTTCTGGTTAACTGGAGCTCACAATATGTTATAAATCCATTTGATTGAAATTCACTTACTACAGTAAAGCATTCAATTTCTGCCTGCAGAAACTGGCAACCACTGTAAATAATTGGCTGAAATTATTACAGTGAAATGTAAACGTTCATATTTATCATACCTGTTATTCCCAAATATTTATGTTCAAAACAAAATATTAATACTGTAACTTAGAAGTGTCAGTTTTTAATATATTTTAATGTTCTCATTTATTACATGTAGAAAGGAGGAAGGGAAAGAGGATGCTAAAAATCAGAAAACAATACATGACCTTGATCAGAAAGACACAAAACCAGCAACTTTTGTGTATTTTATAATACTAAATGGAGTAAATAAAAAAAAAAAATAAATTACTCCAACCCATCAACAGGTCTTATCAGGGTACATGAAAGCTAATCATAGATCACTGGAAACATTGCTGCTTAATTCACTCTAAATAAGCTTTTTACTCTCTTTGGAAAGTTTTAGGGATAGGAATATGATGTGATGGACACGTACTAAAGAGAGTTAAGCAAGTTAAGCAAAAGATACTATCTTTTGAAATGCAAAGGAGCTTAATGCCAGTAGTTCAGAATGTAGGTTGCAGACACATTACACGATATAAGTAAGTGTCTGTAAGTGTTGTGAAGCTTTTTGTTTTTGTTGCTAGCACACAGCACCTAATTTTTAGAATGTGCTTGTAATTGCTAGAAAAGTCTCATCTCAAAGTATTTACATCCAAATTGTATTTGATGAGGAGACTGGATTTCTTAGTGAGCAAGTTATTTATTTATTTATTATGACTTAGAGCACCATATTAGTTATGACGCCTGAAGAAGAGAGAAACTGCCATCTATAAAGTATTATTGTTTCTTGGATGGATCTCTCCGAGGAAATAGAAATGCACAGCATACAGGCTTCTTTAGCTTATTTATTCATCTGGCATCTACTGATACTAAACAGTGTATGAACAATACCTAGCACTTTCAAGAAGGAAGAATATCTGCTTATAGAAAAATAAAACATAACTTCAGATATTGTTTTAGAAATGCACCATACTTGAGGCAGATAGGAATAATTTTATTAGAGATAATTGATAGCCTTTGCTATATATTTTTTATTCATGCTATTACTGTGCAGTATCTTCTTTTCTTAGAAGAGTACTATATAGTTAAACTCCAGTATCAAACCTACCGTGTTTGTGGATAAAAGCTAGCCCTTGTAATATCTGATACATCATGTTTCTGATGACTGACTCAGGGAACAACTTGTTTCTGTGAAGAAAGATTAACAACTTCGCATGATTAAAAAAAAACACAACACTATTTTTTGTAAGACAAAATATACACGCTTCCTCATTTTGCACAATATGTCCTGAACAGATGAAAACAGACCCGTAGATGAATCTGGCTGGCCTGTAGCATGACTGACTATATAGATGATATGGCACACACAGTATAGGAATGAACGAGAGACTGCCCTATGTAGCAATGTAGTAGGTGTGCTACCCAGTGGCACCGTTAAGGGAACCCTGACCGAGGACAGTGCTTCTCAGCTGTAGGGTAACAGCGTGCTAACTTTGCTAACACCTAACTAAGGGCTTTGTGCATAAGGAGATAAATGTGCATGAAGGAAACATTAAACTCGGAAGAATTCAGCAAAGAAAACAGTTACTGAAATGGCAGGTCCTACTCTAAAGTTCACCTTGAAAGTGATGACAAATAGTGCTACATACTGTTTGTCCAAGATTGTAACATCACACAATCCATATCAAGGTTTTCTCATAAACATGCATGTGTGTATGCACAGATGACTACCCCCACCACTCCAAGCCAAATCTGTAATTAATGCAAGAATTAATGATGTTTGTACAATCCTTCATACATTAAAGAAGGCTAACTAAGAAAAAAGAAAGGATTTTGAATTTCTCCATTGGCTCAATACATACTGAAGACATGCAAGTTATCTCATTAACAACTGAGCAAAGACTTTCTCCCAGAGGCATTGAAATGTGCAATGCTGAGCAAAGCAGAATTCTACTCTTGCACAAGTAGGTGCAGCAGCTCCTGTTCACATCAGTGGGGCTGCAAGAGGGAATTGCAGCACATTCTACACTATAGCATAAAAATCATTACAGAAAGCATGATAGCACGGTAGTTGTTCCCTAAAAGGAACATACCTGTCCTTCATTAACTGATAAAGATTTTCCTTCATGTATTCAAACACAAAGTAAAGGTGGTCATTTTCTCGTATGACTTCTTTCAGTTTTATTACATTGGCATGATTTAGCTTCTTCAGAGACTGTAAAAGAGCCAAAACAGTTTCAGATAACTTAACAGTGGCTTTGATTCCTTATCTGAGCTAAGCCTGTAATATGTAAAAGTTTATTGGAAGGAATTTACAAAACAAGTCTGTCTGGAAGCCTGTATTTATCTTGTAAACTCTGTGTCTAAGAACAATGAAACAACATTTTACATTAATTTCAAAACAAAAACAGCATATTAGTAGCAGTTTAAAACTTCCATTTCTAGGGATATCATAAGTGAGATGAAGAATAACAAAACCTAAATGTCTACGCTGAAAGATAGTTCTGAACCTGTAACAGCTTTTACTTACAGAACTCAATAAGACAACCCAGCATTTTTTAATGAAAATTTCATGAACAAGTATACTCCATTATAGGTTTTCTTTTTGGAGATATATGCAATTTCCAGTACCTAAATTATAAATCTAGTCAAACCTAAATTATAGATACCTAATTCCTCTGTTAGGGAGTTTTGTTTTTACAAAAAATTAGATGCTTGAAACATGGGATGACTTGAAATTTTAGTCCACGTTTTCACGTGTCAGGCTTTATTCTATCACTTGGCTAGCCAAAACTCCTGGTGCTTTCTACAGATGCCCCAAAGAAAAGATATGAGGACTAAATATACTGGATGGACTGGAAATCCATCAATAAAGTGAAAGAGCAGACTGCTAAAACACACCCACAAAAGCAAATCAAATCCATCTTTTCTCAAAGACAAGAGGCTTGGCTACAAGACATGGCCACAGCTTGAGAATGGCAGGATATTCTGCAAAGCAGAAGCAGCTCTTGGAGTGCCATCAGTTCGTGGCTTTGTGGAACCTGTCACCCCATTTAAAGAGTTCACTAAGTTTGGCCTTATTATGACATGGTAGATGCCCTTCTCTTTCAGGAAAACCTAACCAAACATTTTTAAATGTGGTATGTCTGCCATTTTACCTTGACTTCTCTCAAATTCATGCATTCATCCCATGAATAGAACTTTCTTTTCATTCTGAAATAAGGTCAGAGAAAAAGTATCTTCAGTGAGTAGCACAGAATACTTTTAGAGCAAACCAGGATGTTGTTGTTTTCTTTTTTTTCCTGAATATAGCACTAGCTGTATTTTGAACCAAATTGAAAATATTTTATATTACTCTTCAGCAACATCATCAAAGTAAACTGAAGTCTTACATGTACTAGAAATTAACATGCTTGATGATTAATCACTGCAAACATTTCTAGCAGAGTAGATAACCAGAGACCACGATACTACAAAGGTATTTCTAAAAGCATCAGGGACACAGATTCCTGTTGTATTGTTTGAATTGTGCCCTTGATAAAGAGGAAAGCAACAGTGACACAACACATAAAGCATGGATTTTAAAACAAGAAAAATCACTTCCTCATGCCTACCTTGCACATTCTAGGAAAACAAGTAAATGATACTTCTGAAATCTGTGAAGTATCTTAACTGCCTAAAATTGTAATTAGCCATCTGACTTGATCAGTCTTTTTTACAAGCCTGTTCAAAAATACTAAATAGTGAATAGAAATTGTTTCATTTTTTCCAAGCAATACCCATACATAAATACAATAATCTCTAAACTAACCACTACATATAGTTGTGTAATACATTTATTCAGAAGTCTTAGATACAAATAAGGATAATTAAGTGTTGCTCAGATTTTGGCACTGAGTTGTTAATGTCATATTGTTTATTGTGTTTTTGTAAAGTTCCAGCTCCTAGAGTGAAACTATATAAAACTAAGATTTAATTTAAAATAAATGCATTTTCAACCAAAACTGTTCCTTCCCCAAATCCCAAACTTGACAGTCACACAAAAAAATTCCAAGTCTCGAAATAGTGAAAATAGTTGTTTTTGTTTTTGCTTTTAAATAATAATAATAATAATAATAATAATAATAACAACAACAACAACAATAATAATAAAATCACAAAAATAATCAAATCAGAGATTTTCCTTTGGGTATAGATTCATATTACAAACAGGCAACAGTACTAGCAGTATATGGAGAAAGCTAACACTCTCAGAAATTCTCAAAACAAACAACAAAAAAGAATCAATTACATTCCAATTACCCTTCTGCAGCTTTTACTTTGCAGATAACTCTTTAAAGTTATCTTTTCAGAAAGATATCTCCATAAAAGGACATAAGATAAATCCATAAAAGGAGGAAAAAAAATCTCAGCAATCTACAGTTTTTAGTACTTATGTCTTGGATCTTGCTTGTAATTCTGTAGGGAGCATCCCCACTCCTCTAATGTGATTTTTGTTGTTTTGTGATAATCTTTTTAAAGAAGTATAGCAATGCTGATGGATACGCATAACACAACTTTGTTAGCTCCAAGGAGATACCTTATATTTATCTGACCAGACTGTTACCTGCTATTTATTGTTGTAGTAGTATCTGATACTTACGTAGTATGTAAAGAGATTTGGGGAGTGGAGAGGTATTTCACATCTACCCATTAAGACGGTTGTTACCAATTTTTACGATTCATATAAATATAAAAGCTCCCTAAACAACCCCCTGCACATTGTTTGTTTTTTCCTTTGGTGTAAAAACAAAACAAAAACCTAGCAACACTTTACAAGGAAGCACATACTAACTGAATAAAGGCAGCATGTAATTTCGTATGCCAATATGCCAAGTTATACAAACTGATGTGTCTCACTGGTGATACACCAGCTTAGGAGCCTGATCCACTCTCAGTTAGGCATCTGAATTACATAAATAAAATAGATTTTATATTCATTTCCATAAAAAGAGACATTCTTTTTTATTGTACACAGCAGACAGCAATAAAGTGAAAATGTTCAGCTTGTGCAAGTATCTACTGAATTTAGATGTTACATACCGTTTGATAGCCACAAGTTCTCCTGACTCGTTGCTCTTTCCCATCAACACACTGCCATAGGTGCCATCACCTAGTTGCTTCATGATTGTGTAACGGTTCATATTTTTTAATTATTTTTTGAAGACCAGGGTAGCCAAAAGCTTATAAAATTCTAAATGTTTTAAAGGATGTCTTAAAGGATTTTGTGCTTTTTGGTTTTCTTAGAGAACTCCTCTTCCAGGCTGCTTTAGGTTGCTGGTTGTCTTCTCATAACTGTGCAGGATAGTCACTAGTCTCCTCCAAATTTTGAGATGCAGATATAAAGTTTGAGAGAGAGAAGAACATGGCCATTCTCAACTGATACTTTGAAAAAAAAAAAAAAAGAAAAAAAAGAGAGAGAATAGATAAATATGTAATTTCACAGTATTTTAGGCAAAGATGCTGTACAATTTGTATCTAAGAATAATAACTCCATACCTTTATGCATTCCTTAAATAGAACGCTTCAATATAAGTAGTTCTTTTCAATCCTTCAAGCCACAGGAGGTGCCTAGTCTAGGATTAGGGTTAGAGTAAGCAGTGGAGAGTCAAGATTACTGCCATAATCCCCTAGAACCACAGAAGCATGTTTGAGGCTGGTGTCCTCTGATGGATCTCCCTAATTTGCAAGCAGAGGTAGGTTCCTAATCTGCAGCAATGGCAGGACTAAAGTTTGGGAACACAGGCAACAGAACCCAAATCTTGCACAGGGTGCTACAGTAAATCCAGGGCTGGTGCTTGCTGGTCTGAATGCTGCATTATGGATGGGAAGTGCAAGCAGGCTCGCTTAAAGTTAGTGAGGAAAGGACATGAGAAAGCAAGATAAACACAGCATTTGTTGCCAAGGTAAATTGAGTTCTTCTAAATTTACTTGAATATCTCACTCTTTAATTCACAGAATTCTTGGACCCATAGCTAGAGTTCAGCACTGTAATGGTTGAAGATCTAAATTTATTCTTCAATTTCACAAGGCCTATACAAGTAAGTATAGAGCTCACATGCATTGGTATGGAAGACTTGATCTGAATTTTCATTTGGAAAAGAAAGCACATCAAACAATGCTGATTCTTCAACTTTATGTAAATCTTAATTTGAACCCCAATCCAAACTTGAATCCTAACCCTAGCTTTCATGATACACAATACTATGTCACCAGTGTTTAAGAGTTAGGAGTGTTCCTGTGGGTCCTATTCACAAATCCTAACTCTAACCTCAGCTCTGGCTGCCTCCAAGACACAATCCTCAAAGCCAATACTGAGGCATTTAGACAAACGCCCAGAAATCATTCATTTATTTACGTAGTCCTAGGAAAATCTAACAACTGCTCACTGCAGCTTTCATTCTCCGCAACACAAATGCTTAAATGCAAAAAAACCACCTGCTGCTAAACAAATTCCAGCATTAGCTCTATCTTTTGCCTCTGCTGTCTGAAAATTCAAAATAACACTCGAATCAGCTGACATTCACTGACAACCTACCTCTGTAGGAGATGCAGAATTCAGCATGCAGCTTTGTAGTCCTTATGCTTATGCCAGAATTAGCTACAGGCTGGTAAGGCTGTCCAAACAGATTAAGGAGCTCAAATTCAGCCAGTAACAAATCTCAGGCTTGAGATTTACAGGTCTGGCAAAATGCAACAATGAAACTGGTCCCTTAGGAGTGTGAACACAGCATGCTAGAGCAGACGTCTGCTGCATAAAAGAAACGTCTGTGTGGACTGTGCACTGATGTTTCTGAGCTGTTGTTACTTGAAATGCTGCTTCCCCAGAGAAGTCGTAACATGCACCTCGTTACTTGCTGGTGCTTCTGTTACTGGGGAGGAATCTTGCACTAGCTGTCATGATGCCAGTAATGAATGGCCCTGTGGACAACCTCAGTTTATAATCTTTGCACCAGACAACAACCAGTTTGGCAGTAAGAAATATAAAGAAGTTTTTATCCATCCCAGAAAAAAGCCATTACTACCATAAAGTGAGGTCACTGGTTAAGAGCATATTCTATAGCAAAGTAAAAACAAACAAACAAACAAACAAAAAAAACAACCACACACACACAAACAGAAACTTACAATCATAGACAATTACAATTACGTCTTCATATTAGTCCAACTTAAAATGCAGACATATATTTTCTGCCTACTGTGTTTCTCACAATTCAGCTTTTTGTCTTATTCCCCAAAGTTCCTACATGCACTCTAATACCTTGAGTGCTATTTCTTCAGGGAGACCATTTGTTGGCTGCAGTAAAAAGCAGATGATCAAGCTGACACATACTAGCTAGTCATCTCTTGCTATTTTCTAATTGTAAAGTTGTATAAACACACACACACACACACTTCCATAAGATATTCTAATACACGTTTTAAAACAGTATCAGCCTCTAAAGCAACCATGTATTGTGCATGCATTTTGTGTATTGTAGTGAAGTTAAATGTAGGAGTTAAATGTAACTGCACTTCTCTGTTTCAACAAACCTAACTGTAGCTTGTTAGGACATGGTTTTCAGGGGGAATTCCACAGTATTTGTCAAAGATGGCCCTAGCCTGGAGCTGTATACATTAGAACTCACATGTGTATCTACATTTCATGCCCAACTTTCTGCTCTCTAACAAAGTGAACTAAAATACTAAGAAAGAAAACTCTGCATTTGTAAAAAACAAAGACCCAGATCTAGATACACACCTCAGGTTTTGACCTTTAAATCCTCTGATTTTGGTGCCTAAATCCTGCCTGCATTCCAAGACTATTCAGGGTTATAAATTAATCACTTGCTTTTACAATTACTCCGTTCGGCCAATTCTTACTATTGTTTTAGCATGTGCACTGGGAACAGCACCACATAAATCACTTCTTCCCTCCAAAATTCCTACGTAATGTAACACAACTCAGGTATAATAAGCATGCATTTTGTCTGATCTGGCAAATACTTTATTGTCTTATTCCTTTCCTTATGTATCTTGTATGAATGTATGTACATGCCACACACACTCAACACCACAGATGCAGACCAGGCCACCTCACAAATGACTCTTGTGAACAAGTTTCCTCGGGTACTTACAGTCAACAAAAAGATGGAAAGGAGGCAACTCACAGTGAGACATCACCAACTGAAAACTAACCAAAGGCAGTGGAAAAAAGCCAGCCAAGTGTATCACACTTGACTCCAGGCTCTTCTCTTTTGTACCAGCCCAGGGAAGACCCAATCTATCTTTACTTGGTACTGCAGGCCTCTGACATGTCCTTTGGTATTTCAACACTTATGTGGTATCATTTCCTCACCCGCCTGAAGCTCTAAAATGTAAAATTGTTATAATGGTCTCTTCTACCAAACTGACAACAGAAATCCTATTGTTTTACACCCTTACTGACACACTGTCCATAAGCTCCTCACATGGGATTAAAGAGGGATGAAAGCAGGGGACAAACAGAGGACAGATGCAGCAGAGCCACAGAATCTGGTCATTTGTGTAAACGTAGAACTACTCAATATTCTAAGCTCATTTTTACTTTTCCTGTGTTTCTGGTGTTTTATTACTTTATGCAACAGCACTAACCATAAATGAATGTAGATATTCCATTTTTAAAGGTAATTAATAATGGCAAAGTATCAGGGTGAAACAACAAGTATAAAATGCAAAATATATAACACAGCAAGCCGAAGGGATTGCTCAAACTGTTCAACTGTTGTATCAGCCTTACGCAACAAGGCTCAGCCCTAGCCATAAAATCAAGCCTGAAGAAGGCACACGGTGCCCCAAAGTAGAACTCAGACAACTGAATTGGCTGAGCTGGAAACAAGCAAAGCTGCCGAAGTGCTGAACAACCACAGAGCACGGGCAGCGGGGAAAGGAGCAAAGTCCCAGGGGAAGGGGGCTACAAACCTTCATCGGAACGGCCCCAAAGTGCCACCGCCAGAGGGCACCGCGCAGGAGAAAGGAGGAGGGACGCTCCGACAGCTGGCCGCAGAAACCAGTAACCAAGTCCTGCCCTGCCTCGGCAAAACGCGCGGGTGTTTATCACCGTACCGCAGATCAGTGCTCCTTGTCTCGGTTAGGTGTACGCGCTGGGCGGAATCATCCCCCGCTTACCCAGCGCAGCTAATAAGGAACACCCGCTTCCTAATTCTCCAAAACGAGTCCTGGGAAGTTGCATCGCTCTTTGCGTTTCCAGGGCTTCTGCTGCACCTGAATTACGCGTTAGCGAGCACCTCTGAGCTGCACGCTCAGCCGGATACAAAAACTAACGAAGAAACTCAGAAAGGCCAAACCCGCAACAAAAGCAGCGCACGGGCCCACCGCGGCGGCGGGGCGAGTGCGCCAGGGGCAGTGCCACCCACCTGCGCCCGGGAGCCGCAGGAGCCCGCAGGAGCCCCGCAGCCGCGGGCAGAGCGCGGCGCCTGCGCACGGTGAGCGGGGCGCGGGCGGGGCCGGCCGCCAACAGCCGCCGGGCCGCGCTAACGCGTCGCCGGGGCGACGCCGCGGCGCTGGGCGGGACCTGCCCGCTCCGGGGAGGGGACAGGAGGGAGAGCGGGCAGCGCGCCTGCGTGGCTGCAGGGGCATGGGGGTGAAGGGTCGTTAGTGGTGGGAGAGCTCTCCGAGGTCATCTGGTACAAGTATCGCCCTGCCGACGCTATCACCCACTAAATCATGTCCCTAATGACCAGGTCCAGCCTGTCCTTGAACACCCCCAGGGACGGTGACCCCACCACCTCCCTGGGCAGCCTGTCCTAATGCCTGACTGCTCTTTCTGAGCAGAAATGTCTCCTCATTTCCAACCTGAACCTCCCCTGGTGCAACTTGAGGCCATTCCCTCTAGTCCTGTCACTAGTTACCTGTGAGAAGAGGCCAACCACCAGCTCCCTGCACCTTCCTTTCAGGTAGCTGTAGAGAGCAATAAGGTCTCCCCTGAGCCTCCTCCAGACTGAAGAACCCCAGTTCCCTCAGCTGCTCCTCACATGACTTGCACTCCAGGCCATTCACCATGTTCCTAGTCCTTCACTTGACATGCTTCAGGGCCTCGATGTCCTTCATGTAGTGAGGGGCCCAAAACTTTACACAGTGCTGGAGGTGCGGCCTCACCAGAGCAGAATACAAGGGGACGATCACCTCCCTGGTCCTGCTGGCTACACTATTCCTGATACAAGCCAGGACGCTGTGGATTTCACTCCATTCACCACCACTCTCTGGGCCCAGCTGTCCAGCCAGCTTTTAAGCCAGCAGAGTGTACCTGTCCAAGCCATGGGTCTCCAGCTTCTCCAGAACACTGTGAGAGACTGTGACTGTATCAAAGGCTTTGTTGAAGTCTAAGTAGGCTACATCAACAGCCTTTCCCTCATCTACCAGGCGGGTCACCCAGTCGTAGAAGGAGATGAGGTTGGTCAGGCAGAACTTGCCTTTCATGAACCCATGCTGGCTGGGCCTGATCCCCCAGTGCTCCTGTATACATTGCATGATTGCATTCAAGACGACCTGTTCCATCCCTTTTCCTGGCACCGAGATTAGGCTTGTAGTTGCCCGGTTCCTTCCTACGACCCTTCTTAGAGATGGGCATCATATTAGCAAGTCTCCAGTCATCCAGGACCGTTCTGCTGATAGATGATGGAAAGTGGCCCAGCAATCACATTCGCCAGCTCCCTCAGCACACTCGGGTGCATCCCATCTGGGCCCATAGACCTGTGGGTGTCTAGCTTCCCTAAATAACCTGTACCCCAGTCCTCTTCAACCAGGGGAAAGTCTTCCTCTCCACATTTTCTCTCTTGTTTCTGGGCTCAGTACTGCATGAGGGCTAGCCTTAGCAGTGAAGAATGAACGTAAGAAGGCATTCAGTAACTCTGCCTTCTCTGTATCTGCTGTAACCAAGGCACTCACCTCATTTAGCAGTGCACCCATATTTTCCTAAGATTTCCTTTTGCTGCTGATGTATTTGAAGAAGCCCTTCCTGTTGTCCTTGATGTCTGTTGCTAAATTTCATTCTAACCAGGCCTTGGCCTTCCTCATTGCACGATCGAGTGCACCCTCAGTAAGTTTGCAGATGACACCAAGTTAGATGCATGTGTCGATCTGCTCGAGGGAAGGAAGGCTCTGCAGGAGGATCTGGATAGGCTGGACCAATGGGCTGAGGCCAACTGCATGAAGTTCAACAAGGCCAAGTGCTGGGTCCTGCACCTGGGGCGCAATAACCCCAAGCAGAGCTACAGGCTGGGAGATGAGTGGTTGGAGAGCTGCCTGGTGGAGAAGGACCTGGGAGCGATGGTTGATAGTCGGCTGAATATGAGCCAGCAGTGTGCTCAGGTGGCCAAGAAGGCCAACAGCATCCTGGCTTGCATAAGAAACAGTGTGGCCAGCAGGGCTGGGGAGGTGATTGTCCCCTTGTCCCCCTGTACTCGGCTCTGGTGAGGCTGCACCAAGAGTACTGTGTTCAGGTTTGGGCCCCTCACTACAAGAAGGGCATCAAGGTGCTTGAGCGGGTCCAGAGAATGGCAGCGAAGCTGGTGAGGGGTCTGGAGAACAAGTCTTACGATGAGCAGCTGAGGGAGCTGGGGTTGTTCAGCCTGGTGAAGCGGAGTCTCAGGGGTGACCTTAGCGCTCTCTACAGATACCTTACAGAAGGTTGTAGTGAGGTGGGGATTGGTCTATTCTCCTACATGCCCGGTGACAGGACGAGGGGAAATGGGAAAAAGTTGCACCATGGGAGGTTTAGGTTGGATATTATGAAGAACTTCTTTACTGAAAGGGTTGTTAGGCATTGGAATGGGCTGCCTGGGGAAGTGGTTGAGTCACCATCCCTGGAGGTCTTTAAAAGACGTTTAGATGTAGAGGTTAATGATATGGTTTAGTGGAGGACTTGTTAGTGTTAGGTCAGAGGTTGGACTTGGTGGACTTGGAGGTCTCTTCCAACCTAGATGATTCTGTGATTCTGTGATCCACAGCTTCTCTGAGCAACATGTTTCAGTGCCTCGCTAACCTTACAGTGAAGAATTTCCTCCTAATGTCTAATCTAAATCTATCCTCTTTTAGTTTAAGACTATTCCACCTTGTCCTATCATTTACCCAAGTAAAGAGTGTTTCTCCATGCCATTCCTTCATAGTCTTTATAACATAAATTTCCCCAGTGTGTACAGAAGACACGATTAAAAAAAATGTATATTTAGTGTCTGAGCCAATGGGTAGTTTTGAGAGTGAGGTCTCACCTGAAGCTTTAAAGCTCAAAGCTTCCTATTCTTTAAATGCTTTTTGAGGTCAAGGGCCAAGAAGAAGACACAACATGGTAACTACAAGAGATACTTTGGAGGGAGAGGCAGAGAAATGGTGTAGAAGTTCAGATTTGCTCAGCTTCACCAGGCTGTCAGCAAAAAGGGGAAGCTGTCCCAGTTACACCTTTTTTCTCCTGTTTGTCAATGACCAGGGTGGTGATGAGGTGCTGGGTCAAGCACTGCTGACAGATGAATTGCTTCTGCCTTTAGTCAGCTGTGCGGAACAGGAGGCTGTGGGAAGCAGCACTTTGGAGCCTAGAGGACTCAGCAACTCGAACAGTTTGTTGAAATGACAGCACAAGGATTAATATATATATATGTGTGTGTGTGTGTGTGTGTGTAAATATATATATATATATATATTTTTTTTTTTTTTTCCAGAAACAGAATATGTCCCTTTCCTTTACTGAAATAAAAACATCAGAGGTGCCTCCTGGGTACGATGAAGTGCAAAGATGAGACCTGGACATGAGGAGTGTGAAAGCAGAATCACCCCACAGGCAAAACTTGGGCCATGGTTCAGTGACATCAGCTGTGTTTTGCAAAGCGTTGTGACTTCTCTGCGGGGACATAAGCACGTTGGCATAGCTAATTTTCTGAGTTTGATCTCATACCAGGGATTACCTGCTGTTTCACAAAGCTGCTCTTCTGCTTCCTTCTGCATTATGGGAAAAACAAACAAACAACAAAAAAAATCCTCTCAAAATAAGAAACATGAGTGTGTTCTTTTCCTCTGCTTGAAATAAACTCCAAATAGTGGGACATAGAAGATGGGAGTGGTGAGTGCTGGGAAGCAACCAGAAGTCAAGGCTGATATATAAATAATTTCAATACTAGTTTTGCAGAGGTGCAGCAATTGAGTCTAAATTCTGTTAGTGCTGTCCTGCACCTGCTGATTGTCAGTGCTTTCTGTAATGCTCCCTGATGCACGGAGGTGGGAAGACTGCACTGTAGTTATGACAAACTGCAACATGCTTCAGAGCTATATGGCAAGCACTGCAGCCCAGTCACTTAACCCCTCATTTTGTCACAAAGGCATTAAGAAAGGTGCTGGGCTTTGCTCTTTCTGTGAAGCAGGAAAACGAAGGAAAGCCATCAGGCTGGAACGGCAGGGGTGTTTGCGAGTCCTGCAGAAGGACCTCTGAGAAGATCCTGGTGCACCTGCTTGCCTGCTCATTTTACACAACAAGATTAGCAGACCCTCTACTAATTTTCTGTTGAAAGAACCCTCTTTGGCTGCGGCCCATAAAGGTATCAGTGCTTTGCTAAAATGCCAGCATAAGCACCTGAAACCAGCTTCTCACAACTGGCAGTACAACAAGTGACAGCAGGTATGTAGAAGTTAATAGGGGTTGTGTGAACTTTATTTGGTTGCTGTTGCTTTGAATGAGTTTGATCCAAATGAGCAACATTTCTTTGTGATGTTTATTCACACCTGTATCATCCCCCTGATCTCTGTCTTGCATGCGGGCTCCTGCAAGCTTGTGGAGGTGTCATGTTGAAATGTGCTCTCTATTTTGCACAATCCTAACCATAGCACTACATAAACAGCAACTGATCTGCCCTTCCTTTGTTTGAGAGCGATGGGCAGATACTTACTTTATGCGTCTAGAAGACCTCAGACACAGGACAACACCATTCTCTGCTCTTGTTAGTTCTCAGGCAGATGGGTTTTAACACACCTGGACTGACTTTTCGCCCTGTGTCTTAGGAGGAACTACACAACACTGAAGGTCTCAGTTCTCCGCTTTTTCTGCATGTGACTGACACTGAGCACAGTAGGAGTGGCACAAAACCTGTAATTCATCTTTTTAGAAGGCCTCCTGCACCTCCAGAAGTGCACTGTGTCTCCTGCTAAATAGTCTGTCTTAAAAGGTGTTATCCACCTTTGTGAATAGGAGTAGCTCAGGTGGATTAGATAACTCAAAAAGACTAAAAAACAGAGCAAAACAAACAAATAACATGGAAAAAAAAATCCAGACACCTCCCTCCACCCCCCCCCCCCCAAAAAAAAATTAAATAAATAAAGTAAAAAGTAGGCTTAGAAATCATATTCTGCTCTGCTGCATCATCACTGT